ATTCTAAGGTAATGTAATGTTGTAATTTTATACATCTTTGTTATGTAAATCACGATATTCGACTTATAATAAGAATAAAATAAATATGAGTTTTACCATGTCTAGAAATTTTAAATGTGATTTTATATAATTCACGATATTCAAATAACAGTAAGTATAAAAAAGGGATAAAGTTTCACAATGTCCGGAAATTCAAAAATAATTGAATTAAAATAATGAGATGTTATATTGGCACGAAGAGGAACATTATTAATTAACTTTATTAACCTTATTTTGAAGCCTTAAAACTTTAGATAGAGGACTAAATGATAATTAGCTCATAATGTAGATCCATATTTCAAATAAGAATAAATACGAGTGTAATAAATGCAAAGTAAAGATTCTCTAGCTCGATATTTCTTGACTTTTGTTATGATATTTATATTTTCACTGATCTTCGAACAAACGTACTCCATATGATCATTCCATGATGAATAAGAACTTACAATTACACCAATATATTTAAACATTAACTCGTTGACCGCTCAGAGTGACTAACATATAATTTCATCCCCAAATCAAACATAAAGCTCACGAGAATAAGAGAAATGATCAACACCTTAAAAAAAAAAACTCCTGATTGTTAGACAAATTCTCCTTGCCAGTGCCTTAGGATTTGTATAGAGAAAGTGCATGCTGATGTTAGAGCATAAAGGGCGTAAAGAAAAATCTAAGGGATCACCAGATAATGTTATTAGTGGGTAGAGTTTAAAGTTGAATTCCTGCCTTGGATGGGAAATGATGTATTCAGTTCTGCTCGGATTTAGTGTTGACGGTATTTGCTCAAAGCCAGTTATATCTATTGTTGGTTTATCCCTTTACGCACCTCACACCTTAATTGCTTCCGGGAAAAGGAAACACCAAAGTCATGAGGCTAAACAATTCAGGAACAGAAGCGTTTGAGGTTTGTGAACATATAAAGCACTGATTGCAAATGAACGAAACAAATAGTCCAAAAGCAGCTAGCCTCTCAAGAAGAAGCTACTAGCAATTTACATGAAGGAAATATATTAAGGGATTGACAAAATTCACAATTAAAAACTCATCAAAGGATCTTCAAGACCAAATCTTATCCTCTCTTGCGTTTCTCTTTTCTCTTCATACGGGTACGTTCCTGTTTTTCAGCACCATACATATCTTATTAGCGTTATGCAATGTACACACCCTGCCACTTAGGCTTCACCGAGGGTGGTCCACGCCATAAAGTTTACGCGAGCTTTTATTTAGCTCCATGATCAACAGTTAAGACGTGATGGCGTGTATCGTTATTTGATATAAAACATTGTCTCGGTTAACTGGCAGGTCTTCACTGCCCTTTGACCTTTCACGATTGGGATCTCGCCCAGTTGCCTCGTGCCAAATGATTATTATCCACGTGATCTTTGGGTTGAACCAGATGTAGACACTTCGCATACATCAAACAAGTTTCCCGTATCACTGCAGCACTTGGTTACAGAGCTAAGAGATGACCTTGAGGTCCACGGTTGTAATTTTCTCGTTTTGAAGTCTCGTGCTGAAGCTATAGCGTTTAAATAGGAACGTTTTTATTGCTTTAACTTCGTCCGTGTCTTCTTTGAGCACCAGCTTAAAGTCGTATGAGATGCGAATTTCTAAGGTTACGCGCACACTGGGAGAGAAAAACCAAATGAAAGCGAACCTGTTGTATACTTTATGAGAGCTGTAAGTTGGAAGGAAATATCGCGTTGGTAATGCTGCGATTTAAAAATAGTCCTTGTATCATTACTAGCCATGCTGCTTATCCAACGGATTAGCTGTTGCGCTGCAAAATATGTGAAAGGCTGTCATTAGGTCTATACCAATTTCTCTCTATCCCGGACCAAGCCAACACACCAAGTTAACTTTAATCATGTCAGGTTTAATTTGCCAAGTGGTGCACCCTAATGAATTTCGAAAACTAAAGGTTTGGTGAAAGAGCTGGGTTCTTCAAGCCCAAGATATTTTACCGAAGAGTATTTATCCAGATGATTATGTTTAAAAGAGGGGGTCACGAGTCGAGTACTCTCTCCGAAAAGTCGTGGAATTGTTTGTACAGCAAATAGCGGCACACGCACGTTGTTCATCAGGAAAAGAATTTTGAGCGCATGTAATCATTTCTGAATCCTTTTGCCTCCCGATCTGATAAATTCAACAAGGATACAGACTAAAGATATTGATGCAAAACTGATTTTTCCAATTTAGGCGTCTTGGATGCCATCCTTGGTGGTCTTTAAAAATAATTCTTGTCCACTCGTTTTTCGTGAGCCACTTCTAGTGGTTGGGATGTATTAAGTACGTACTTTCGTGATAATTGTCGGTTAAGCATTCGGGCCATTTGTTTATACTAAACTTAAATGGGAAAGTGTAAGGTTTGAGGTTTGACATTTGTAAGATTAACCATTTGAGATTCTTTATGAACGTTGAACAAAGTTCGATCTTTTCAGACTTAAGGGTTCAGTTTGGCATGAGCGTCGGGTTCCTCTGAGAAATAACTGCGAGAGATTCTTTAACAAGAAGGTAGGCTGCTGTAGGCAATATTTCATTGTCCTGTCATTGGCTATTTGCACATACTTAGTTTTAAAACCCACTGCTTAGTTATTTATTTGATTGTGTTCGCAAAAAGTGGAGGCATGGACGTTAGTGTTCCTTGCTTCCTTCTGTTTAATTCATTACATACACATGTCACTGAAGCCAAAAGTCAAGACCTAGAGAAGAAACGAGCCTAATGTTGGAGTCGTTTCAAAGCTTTAATTCTTGCAACTGCAAGTAATCCGTTGGTATTTCTGTTTTATGATCATTTCAACACGTGTAAGCGTCTACACGTGTCTCGTTCGATCTTCCATGAATCACCGATGAGTCCTGGCAAGTCGAAGGATTTTTTTTTAAACCGTTGTTCAACCAAGTGGGAGACAATCTGACTAACAATAGGAAAAGTCTTGTATCTTTGGACACAAAAGCTCTTTTTTCATCATATAACTGAGAAAGAGAGAAATTTCCTTATTTCCAAATTAACTGTAATTTAAAGTAACAATAGCTTTACGCGAATTTCGTAAAATACTTTGAAGCCTCACTAGAAAAGATAGAAAGTTTTGGGTGCAACATAGGAGTTTGAATTTAGCAAGACGTGCATGAAGAACTTTTTGATATTTAATTTTAAACAAAATACACAAAGAGCATTTGTTGTTTCAGGGTGGGCAAAATAGAACTGAAGAAATCTGCGGAGTTTAAATTCAGTAAAACTAGACACAACAAACTTTTCAGCTTGAGTTAAGAAGAAAAAATACACAAAGAAAATCTGGTGTCGGCGAGCTTTTCAAACTTTCCTCCATTCCTGGGGGAGATGGCAAGCGGCTTAAAGATTTGGGAAAATTAATCGCAAATTTAAGGCGAGGTATAACTTATTTCTTAACTGGTACGCTGGACGATACATGAATATGCTAAATATCAGCGTAAAATGAAAATAGCTTTCTCAGAAGTAAATTGATGGGAGCCACAGGGGGCGGTGATGCACATGTATCCTCATATGCTTGGACTATCTCAAGCTTACAGTCAATTGGTCACGGTTATCATCAGCTTATCGAGGCACTGCCCATCCTTCCATATTTATGAGAGACACCCATAGAGAAGTAGTGAGTAAAAGATTCGAATCAGACATTTGGTTGCGAGCAATGCACATATTAAAAACTTGAAGCTTGCGCTGAAGGTGGTGAGATTTAGCCTAAGCTATTCAGCATCTATTTGGTTTGGCTCTCGCGTCATGGGTGGAGAAGTTTGTTGCCATGATGTTTTCCTTGTCGAGCGAACTAATCGCTCCACAAGGCAATTGAAAGTACGAATCAAATCCCTCAAGAATCAGTTTTGAAAGAACAAAACTTCTAGTTTCCTTTCTTTAACGATCCTTGGAATTATTCTCTTCTCACTGGCTTTGTTGATAAAAGTAATTTGATCAAAAGTCTTTTATTCAGTTTTATATTGTTCATTGTATTTTCCAACACTTGACGGACGTGACACGCAAAGCTTGTTCATGAAACAGGTTTTCGCCTGCCGAAACTTGCCTGACTTTTTTTTCTGACAGAGAACGTGTTTAAGTGAACGAACCTACATAAGGGTGCTAACAGTAAATAACAGACTTGAAAGTCATTCTAATCGTCTTAGCCCCATGTGGTAGCGTTAAGATGCATTGTATGGCAAGTTCGCAGTCAAAGGTTAATCACGGAACCTTTTCTAAATCATATCAAACTGTGTTTCCTTTGTTCAAATCGTGAATCTATTGTGGATCCGTGGACCTCGTGGAGGCAGCCCTTAAATGTCAATTTAAACTAATGTAAGTCATTACCTTGGTGGTTGTAGGAAGTGTGGGGATTTTTTTCGACGTGCAAAATATACCTTCAGGAGACTTCACTATATCTTTGCTGTTAGATAGAAAAAGATATACAGGACGCAATCATTTTCCCCCGCAAAAAAAAAAGAATAGCGAAGGATGGAGAAAATGGATTCGAGAAACTGTAGTCTTTTTTTCTAGGTGCACAAACTGTAAAGCAGTTACTTCAAGCAGTTCTAGGCTCGGTTCATCAAATTTAATCCGAGGCCTCAACGGACATTAAAGCAAAATTTTTAAGCGAAATGTTCCTTACGGTGTTTGCACGGAAGACTAAATACTGAGAATTCAAGGATACTTGCATTAAATCGAGTGCTAAAGTGTAAAGCCATGTTTCCTCTGAAAATCCGCTTCTAAACCTTAGCCGTGCAACTTGTCTGAGAAGATTAGATTGTTATACGTGTATACATCTTTGCCTGCATTTTACAATCATGCTTCAATCATTCAATCAAGCTCAAGTTAACTCAAGTATCCAACGTGAGCTTGAACAATTGATAGTTTAAACCGTCTGCTTATGCGCTAATGGTTTGTGTTTTCATTCCTTATTTGCAGCCTGGAATGGTTTTAGTTACTACCAGACTACCACATGATGTCTTTACTTGTTCAACTTGTTCCAGTTTTGGCTTTCTACCTCAGTCTTCACTTATCATGCACCGCTGGTCGTGAGTATACCTGGAATGTCATTTTTAAATTAATTAAGTAACGAACAAGTTTGAGTAGTAAAAAGCTGGCTGCGAAATAGAAGCAAGATGGAAACCTTAATCCTTTTTTAAGCAGGAAGCTGCTGGGGATGAATAGAGTAAAAACAAGTAAAAAAAAAAACAAAAGAAAAAACCCTTCACATGAAGCGATAAAAGGAATTCGCAAAAAGATCTAGAACAAGCTAAATGATACCCACAGATAGCTTCAGAATTTCACGTCAAAATGCATGAATATGATAGACAGAGTAACCTTGATGGCGTCTCATGAGCTTAGCCTCACATCGTAAGCCTATCCTCATTACACACGTGAGTTGACAATAAGTAAGTCTTACTATGGATCGCTGACCTAAGGGAATTATTGAACCCTTGTTAAGTTTCCTCGCGCAACTGACCTTGTTCTTTCACGGGGTTTCCCCCTCCCCTCTTTTCTTAAGCGGAGTGGTACTTGAGTAAATGGTCAATCATTTTATCCGCTCGTGCCAAGTAAAAATGATCAACTAAAAAGATCAATCTCAACTCGAGACAACTTGGAAAATGGCGATCTTATAGTTGTTGTGACTATCTTTTATTATTCGTGAATTTTTTAGCGTCGTTTACGAAGGAACCTCAATCCCCATTATTGGCAAGTTTGGGCTCTAACGTCACTTTTCGCTGGGATTTTACCTATGGTAAAGTGGGTTACTTGAAGATGGTGGTCATTTGGGGAAAGGTAGATAGATACGGTAACTTTGAGGACAAATTCATAACAGTTACACCGCCAAGAACTTGGGCGGCGAACACACAAGTTCCCTCATCCATTACCTCCAGGCTTCATTGGAGTGGAAATTTCAATCAAAACGGAAGTGTACAACTGTTTACTTTACGAAATGTGGGCAAATCAGACGAAATTGATTATGCTTGCAAGGTGATTATGGATGGTACTACTAAGACGAGTGCCTTAGTGAAACTCCTCATTCGGGGTAAGTAAACTGACTTAATTTTTAACTAGACATTTTGGTTCTTGTAATTGAGTGATTCTCAACTGTGGTCCTTGAAACCAAAAGCAAAGGATCTGAATGTTTGAAAATCAAACTTCAACAAATCTTTAAATAAGAAATGTCAATAGAGCTGGTATGTCCCTACGAGCTGCTATTTTTGAGCTCCCCCTCCCTCTTTATAGATGTCTGACCACTTTTGTCGAAAGTTAATCATTGAGGGAGTGAAATAACGTCAAACCAACACTTGCACCTCAGTCTGCAAGCCATTATTTGTGAATTTTCATCTCTCGTTTTTGAATGGGTGTTGATCACCTTTTGGTTGTAATTTACCGGTCGTTCAAACTCAACAACGAGACGGGCTTATGTCAATCACTTCATGCATTATCTATCGTGGAATAGTGGCGAGCAGTGTAGCAAATCGGATTGCAGCTTTTTTTGTGATAGAACGCTGGTGGATTTATCAGTTATTTAAACTAATATGTTATACCCTTAAATTCCTCATCAGTTCCACCAAAAATAATTACAAAACCAAACGCGACAGTCGATGTGGAAGATGGGGAGAGGGTCAACTTGGAGTGTGACGCAACAGGTGATCCACCTCTCTCCATCACATGGAAAAACAATGGTAAAGTATTAAAGCGTGGAAATACAAGTACAGTTTTACAGATTCCTAATGTTCAACTTAAAGATGCTGGCACCTACACCTGCAATGCAACAAACCAAGTTGGATCTGATTTTCATCGAGTTAAAATGCGAGTTATACGATGTAAGTAAATGAAGATCTCTGTTGTTTAAAATTGATTTCCTTCGTTATTCAGTTTCAGTTACTGTGGTGCCTTCTTAGAGGGTTACATCTCCTTCAGTGGATACCTCCATCATGTTCAAAGGACAATGCTCCAATAACTTTTGCCTTCTCTGAAGGACACCTCTCGAAGGGGAACTCTTTTCTTTATTTCCTGAGTGTTTCGCTTGAATGCAATTTTTACTAGAGTTATTTTCTTTAACACTTTTTATCGATGTATGAATAATAATATATATCCAGGATGTCAACTTAAGCCAACGTTTACATGTAAAGTTTACATATTTTTTAGATAAGGGGTTTGCTTAAACTTGTTGACATTTATGAACGACACACAAAAAAAAAACACCCTTACTAGCTTACAAGAATTAAATAGCAATCATACCAGTATGGTCAGGATTCATTTAGACTTACCATGAGCTAATTACCTGTACTCATTGCCTCAAAATAAAACCCAACATAGTTTCCTTTCGATGGTTTCTTTGAAAGTTCTTCTCTTTACCAATATGCAGATAGACCTCACATCAACAAAACAGCTTCAACAAGTCCTTCTATAAAATCATGGCTCAATCACAATACAACCCTACATTGTGCATTTTATGCCAATCCTGCGGCGAAATTTGCGTGGATTAAAAATGGCCGACAGATCTTAAACGGAGTACATTCGACGCATGATGGTAGCACGCTGACGCTGATACCGAAAACTGTGGGCGACTTCGGTTTGTACACGTGTAATGCATCAAACAGCAAAGGACCTGCGTGGTATAACATCACAGTGGAACAACTTTGTAAGTACAAAATAACTCCAACTCCGTTTTGATGTTTTCCATTCCGTGCGCTTTTGCAGTATTTACTTAAAACCCTGATCGTGTTTTTGGAGGTATACTCAGATAAAACGTAACTCAGTGGCACTGAAATTGTCTTGTTTCAGGTGACATAGCTCACGGGTCCGGAAACTCTTCAAATTCTCAGACTTTTGACAAAAATGGATGCCCAAAGATAGCAGAGTTACTAAAGTTGTGTTTTTCAAACTCAATACCCAAAGATCAATGTCCTTAAAACTGCTTTTCTTGCCTATTAAGATGAAGCTTAAGATCTAATAATAACGGATAAAAAAACTAATATTTTTCAACACTGTAACAGTGTTGCTTGATTAAAGGGGCCCAAAGGGGATTCACTGAAACGATAATTAATATTTATTCCCTCTTGCCCTTTGAAAAAAGCATTTAATAAAACTAAGAAGTAATTTTAGCAAGGGTCCTAAAAGCATGTTCGGGTCTGGGCTAAATCTTGCTCACTATGGTATGAACGATATCAATGAAACACTGTTAACCTGTGCAATATTTCAGATCCACCTGGCCCTCCTGTGGTACATAACATTTCGCGGAACGTGTTGGAATTCAACGTCACGTGGAACAAATCGATTGAAAATGGAGGCAGTGTCATACTGGACTTTATGATAACATTACTGCATGCAAATGGAAGTATGGTGAGGCGACAGAACGCAATTAAAGAAACCTCATTCCACCTCAAACATCTGAGGCAAAACAGAACATACATAGTCATATTACAAGCAAGAAACATCGTTGGTTATGGAGAGTCAAAAAATATCACAGTTACAACGCTTGAAGCAGGTGAAAACCAATTAGTTATTTTTAGATTGTGTTCAATGTGTTCAGTCAGTCAGTCAGTTAGACAGACAGACAGAGAGGAAAACAGGGATGTGGGAGATATAAGCCACTTTTTCAGCAAGTCAGAGTGTGTTTCTACCTTCCCTATTTTTCTGTCGGAGAGTCAGATGGTAAATCAGCCACTCTATCGGATCGTCAGTCGATCGGTCAGTCAGTCAGTCCATCGTCTGAGCGGTGAAACAATTGGTCAGTCATCCATATGATAGGGTCAGGCGGTTAGGATGATCAGACCATCCCTCATGCATAAAAACAGTTGGCTGGTTTGTCTGACGGTCGGCCATTCAGAAAAGCATGAAAAGGGGCAAGTGACAGTTATTCCAAGCCAAAGAGAACGACAGTGACTCACTATTCATCTAGTACGTGAGTAACGAGACTAAACAAGTGTTTTCTTCATAGACGTACCTGGTCCACCAGTCATAAAAGCTGCCAGGCCAGGAGTGCTCTCTTTGAACATATCTTGGTACTCCCCAAATGAAGACAACAACATCGAGGTATTGGACTACAGAATAAAAGTCCTGGATGGCATCACCAAAAAGTCAATAAAGCAATATGCAAGTATTCCAACAACGTCATTAATTATTAAGAATCTGAAGAAAAACAGTTCATACGTGGTTGAGATTCAGGGGAGGAATGAGGTCGGTTACGGAAAGACAGCTAAAATCAGTGGGACCACTCTTCCACAAGGTAACCATTGAGTTGCTTCGATTAAATAATGTAACTTTCTCCTTAAATTCTAAGTCTTCTGATTGGTTTCAGAAATTGCTTGAAATTGAGAAAAATTTTGGTGAGGTTTTTAATTTGTCTCAAATCTTTAACCCATGTTCTGGGCCATTACTAACATATTTGGCAACGAAAAACAAGGGGAGTCATTCAATTTTCATTTAATACAAACCAGGATTTATGTTACACTGCTGGAAAGTTTTGACCACCTATCGCTCTTGTTTTAATATCTTTGTGAAGAACTTGTGATAAAGGCTAAGAATTTGGCCGGAATGGGGTGACATCATAATTTAGACTCAAGAAGTTTTCAAATTTGAATTCTTTCGGTATCCTTAAAATACCTGACAGGTGCATTTTACAAGACTTCACTTTTAACATTTTTTTCCCCTCTCTCTGTTATAGGACCTCCTGATTCACCTTCAATATCAAACCTTACCGTTCATGGAAATAACTGCTCATTGCAATGGACGGAGCCATACAATGGAAAAAGCCCGATCACGATGTATACTATACATGTCTGGAAAATCATAGTTTATTTGAATGGTTCACTTTTCTGGAAAAAAATCAAAACATGGAATACCACAAAGACACTTTCTCTCATGCTCAACCTTGAATGGAATCAAAATTATACAGTTGCAGTTTCAGCGTGGAACAAATACGGTAAAGGCTCCTCATCGATAAAAGAACGTTGTGAGATTGGACGAGATCCTCAAGGTAGCGACTGTCTTTTGTTGTTATATGATCAGTTCTGTGTCAAACTGAGTAGACACGCTGTAGTTTAACGCAAGAAATATGTGGGGGTCTAAAAATCTGATCTTTTTATCCAAGGGTTGTTTCGAACAAATTTTTAAACCATCTAAAATCAACTAAATTGAAATCAATTTTCATCCGTTTTCTCCTATATTTAAACAAAGACGAAATTTTAAACTGGCTATGAACGTAGTCACTAATACAACAATGACGTTGTACTTTAAAGTGGATGTTTTGTTTTATTTTTCGGTGTTTGGAGACACTGCAAAACTCTCCTGTTTATATAGCAGCGTCCTCATCGCCACCTCAAGAGTACCTTTCTTATAGTAAGTTTATGTAGAGTTCAATCAGTAACATTTTATTTATGTGTTTTTCAAATTTATGTAGTAACACGCTCAACTACTGTAACGAGGACTACTAATGCTCCTACTGCCATTCACACACAAGGTAAGTGTCCTGTCTCACCTAAAAAGAAAAGCTTTAGAATTAATCATCCTGCCAACGAGCAACATTCCAAAGAATTTGTGTTGTTTATGATAAGCCTTTTGCGCTGCTTCTACCGAGTCTTTTTTTTTTCCTAATGCAGTACTACAAATTCATCCGGCCTTCTTCTTTACTATGCAGTTATGTTTCTGTGTTTGCCTTGTAAGAAGAGACTCTTTTTAAAGTGATTCTTAGTCAGTATCTTTTCTGATAGAGGGAATTTAATGGTTTTAGATGCAGAAGCAACATCCCATGAGGGTACAAGAGGGGCTTCAACCATGGCTTCTACAACTGAGTCAGAAGGTAAGTAATTGGTAATATTTCCCTTTCGACTCTATCTGTAGTTTATGGAAGTTATATGATTGTCAACTTGAGAACCTTTGATGGGAATACCTTGTGGAAGTTTTCAAATTTGTTGCAATTTTTTTTAACAGAAACTATGGAAACCAGTAACACTGCGGTTGAAGGCAGTCCAATCAAGTTTGATCACCTCCTTCTGATATGGATTGCAATATTGGCACTGATAGTAGCATGCCTTGTATTCCTGCTTTGGAAAGCCACACAAAAGAGTAAGATATTGTATAGATAAGGGAAAACGCATAGTTATAAAAACTTTGACAAAGCCTTGTGTTGCGGGAACGTATTTGTGAAAAAGAGTTGGTGTACTAGTGAAAGTGGCATTTTCCCACCAATGTGGCGACAGGTCCGAACCACATCTCATGTGCGCTGAGATTTTTCTTGATTTTTGATGATTCTCCAATAGTTTTCAAGGGTCCATCTACAAACTCATTCCTTCAAATTTCTACTAGTCCTGGAATAAATTGAAGTAGAATTTCCTCTTTATTTATATCTGAAAAACAAGAAACATCAAAATATTTTGTACACTGCCATCTTCACTTGTTCTTAAAAGACGTTGTTAAAATATCAAAGATGGCCGTACTGAAACCCATTATGTATATAGAGGAAGAGAGAATTGTTCATAAAGGGCCGAACTGTTTGGTTTTAAGTAATGGAGACTCGTTGACGTCTGCTCTCTCTCTTACTGAATCGAGAAGAGGTGTGAGTTAACTTTTTTATGTCAGAAAGTTAGTAGCAACAGGGCGATGGGGTTTAAGCCACTCCATACAAGTAGTCGAAAGTTCATCCATTTTCTTCTACTTTCTTTCCCTTTGTTAGTAAGAAAATGCAGATATCAAAGAAAAACAGACCATCTCACGTAAGTTCTTTATTGTTTACATACTCTTCGTTGAGCTTTCATTAGCTTCAAAGTTAAAGCATCACAATGGAAATACAGACGCATTGCAGTATTCTTGGTCACAAAATGTTCATCTTAAGGAGAAAATGGTTGAAAAATTGATCCAACCAAATTTGCGTATCTTGCATAGCATAAAGGAATACATTAGGGAAATGACCAGTGACAATAGCAGCACACTGTAATCCGGATTTAAGGGCTGATTTCGAGTCCTAGCCAAGTCATTGCATTACATCTTTCTACCTAAGTGTGTTTATGGGTACAAGTAAACCTTATGAATTGCTGGGTCTTAATTGCAATGGTGTATTTTTGTAATACTATAACTTAATGTTTGCTAAATTTACAGGGAGAGGGAATTGGGCAATGCCTCTTCAATATCTACAGCGGAAGAACCGAAAGAACTGACGGTAAATATTGCTTTTATAATACCAAAGGGGTTACTAAAGAGCCCCCTTAGAGATTATTTTATGGAGTAAGGGCGCATAAGTACCTATCTAGGTAAGTTAGCAATAAGTAAGAAGATAACTAGAGTTAAAATATATGCTCTGGAACCTTATGAAAATAAAACAGTATAAAAAGAGACATAATTTTTTAGCTATCTTCATTTTTATTTTGCGTACCAAAATTATAAATGGATAGATCATCTTAAAATATTTAAAGAGTTGGTTCTGTATGAGATGGTCTGGTAAACATCGCAGTTCGGAGAAATAAAATATACCAATTTGAATATCAAAGGATCTGTAGCTGGAGGTTGTTTTCAGGTCTCAAGGGAAATCTTTTTACGCATGGCCTTATTATGATGATGATGATGATGACAACCAAGGCGACTATGATGACGGGGAGAACCGTAATCAAGTCGCACCAACCCCCCCCCCCCCCCCCTTTAGTCGACTTTCTCCTCGCAAAAGTTGACTTTCCCCCTCGGAGATGGACTTTCCCCTCAGTCAGTGTAGACTTCTCCCTCGGCACGATAACGGTGATGATGAAGACAATGATGATATCCATTGCAGGTTCAAAACCAGTATGAGAGCATAGAAATTTTGGAGGTACATTATAACGGTGGATATTCCTCAGAAGAGTCGAAAAACGTTGAAGAGAGTGCACCCGTGACTCATCACTATCATGTCCCAGGAGGTCCTTCAGAATATAACCATTTGCACGAAACATCTGGTTCTCCTCGATCGAAAAAATCCAAAAATGGAAGAAACAAACAGAGACAAGAAATTGGGGAATATTCGCATCTTTCTCGAGGTGAATCACCAGTCAAAGAGCGTAACCGGCCACATTTACCTAATGTAACATTTCTTGTTTCTCCGCGGCGTCACTGGGAAATCTCAAGGGACAGAATAAGGATTGAATCTACCATCGGTCGTGGAGAGTTTGGACTTGTTAAGATGGGTCATGCTCTGGATGTTACCAATGACGGAGGATGGAGCGTCGTCGCAATAAAAACATTGAAAGGTAAGAGAAAGAGTCATTCAAGTGCATATATTATTTCTGGTTATCTATTCTGGCTGTTGCGCTCTGAACTCTGAATCCACGGGCCCTGGCTCGAGACCTTACCGGCTGATTGTGCTTTGTTGTTCAACAAACTTGTTTATCGCAGTCCCTCGCTCCAATCAGGTTTGGTAACACCAACCAGCAACCGGCAGAAATTCTGGAGTTAAAATGACACAATTTAACAGGCTGTCCAGGAGTAGTAAAGATACATTTAGTTGCTTGAAGCAGGGAAAGCCATTTTCATTGGGTATATGAGTAAAGAACCCTTCAACCTGTGAGATTAAACCCCCAACGGTTGACCCACACTACGGTATAACGAAAGTTACTTATCTTTGCTCTAAATTGATCGATGGGCCTTTTTTTATTAATTCATTTTGCCAGACAATGCAAGTGAATCACATCTCAAAGACTTGCTATCTGAACTCAAGGTCATGAGAGAACTCTCGCCACATAAACACGTGGTACAACTTCTCGCTTGCATTACAAAATCAGGTGAGGAAATCATCACTCATTAACTGTTTACACCATAACATCAGTATACATATTCTTCACATTGTTCTCAGCACACATGTTAAGGTGTTGACAAGGATAATTTCTTGAAAATCAAGAGTTTATTTTGTGATCGTGACCTTAATGTGTGACTCAGGGGTCATACTGTGGGGAGAAATTAGATGCTTGGTCACCAACTTTTGCTGAGTGAAAGCAGGCAAACTGTAAGAAACGCTTGAAAACGCGAGACAAAATAATGATGGGTTGTTTTGAATCTGATTGGTTGGGAAAATAGTGCATGTTTCCTGGACCAATTCTAGAGCGAAGTTAAGCAAAATCAAAGCAACCATGGATTACTTTCTACACTCCATTGACAACTGTTCTATAAAATGCTTATCACACATGACTTTGGAGTATTCGTTAGCTCACCAACAAGAGCTCTAAAACTCAGTGGTTGAGCATCAAGGGGTAGAATTGGAACTCGCTGGTGTTCGAATCTTTCTAAGGTTAAGATTTCTCCTTATTCCCCACCTTTAACAAGGGTTTGAAATACTTCTTATTGTTTGATTATCAGAGCCTCTGTGTGTGATCACAGAATTTGCACCTTATGGAGACCTACTGGGCTTCTTGAGGAAGAAACGAGGCTTCAAAGACGATTACTACAATATACAACAGCTTCCTAACGTACGACTTACCTCACGACAGCTTATGACGTTTGCGTGGCAGATTGCTGATGGAATGGCGCATCTTAGCGCAGCGAAGGTAACTAACTGGCTCATTATGGTAGCAGATACAAAATGGTTCTACTAGCCTGGTAGCTCACCACTTTCTGCATCTCATGTAACATGAAGCAGCCCTCCTCCCAACTATTTTTTGAGTTTACCCGAGGATCTTGCTGGTAACTTTTTTTGAAATCCTTTCAATTGTAAAATCAGAGGTTTTCTTCCGATTCAGAGATTCTCTCTTCTACCGACTGAAATTGAACTCTAGCTGTGAAATTGGATATAGAAACTGTGAGATTGTAAAAAGGATGTGAAGGGAGAGGCAGACACCTATAAGCGGAGTAGGAAACAATTACACTTGAGGCTTTTGCTACTGATCAAGGTCTCTTGCCTAAGAGGAGAACGAAATGAACCAGCTGAGGCTTGCAGGCGTCCCCTTTCGACACGGATCCCTGCCAACTGACTACCCGCCTTGCCTTATTGACCGAGTTTATCAAATAACCTACAAAGCCTAGTGTTATTTACAGCTAGTATACTTCTTCACACTTAGATTATTCATCGTGACCTGGCAGCTAGGAATGTCCTTTTGGGAGAGAATTTGACGTGTAAAGTTACAGACTTTGGGATGGCGCGAAACATCCATGAAAGGGGCATGTACCAAAAAAGCTCTGAGGTAAGTTATATGCGTAGGCGTGAAGTCTAATGTTTCATTTATAGCATTCAAGAGATCTCATTTAAACAAGAGTGATATGGATCGTGCTTGTTTCATTTATCACAAGTAGCGTTCGTGAGAATATAAGACCTTAACACCAAATTAGAATAGCCAGATTATTATTTCTTGATGTCGTCCACAATCCTTTTTCAGGGACGCCTACCAGTGAAATGGACAGCTTTGGAGGCGTTAGAACATGGACAATATACAACAAAAAGCGACGTGTGAGTTTTACATTTTTACGATTTTTTGGATTAAATTGTGAACAATTGAACATCACAGTGACCTTTTGGTTTTTCTTTTTACTCCTTTATCAGATGGAGCTTTGGGGTGCTTCTCTTTGAAATAGTCACTATTGGTAAGATTATATTCAGTTTGAGTTTAGGAAATTGTTAAAGCACTTTCTTTGCTTCTACATCCTTTTCTTTTCTTTTCTTTTTTTTTTTTTGGAATCTTTTCTTTTGCTAAATGAGGTTAATTCATTCACTCCCTCACTGAAACACTGATTTATTGATTTTACTGATTTTTCCATCCATCTATCCATCCATTCTTTAATTTTTCAAGATTTACCATTCCATCCATCCCTCAACCTATTCTTCCTTCCGTTCGTCAATTGACATATCCATTCTTCCAATCATCCATTCATTCATCGTTCCACACATTTATTCCTCCATCCATCCTTCCTTACCTTCGTCCATCCAACCATCTATCCTTCCTTAAATCCGTCAATCCCTCCATCTCCACATCCATCCATCCATCCATCCATCCATCTATCCATTCTTCACTCCCTCAATCCCTCCGTCCATCCTTCCATCCTTCCATCCATACATCCATCTCTCCATCCACTTATCCATTCATCCTTCAATCCTTCATCCTTCCATCGATCCATCCTTCTTTTCATCCCTCCATCTATCCTTCCATACATTCATCCATTCATTCCGAAATCCGTCAATCCTTCCATTCATCAATCCATCCATCCATCCATCTTTAAATCCGTCAGTCCTTCCATTTCCTTATCCATCCATCCATTCTTTAATCCTTCAACCCTTCCATCCATCCTTCCATCTATCCATCCTTCCATCCATCCATCCATCCATTTATCTATCCATCCATCCTCCTTCCATCCATCCATCCATCCATCTATCTATCCATCCTTCAGCCCAGCAATCCATCTTCAACCCTTCCATCCATCCTTCCATCTATCCATCCTTCCATCCATCCATCCATCCATCTATCCATCCATCCTCCTTCCATCCACTTATGCTTCCTTCCATTCATCCGTCCATCCATCCATCTATCAATCCATCAACCCTTCAGCCCAGCAATCCATCCTTCAATCCTTCAATCCTTCCATCCACCCATCTATCCATCCTTCCATCCATCCATCCATCCATCCACCTATCCATCCATCCTCCTTCCATCCACTCATGCTTCCTTCCATTCATCCGTCCATCCATCCATCTATCAATCCATCAACTCTTCAGCCCAGCAATCCATCCTTCAATCCTTCAATCCTTCCATCCATACTTCCGTCCTTCCTCCCATTCCCCCTTTCATCCTTCCATCCATACATCCATTCATCCCATCCATTCTTCCACCCATCCATTCTTCCACCCATCCATTCATTCATCGTTGCACACACCCATCCCATCATCCATCCTTCCATCCATCACTCCATCCTTTCATTTCCCCATCTATCCTTCCATCTATCCATCCTTTCATCTCCCCATCCATCCCTCCATCCATCTATCCATTCATTCTTGCAATTATATATCCATTTGTTCATCCATTAATCCTTCCCTTCATCCATCCTTCAATCCTCAATCCTTCCATTGAACCATCCTCTCTTCATCCCTCCGTCCTTCCATCCATTCGTCCGTCCATCCATCCAACTATCCATTTATTTGTCCATCTATCCATTCATTAATCATCCATTCATGTTCGCTTGTTGGTCCATGCATTTAGTCGTCTATTTTAATTTAGTTAATTTCTTCATTGATAAAATCGATCATTCCGTTCATTTCTCCATCTGTTTATTGATAACTTTTTTAATACTAAATGGTGATAAACGTTTGTTGTTATCAATAGGTGGCCGCCCATATCCCGGCATGGACGTGACAGAGCTGGTGGAGAAATTACGAAGAGGTTACAGAATGGAAAAGCCGCAGCATTTAGACGAAAAAGTGTGAGTAAAAATCCCTCAAATTGGTCTAAGTGAACTAAGATAAATAGGTGTGATGAATTGCCTGTTTATGCTGCGGATGTTTCTATTTCAGATATGACCTAATGCTTTCTTGTTGGAATGAAGATCCCGAAAAACGATTGACGTTTTCACAACTTTACAGGGCTCTAAAGCAACTGGATGGGGAGATTGAGGTAAACTGTACACAAAAACTCATTTGCGCAGTTGTAAGCCCGCACCCTAGCTTCAACACATTTAGCTTGGATTATTCAAACACAATTTTATACTTCACTATTCCAGGACTGCATCAACCTGACGACATACAATGGAAGAGTGTACGAGAACGTTTAATGCCGCTGAGATAGAAACTCCTGTTTGAAATGCAGTCAATGGTGCTGCCTTGTTAAATATTGACAGAACACGAACTCCCCTCTAGAAAATAAGAAAACCGAGAACATTACAGTAAAAAATGTAGTTCATTGTACCACTGAGGAGATGAAGAAAATTATCCATGGGAAGGACATTAAAACAAAATCAGTACTTTGTAGGCAAAAGTGTTTATCTTTTCTGGCATTTATAATTTTTTTCTTGACTGATAACGAGTCTTGACTTGAGTTCAACTGTAGTATGCAACCTCAAAAGTGTTTGTTATAAGAGCAACTTTTAATTGAGTGTCGATAAAAATCTGGGACTGCACATGTCTTGCCTCAGTACCATCCACGATTGTTGTAGGAAACTTTCACCTCCTTCGTAGCCAATCAGTTGCTTAGCTGAAAGGAATCACGAACTGCCGCTCCCCGTTTCACTGCGCTTGGGGTGACCGGAGCTATTTGGGCAGCTTCGCGTAGTATTTATCTTTGATTTGATTTATCATCTCGATCTCGTTATTTTTGTTTTTACGACACTCAATCGGAAACAGCTCTGAATCAGGCGTTTGATTCGATCTGTCTACGAGACATCTAATTTATATTATTTCAATTTCCAAGAAATTTGTACTCGTCTGTAAAAAATTAAATTAATTTTGTAAACTTGTTTAAGCTTCGATAGCTTTAAGTGACCTATATTTAACACCCTAAGAGTTTCAATGAACTTTCCTATCAGATATCTTAGGAAGAGCTGGCTGATAAAATGTCCGTTAGGAAGTATAGATTTATATTGATGATGAAACCTCGACAAGCGCACAATGATAGACCATTTCACAAAAATGTACGCCCAACTTATTCATATGGCACAATAACAAACACTTCTCACTGATAGAAATTCTACGGCCTACAGGCTTTCTACTGAAAATTTTCAAGTCATTGCTATTCAAATGATCGCTCAAAATGGCAGTTGATTTCAAGATTTTTCTCCATGGCCAATGATTAGTAAAAAATGTCAAAGTTTTTTCAACCTTAAAATTTCGTTTAATAAGAAGGAAACAATAGCGGGCTGAACAGAAATTTGTGAAATCACTAGAAAGAAGGATTCTTATTTGGGCGCCAAAGTAAATTTTCGGCCTAGTCTGGTTTAAATTTTCATTTACCATTTTTAGAAACCTTCCCAAGATAATTTTCAAAAATAGATAACATGCATGCTTGTTAAGTTTGTATGAAGACCCATTGATTTTTTTTCCATCAAATGCTATCAGTGAAGGTTTTACTGCGAATATGACACACCTAAAATCACAGCTGTCAACGTTCAAACTTTCCACTTCAATTGTAGAAAATACCACTCTATAATTTATTTATGTTATTGCACCGTAAGTTTATATAGCATGGAGTTCGTTTTATTTGTACCTCTTTATTATATTTCATATTTTTGGTATTAACCATTTTGCATTCTATGTTAATCATTTTCCTGAATTATTTCACTAATGTAATTCACTTTATCATTTTATAGATTTATAGTTTTCTGCTATCGCGAAAAAAGGTTTTGCTTATCTTTATGTACGAGGTATAAGCTCGTGAGAGACTTACCTTGTTCGAAATGAATCTGGAACCTTATTGCATTGTTTGGAATTTACTTGGAAACTAATTACATCGTAGAAAATACCAGTCTTTATCATATTTATCTTACTATACTTAATTTTTATACAGCATGAAGTTCTTTTATTTGTACCCTGTTTGTTCTATTTCATATCATCGGTATTAACCATTCTGCATTTTATATGAATCATTTTATTGAATTATTTCACCGTTGCTGATGCAATTTACGCTATTAATTTATAAATGTAGATTTTCCGTCATTTTGATTGTTTCTATATACGAGTTATGATGTTACCTTGGGAAAGCTGAACAAACTCGAGTTGTTCGTCAGTTATGATGTAAATATTGATATACGATTAATTATTCAAGAGACTGTCCTGGTGTTTGTTTTTATGGTTGGTTGTTGTACGCAAAAGAAGACAATATTAATAAATTTCTATTAATTATCAAATCCTTCGGGACCGCTTATCATGTTTAAATAAGCAAAAGCTGATTATTAACAGCTTTATTGATCATGTGTGTGCTAAGTATTTTTATTATAGGTGACTTGAGTGGAATTATACACTGATAAGAAATAAAAGGTATAAAGGTAAAGGATATATTGAACAATTGTTTTTATAAATAATTCAAATAGTACGCGCGCTCTGATTGGCCATAAAACCATTTTACATGAGCGTATGTAAACACGGTTTTCGTTCCTCTTTCATTAGTTATTTTATAAAAGAAATGTAAAATGGTTTCCGTGTTTACATAGCCTGATGTAAACATTTGGGAGGTGGGGAGAACACTCGATAAGCTGGAAACCACTCCGCTTCGCGTCGTGGTTTCCTACGCTTATCTCGTGTTCTCCCAACCTCCCGCGTGTTTACATCAAGCTATGTAAACACGGAAACCATTTTACATTTCTTCAATCACGCGAAAACCTATTTCTGATTCTCTACGAGGGACTTCGTCGGCTAAACTGCGGTAAAGTTACCAACGATCAATCTAATTATTTGTTTCAACGCTTCTTGGTTACAATTTACCAAAGATTCTTTTATCATCAAATTAATGGTGTGGAAAACTACGAAATTACAAAGTGTTTTTGTGTTACTAATTAGAGAAAAACAATTCGAACGGTAGTGTCGAGAATTTCAGCGATGAGCTTTATAAATACTGGTATTTCTGGGAAGCAAATTAGTTTGATTTCACTTTCAAATCACACCACGCCCTTAAGCAAAAACGCGATTTCTTTAAAACACTCGAAACAAATTCTCGGAATGTATCAATAAGCGTGCCAATTTCTTTCCTCTCACAATATGTCAGGCGGTTTTTTTTTTATAGGTGGAGTGTTCACGCGCTAAAAATAAAAAGAATAACCGGAAATACTGGAGAGATAATGCATTCTCAACCTCGCGATCATTATAAACCAGAGACAGTTTTAATCGTTTGAGAATATCCCTTCCATTGAATTTTCTGAACAATGTTTTCAAGCTATGCATAAATAAATTTACTCTTGATTCCTATGGAATCACAAAGGACTAATTCTATTTCCGTACCAGCTGTCTCAGCTCTGTAACGATCAATCCTTAGTTTCCAATACTCAACGATGACAGCCTGAAGCCTCCCAGATTCCCAGAAAATTTGAATAAGCCAGCCCTCAAGGCAAAATCAGGAATGCTCGCGGTGAGGGAATGGGAACAAGAACTCCCATTTGTACATAAGCTTTGGACCACTTTAACCGACTCTTAGACTGGAGATAGACAACTAAATTGAGGAACGTAATCGTAGCTAAGATGGTCTTTCGTATCATCATCTGTTGTGTCTTGCTCTGCATGTTTTCCCACTCAGCCTTCGTTGAATGTGCAGGTTAGTAAAATGAATAGATTGTTTTAGTTCTCAAACACTCACACTGAAAATCTTGTTAAGGATGCCACTAAAAGACCAGCTCTATTGAGCAACACTAGTCTCCATATGACTGGAAGAATTTCCTTGAAGCAGGGAGAGTACTTATAACTCTCTATATACATCTGTACACACATGTGGTATGTCCTTTGACAAGCTGAGCGCATTCAAGACGAGCCGTTTATCTTTCTTTCTAAGTCGCACGAGTAGGATTAAAGAAAGAAAAGCAAATTGGTTCCGAGAATCATTTAAACAAGTATTAAAATTATCATAGGAAAGTATAAGAGATTTAAGTACTTGTACAACCACTAAAGTACGCCCTTTGTTTTGAATTCAGTCCCAATATATTTGTGATAAAGAGATAATCATTAAGAAACGTTATTAGCAGAGTGACACAACAACATGCATGAGCACAAACAAAAGCATGAAAGGTAAATGTTTTCAGCGAAGAGAGGGGGCGTCTTTTGTGCAGAATATACTTTCAGTTTCCAACGATTTGTGGCAATGTTTTTCATGAGCCCGAAAGACGAAATGTAACAGACAAATTATTTTTGTATCTTCCAAGTATGCCCAAGCGACTGTGAATTATTCAAGCGTCCCATTCCTAGTTACTTTCACTTTCCATTATCTAGTGACTTCCTGTTATTTCCGATCATAGATTCGATCTGCTTCAGCTGTTATTGCACTTTTAGAGGAAAACGACCGCCAACATTGTAATCTCATAAAGTTAGAGACAATAGGAACTCCTGCGGAATCGTTTGAAGTTCAAAGTTATAACAGTAAAACAAATATCGAATGTGTCATGTCTGAGTGGATGATCTAACCTTTGTCAACTTGTGAGCAGCCCTCATCAAAGCAGTTTGAACCTTTCCAAATACGGCATTTTTCTTGTCAGGCAATTAATTGTCGAATCGAAGAGACCAGATGCCTCATTGACATTCAAGTAGCAAAATAATCTCTATTTTTCTTTAACTCGTTTGCATTTCGTTACTGAGTTCTTAAAATCTTGATGGGAGCTGATATCGGCAATAGTAGGAGCCCATTCCTTCGAAAGTGGGTTTTTCTTTATGAGAGCTTGTAACGAATTTGTCGTGATCATGTAAGCTCGGCCCTTTCGGGGCCTTCTTTGAAAAATTATTTGACCGAAACAGGAAAAAAAAAAACCAAGAAAAACAAAAGAAGGAAGAAAAAAAATATCACTTCCTGTTGATCATATGACCAGGCGAAGAGACATCGTCGATTACGCCCAGTAAAATAACAATTGCATTCTTGTTACAGTTTGTTGAAAAAAACCTGGCACCAACTTAGATTAACAAATCGTCAGTGGTTTAGCGCGGTCTTATCGACTCTTATCGACAACGATATTGTCACCACAATGAACAAAATGTTGTGAACAAATTTTGGCCATTTGAAAAGTTTTTGAATTACTCGTCTCCAGCTCGTGATAAACAAACTTTTCTTGCGTTTTTTCAACATTCCAAGTTGGTTATTAGGTCTTATTACGTCGGTACAACGTGCAATTTTAATGAGCACACTTCGCCGTGTTAGTATTTTTTCCTTAATTGGAGCATTCATGCTTGAGTGAACCTCAATTGTTGTAGAATTATTTTCTGTGAAATTTATGTTATGTCACTTGCTCCACCATTCTGTATTTGCATTAGCATTTTTTTAATGAAAATTTTCAGGGTCTATCAAATATTCTAGCACCGAAATTTACATCAAACGAGTTGATGGAGGAAATGTGGTAACAACCATAGGTTCCAATGTAACGCTGGAATGGTGTTATGCCACTTGTGTTATGCCACTTGTGTTATGCCACTTGTGTTATGCCACTTGCTCCACTATTCTGTATTTGCATTAGCATTTTTCTTTATTGGAAATTTTCAGGGTCAATCAAATATTCTAGTGCTGAAATTTACATCACACGAGTTGGTGGAGGAAATGTGGTAACAACCATAGGTTCCAATGTAACGCTGGAATGGTCATGTCGTGTTCGTGGGAATCACTCAGTAGGTATGCTGGCATGGTCGCTTAAGTTACATACAGTAACAGACAGGACGCGAATTGCATGGCTCTACTACAGACCTGAAAAGTTCTGGATTGGTATCACGAAATCAATCCATTACGGCAGACGAGTTAGATGGACAGGCGAAGCGAGCCAAGGGAAGATATCCTTTGTGATTCAAGATGTAAGAATCTCAGATGCCCAGTCGTATAAACTTTCTTGGAAAGTTATACTTCCCTCCAGAAATGGATCAAGACAAGTGGTGATGACACAGTCGAAGTTAATGGTAACTGTGGCAGGTAATTACTGGTATAACATAAAAGCTCGTTAAAAGGGAGGTTGCTCCTCAAACCATTCATTTTTTATCATGTCAAGGGATGGAAGAAAATTTAAAGGAATAAGATTGTTACGTCTCAAACAAGCGGGAAATGGCGGTGTCTAGGATCTAAAAGCTTATCAGCTGTGATAAATATGTTTCGTTGAACGATCCAAAAATGACCGAATATGATCATTTAAGGAAAATGGTGTCAAAGGAATAATAAATCAAAGCTTCAAATAAACAGGCTTCCAAATGCACGCGTTCGAATATAATTTTCAACATGTTAGCTTAATCTTTAGGTGCTGAAACGTTACTCTAAATATATGTCACTCGAAGAATTTCGCTTACGGTTAGGGTTTAAAAATTTTCAAAAGATGGTATCTTCGTCAATTCTGGTAAAAGGTTTTCCAATAAGGTTTATTATTACTTTTTTTATGTTTTAGCGAAGTCAACATACAAACCTCTACCTTCGCATGTTGATATGCAGCCGAAAACCACTGGTAAGGGTCAGTAAATAATCATATATAAAATATCTTTATATTCATATTTTGTTTGAATATTAACGGTATAACTGAGTTTAATCAATTTTTTTACAAGGAAACTAGCAGCCGTCTACTTTATATTCCCACGTCTATTTGTGGTCCAAGAGAAACCTTTCAATTTTTGTTTAATTTTTTTTTTGCAATACTAAGAATTACTTTGAGATAACTTCGCCAAACTCTGTATCGTAAAAATCTCTTCTCAACAACCCCGGCAAAATTGCACTATACAATATATTAATTTTGCTAAACTTAATATTGCATAAAACTCGTCTCAACAACCGCGGCAAAATTGGGGTATACAGAATTTTAGTTTTCTTTCCCCTTTGTTCGTTTTGTGTTTGTTTGGTCTGTTTTTCTTTAGCTTTTTTTTTCGTTTGGCTAGGTATTATATTGTCGACAAGCTCGCAAACTGCTGCTACCTTGGATGAAGCTAACACTGAGGCGGCCCTTTTGTCAACCAAAGGTTAAACGCATCGATCTCTTTATTAGCTTATGACTCTTCAGGAATGACAATAATGGGGAGAGATGATATTTCAGATGAAAAAATTAAATATATTATCAGACATAGATTTCTTTTTTGTAATATTAGGAATTACTTTGAGACAACTTCACCAAACTCTATCGCAAAAATCTCCTCTAAACAACCGTGGCAAAAATTGTGCTATACGGTGTGTTAGTTTGCTTAAGTCTTTGTTCTAATTTTTGTTTATCCAATTTTTTTTTCATATTAAGAATATCTATGGGATAACTTTGCCGAACACTTTATCGCATTAAACTCGTCTTAACAACTGCGACAAAATAGTACTATACAGTGTTTTATTTTTCGTGCCTCTTTGTTCGTTTTGTGTTTGTTTGGTTTGTTTTCCTTCAGCTTTTTTTTTCGTTTGGCTAGGTATTATACCGTCGATAAGTATGCAAACTACTACTACCTTGGATGAAGCTAACACTGAGGTGGCCCTTGTGTCAACCAAAGGTTAAATGCATCGATCTCTTTACTAGCTTAGGACTCTAGATGAAAAAAATTAAGGAAATTATCAGACACAGAAGTTTTTTCATACATCAAACAAAAGTTATTTTTAACTTTTTATGGCATTAGCTGACGACAGTTTAATTAATTCTAATTTTATACAATTTTCCTAAAAAACCCTTAAATGAACCCTTTAAAAAACTAGTAATTTGCCATTTGTAGTTATTCTCATGTTGATCTATTCTAAAATTGATAATTATGTAATTATGGGTGTATCGACCTCAGGTAATGTCAATGAAACTCACGTGTCCTCCCTTGAAGAGCAATCAGACCACAAGATCGTAGCAACCTTTAAATCCCAATTCTATTTTATTTTTTTTTTCATTTTAGCCATGGCGGTGAGTCCAAAGCGGTCAGACATGGGTGATCTTCCTCGTTCCAAAAAACCAGACCATTTTGCCGCCTTGTTGATTTTTACGATAACTTCAGCAATTGTAATTGTCGTCCTTTCGGTAATCATTTTTGGGTTCTGCTGGAAAATGCGGAAAGGAAAAGATAAAGAGGGTACATTGACTGGTATTTCTTGAAATTCGTTTCTTATTTTCATCATTACTCATCAGATCAATGCGATGATAACGATACAATGTGAGCAAATATGTTGCAAGTGAGATCCTATTTGTAATTTCATGTTTCAGTTGCATCTTCATTGTTGTGTTATGAATCATTTAACATATTTGTCATTGAACAAAACTTTAGTTCTGTTTCATCATTTTTCTAGAAAGAGTGCTGGCTTTCAGGCAAAGTGTGGCATTTTAAGAAAGATAGTATCAGTTCCTGTTTCATTTTTTCTGTTTCCTGTTTTTAGGCAGAGTAAAGCTACTGAAAAATGTATAGTTTTGAGATCTGATACGGTTTCAATTGCTCATTTTTAAATTAAAAACTTATAACCTTGCATGTGGAGATCAAAACCTTTTTGATTTTCTTTTTATGGTTTTTATCTTCTGTTTTCCTTCCTTTTTATTCGGTTGACTGTTCTTGGTGCTGTGAATATTTCAGAGCAAGGCCTTAATCAGAGGTAAGATTGTTAAAGAGTACCAAAGTATTTGTTAATGACTCCTTAAAGTCACGACAGTTCAGAGGTAGAGCGTAACGTTTAATGTTACGTTTGGCAATCCTCATGGTAAGTAAAGGTATACCAGTTGGAAACGCTCGTAACGCCAGTCTTTACAATAGGTTATTGTTAACTTTCATGGACCTGACTGTGAAAACCTTCTATAACTTTCCAATCATTTTTAACTGAATGGCGTATGGAAACTTCTCTTTAACGTATCCAGTCAGAATGTCTGCTCAGAAAACAAGAGATTTTGCAGGCTTAGAGAGCTTTTAATCTAAACTGCAGCACCTATATTTTCGTCCTTTATGTTGCCAGCTTTTCAGACCAATAATCTCTACTGACTGTATACGGCACAGTTTGGGGACACGTATAGTTACAGGCTGGTCATTACTATTGTTCTATTCCCATCCTTACTGTTGGCCGGAAACAACCAAATGCTAACCTTGTAGATCTCTTATAACTTTGATCCAACGATGGCTTTCATGGAAGTTTGTTTCGATTGAATATCTCAAGGTTTCAGCGTCATCATTGCGTTAATTTATTTTCAGGCAAAGAGAGGTTGAATTGACACATGTACCCAGACCAGCACAGATACAGGGAGAAGTTGAGGTACGAAGATGTTGGTTCAGTTCCCAAAATCAGTCACGAGAACAGGATGTTTACCGTTAGTTGGACATAATAAAAGTAAAGAAATTTGTCAATTTGGGATGGAAAACGTAGTGTAACAGATAACAGGAACTTTAACAACTACAAGAAATTAAAAATAAAAAGAAGAATGTAGCAAAAAAGAGAATAAGACGTAAAATCTTGATAGAAACAAAAGATGATTTCTGTATAGAACAGAAAAAGCGTTCAAAAGACTCCCAGGGGTTTCCATTTAAGCTAACCTCATTTTTGAAAATTAGGAGGATGCTAGAGCTGAACAAGATGAGCAAGTTGATATCTCCCCACCTACTTTGTTTCCACGAGCCCGTCGTTCGAGTCGGTGGGAGTTTCCAAAAACAAGACTGCAAATTCGTGAGGTGTTTGGCCAGGGAGCATTTGGACAGGTTGCTAAAGGACTCGCTTTGCAAATTGCTGGGAAGGCTAACTGGACAGAAGTTGCAGTGAAGATGCTTAAAGGTTGGCGAGTTCGTAACGCTAGCATTTCCTGAGAAATATTGCGTACTTATTGCCTGAGTGGGAGGGTCGAAGGAGTCTGTAAATCATGATTGAAAGCTGGATACTTACCCTTCCGGGCCAACCTAACCCAGTCAAACTGAAAAATTGTGAGTTTCTAGAGTTTTTATAGATCATTATATACAGACTTAAAAACGATGAAACAAATTAGAGGGAATATTTGATTGTGTTGCCATTAATAATTTTCAAAAAGTCCTAATTTGGGAGTTAAACATTGAAGGGTTCTTAAAGTTATATAATAGGAGTGGTCACCTTGCCCCTCTCTCCTCGCCTGAATAGGATGTTCATTAGTTCTCTCCCAGTGTACGTAGGGGGACACATGAAACACAAATCTCAGTCTTTTCATCTTTCTTTAGAGGATGCTGAGGAGTCGGACAGGCGAGACCTGTTGTCAGAGCTGTCAATTATGAAGAAACTCCCCCATCATCGACATGTCGTGACTCTTCTAGGCTGTGTCACCACATCTGGTACATATAATAGCAGTGTAAATTTTGTACTCACAGCGGAACAGCCAGGCCAGAAGCTTGCAAAATAATCTTGTATTTTTACCCCGAGAACTACATGTACAAAGAGCATTAAGGTTTTTTTGGAAGGTATTTGGAAGGCAAGGGTTCCAACCTCGGCGAACCCCGTCGAAACCCTTATTTTCTTAAATATTCTTTTTCTTTCTTTGCACATGCATGACGTTAGGCACTGAACACTTTTACATTACCAGACATTACCTGAATGATCGAAGGGGAGATGCAAGTCTCCAGAAATTTATAACGAGTTATGATTCCATGATACTCGGCATTCTTTGTTCAACTTTTGATGTAAATTATCTAATACAACAGTTAATCCTCTGGTGATTGTGGAGTTCGCCTCCCATGGCGATTTGCTGGGCTATCTTCTTAAAAGTCGAGGTCTTCCTGACACGTATTATAACACCTGTAAAAAACTGACCAGGGTCACCGCCAAGAAACTGATGATGTTTGCGTGGCAGATTGCGAGTGGAATGAACTTCCTGTGCGAAAATAAGGTGAAAAATAAATAACTTTGAGTATCTACTGACGGTAGATGGATGGAGCCTTACTCTAAGGGGACGATGCCTCGTTACTTTTTGCACAGAAAACTATCAGTCTAATGATGTTCAGCTTCCCGTGATGATGATGATGATGATGACAAAAATAAAATAATAATAATAATGTTGATAAAAATAGTATTAATAATTATAATGATAGGCTCTATTTATAAAGGATGACATTTGATAGTAGTAGACACATACAATGATAAGCCCGTGGCCTACATTAATGGAACAAAACATAATGAAAAACCTCAGCTGGCTTACCAGTTGGGTGTAAACAATCTTGGTCGAGGAGCTGAACCCAGGACTATCGAGGAACAGATCCATCTGATGATCGGAGTGAGATCCGAGCCAGGGACCCCTTGAGTATGAAGCTCTTACCCTTTGAATTTGCTGTCTCCCCTTCCTGATGTCTATTGTCAGAATCAGCAAAGTCGGAGGAGTGACGTGTGACGGGGGAAACAGAGGTGGTTAATTTTTAACCAAAAACCGGATTTACAGTCACCGGAAAAAAATTCCTTCATCTAAAATGATCATCGTTCAAAATTGTTTGAAAAAGGGTGAAATGATATAACAGTTGACAACTTATAGAAAGATGTTTTTTTGTCTAGTCACGAGTGTGGAACAAAGAAAGAATTCTGAGTCCCCATGAGGAATTCCTCATGGGGACTCAGAATTTTTTCTTTGTCCCACTCTCGTGACAAGACGAAAAAACATCTTTCTATATTTCTTTACCTTTATCTTCAAAATATGTTCTTGTTTCGTTCTTTAGGTTGTTCATCGTGACTTAGCTGCCCGCAATGTTCTGGTTGCAGATGGCAATGTTTGCAAAATCACAGATTTTGGAATGGCCAGAGATGTGCAAGGAAGTAACATTTACACCATGAAAGCCGGGGTAATCGATAAAAATCCAATCAGTTCATTCTGGTGCAATAACAATATGAACGATGTGAATGTGAGAAAGCAGCTGTTCTATCGACTTGTGCGTCGGTCTTTCATTCGACGTCTCCGGGGTCAAGGCCCCATCTTGTTTTTGTGTTTTGTTCTTGGGCAAGAGACTCATCTCTCAAAGGGCCTCTTTCCACCCAGGATTACAAAATGAGTGCCAACACATTTTCAGTGAAACGACTGGCCACGGAAGAGAGGGGTGGGGGTGGATGAAATTCACAATGACGTAAGCTCAGGCAGTTTAGGCCACAAGCCCTGAATAACTTGATTTGTAAGATGGGTATTTGGTTAATTTTTAGTCAAATCAAATTGCTGTGTCTTCATCGCATTAGGGGCGGATACCAGCCAAATGGACAGCTTACGAGGCTCTCTCGTATGGCATATACACCACCCAGAGTGATGTGTGAGTTTCAATTTTACATTATTCTCAAGTTCTGGTCTGTAAAGTTGTTATAACCAAAAATGTGTCATGACTGCGACATCAACTCACTCTGATGCCGGCTAATGCACATTCAAAATGTAATAGACATTACGATGTCCGCCCTGGCGATCAATAACACGTGACGTCGTTAAACCAATCATGTGAGGGATCCACTTATGTTTAAGTAAATATATTTGTTTATGTTGATAGATAGCCGGGGCTATGGTTTACAAAGATCTACAAATACATGATCTAGCCCGGTACGATATTTGACAATTCAGATGGTGGTATGGTGTAAAATAAAATACCGTTGACGCGTTGTTGCTTCTGTATAGCTCAGGTCTTGATGATTTTAAGACTCATTTCGTGTGCCTTTAAGGTCCGTATTTGTTTTCGTGCATGGTTCTGTTACTCATTTAGATTCGTCTTTCCTCAGGTGGAGTTATGGAATCGTCTTGTATGAAATTTTCACTTTAGGTGAGAAGGCTCACAGAAACGAGGCCGCTTGTAATATGATATCTTCTAGAATTTGGGAAGTGGGTAACAAATATTCTGAAATTATCCATGGCGTCTTATGTAAAAGCCCTCTTGACATCTTTATGGATAAGAAGCAGCTGTTACCTCTATTAAGAAATCTTCAATCGATTTGCTCCATTAATAAAAATCGTCATAACTTTGTCTTGGCATAAAAGAAATGTCATTATTATTAGAAACCAAACTGGTCTTACTTTACTGATTGCTTTTTGTTTTTTTTCGTTTAGGTGGTGAGCCATATCCGGGAATTAAGGCACGTGACATCGCGAACTTACTAGAGAAGGGATTCAGAATGCGACGCCCAAAGCAACTGGATAAGGAACTGTTAGTACAAACATACACCATACTCATTGCAAGAACGTAGAGGATAGATTGTTTATTGAACCTTCCTTAATTTTTGTCAGTTGAGTTTAAAAATCCTGTTGAGCATCAAAATGATACAATGACCTATTGGATTGTGGATTTGAATTTTAGAGCCAAAAAAATGTGTCAGACTCACAGTTACGCATGCACTGTGTCAATTCACACCATTGATAAAGCACAGGTTTCAGAAGACGGTTAATTATCATTGTGAACAAGTTAGACTTTTGCGAGTCATCCTTTTTTTTATTCCATAATTTTTTATTTTTTTGCGCTAACGCAATATAGGAGCTTGCATGTACCGAAAATGTGAGGAGACTTCTTCTTTGTCGTGTGATACTCCTTAAAAATAATTGCAGTTGTACGGGAATACTCTATAACCTATAACCTGGTATTCGTTGATGTAATACATATTTACGGACCTTTCACGTCTTCGTGTTTTAGATTTTCAGTCATGTTTTCTTGTTGGAACGAAGATCCTAAAAAGCGACCAACATTTGGGACTTTGCAGGAGGCCTTGGAGAAAATTGAAAAGGAACAAACGGTATTGGGTTCAATTTTATTGCAAACAAAACCAGAACGTTCCATTATAATGACTTAAATAAATGAGGCTCGAAAATTGCATCATCAGAGAAAAACCATAAATTTCAGTTGGCACTGAGCAGTTCAGGGGTAGCGTGGCCGACAACATTATGAGAAGATAGCATGACAAGAGATGATAACTTAACCACAGTAACTTTAATTTTTTTAACAAAAGAAGGCTCAAAACATGCCAAGTATCTTCCAAATGTTCGAAATGTTGTACTTAGTAATCAGTAACACGATAAATTGCGAATTTAGTAGATTTGCGTTGGAGTTTACATTGACAGGAACTCTCATTATCCTGCCAACATGATTTTAGCAAAAAAGCACTGCTTTCACAATTAAAGATCGTTACGAGTCCCATTAAGATAATACTCTCTGGTTTGCCTTTCCCTTTCCAATTTTATCCTCTCTGAAACAGACCGTCTTTTTTTATATTCATTCCAGGGTTATCTGAATCTTCAGTCTTTTGTTGACTTCTCTTATGTAAATATTTGCGAAGCAAGAAAAGTGAAAGAAGAGTCTATCATTTAGAGGCTGTCAGATGAAATACCTCTGGATGCGATGGCTTGTTTGCAGAATTTATTGTCATTACAGGAAGATTCCATCCTTCAGAGTCTATAAAATGATGGCTACTCTCTTGATTATAGCATCTCAAGCTCTTTGTCAGTTAAAGACTCGTCATTATTTTCAGCTCATAAAGGTCAATCACTTACTTCATTTTTAAATGGAGATCTGTTGTAAAGTTTTGTTGGGCAGCCATGAAATCGAGAGACTGCTTGCAGTCGACTACAATTTTTTCAGCAGTAGTTTCTTCGCGATTTGTGGGCCTGAAAATTTTTAAGTACAACTTTTATAATCCGCGTCATGCCTCTCCATTCCTGACCATCCCTTCTCGTTCATGGTTTATTTTCCATATTTTGTTATTCAGCTATCTTAATGAAATTATATTTTGTGGTTTCCATCACGCTAAAAGTAATTATGCATTACAAGTTTTAGGGCTCAGATTTTTAAATCTGAAATTCTTAATCCTCGTCAATTTTCTCTATCCCAGCCATTTTATTTCCTTAATGATTTTTTTTATATAAAGTTGTTTTTATATCTTACTGAACCAATATTTGTGATTTCCTTCACGCTAAAACATCGTGGTTTTCTCCAAAATTGCGAGATGTACTTTTGACACACGGGTATACGTACTTACTTGATACTTATTTCCATACAGGGTTTTGTATTCCCCCGACTGAAATAGCTTGCCAGTAGCTTTTTTATACTTCGTAAATTTTAGCAAGCAATTTGTAATTAAACTTTATCGATATACTCACGTCCAGGAAGAATCACTTCCCTAAAGACCACGCGTCCCAGCCAAAATATTTTTTAAAAAATCTGGCTTGTCTGGTTGAAGATTAAAAATGTTAATTTAAGCACAGTGTTATCGTATTAGACAGTAGTTGTTCGCTCTTTTATCATTAGATATATTTTTATAAAATATCTGATTTTAGTTGCAATAATAGTCTTTCCGGTTGTTTGCTTAAAATGATATCAAAGTGAAATCAATAAATCAAGTAAAGATTGTAACCATCGTTACGATACCTTGAATGGTGGCAGCTCACCCACTATGCATCACTGCATAAATCGCCTTCTTTCAAATGAACATTTTTTCCATTTTTCTGCAATTGGGGTCAGGAAAGAAGGGAGCTGGAAGGAGACAACAGAGGGAACCAGAAAGGGAACGAGGAAGCCAGAGAGGGAAGGAGAAAGGTCGGAAAGTGAGGTGGAAGGAGCCAGGGGCGAGGTGGCTAGCGATGGGAAGGATGTATGGAGGGAAGGAAGGAAGGGCTCATCGGAAATATCGGTTCAATACTGTTCACTCAATGGACCACATTTGACGCGACCTTTCGACTCAAGTAAACAAATCCTGTCATATTCGCCACATTAACATGTCAAAAAGGCTTAACGAACGTACATAAGCGTCATTACATTCTGCTTACTAATTTTGTAAACAGTTCATGCGAAAACAAAGTTGATTTTAACAGTGCAGGCTTTCATATCTGAGCTAATATAATTCGAGATTTTGCGGAGGACGAGAACATTTGATTTCACCACTCGAACTACTAATCAATTTATCTCATGAGATTTCTTTCGTCAAAGTAATGATCTCTGCTAGTATTCTCGTGACATTCCTGTATCTCGAAGTAGCGAAAATCTTTATAGTGCAAGAAACGTTTGCTCTTCAAACTCTTCATATTGGCGGCTTCTTTCCCTTCACTGGATTGTCTAATGGAAGCAAGAGCTCAATGAAAGGCGAGTTTATTCGGGCGGCCGTTTCCATGGCCATAGAAGATGTGGAAAAACAAAAAGTCTTACCGAATGGCTATAGCTTACAACTTCACGCAAATGATACAAAGGTAGGCGGTATTCTAACACGAATGTGTTAAGTTTAGCTAGAGAAAACGCGGTGTTGGCTTTAAGTCCTAAATGTAGGATACCTTGAGTTATATTCACTTTGCAAAATGGTGAATATCTGGGCTTATATCACAACAACAGAACGTATTTAGAATGAATTTACTGTCTTGTATACCTAAAATATAAACTCTAGCTTTGATCTGTGTCTTGGCCAAATTCAACAAAGATAGTAACACTTTGTGATACAAAATATATAAAGCTTGTCATTTTACATTCATAAATGACAACAAATTATCGATATACTCGGAACCGTATTAACACCACCGTAAAGTACCCTGGATACGTCATCGATCAAGTTGAACTTTGAGAACAGACTTTGAAGTTTTCAAGCAGAGTTATAACTCCAATAATCCAATAATCTGCTTAGTGTCCATATCATGCTCTATTGTAAATACTCCTGAAGGTTGCCATTGTCTGATTTCTAAGTTAATTAATTGTCTTCTATAAGCTCAGTTCTGAAAACCTAGCTAATGTCTTCGATGGAAATAAGCTTATTTTAATTGCCTTAGCAATGCTATTGCCGATTTTGTGCCTAAGGTGCAACATTCTCGCAGGGCGCAGATATCTATTACCCATTCCTGTAAACCAGTGACCTAGGTTGCTATGGCCGCTATCTCCCTCTGCGCCAACTGAACGATTTCATGCAGGATATGAAGACTTAGAACAACGTAATTTGATATTATCAACTGAGTTGAAAACGTAAATTAGCCACCGTTATGAGTTTTAAAGCTAACGTTTCGAACGTTTGCCCTTCGTCCTTCGCTCTGACGAAGGGCTTACGTTCGAAACGTCGGCTCTGAAACTCCTAACGGTGGTTAATTTATGTTATCAACTCTATGACAACTTGGTTGATGAGACCAAATTACCTTGTTCTACTCTCCCACCGAAGCAGCACCACAGTTTTCTTTAGAAATGTACTCCCTATATTAAAACTTATACTCCGATTCAATGTTTGTGCAAAGTTTCTATGTTGGATAAAACTCATACATTGGTGTTGTGTTTACTGACCTTGAAAATTTCCCCGGCCGGTGCAGATTTTTATGGTACTTATCAGTATTCCACTGTAACTAACAATACATAAAAAAAAAGAAGCAGCTTTCCGATCGCTTGTGAGAGGAAACGAATTCAAGAACACCTGATGGTTGTTTGCTTACTTTTCAGTCGAGTTTTAAAACCCACTGGGACAAAGGGTAAATTGTACGTGAGTAACAGAAGGAAGGAATGGGGAAATCCCCCCCCCCCCCTCATAATCAACTTGGATGTCCCTTCTATTCTCAGATAAGACGATACAGGATAAAAATTTATGAGCTTTAAAAGTATTGAATGGGATAAGGAAAATTTAAACATAACCAAGGCTTTTGTTTTGTCTTTTCTTTAATAAAAAATCCTACTGCAACATACCTTCGCTCAAAAAGTTAAAGTCAGTTTTCCTCAACTTGCGGTTGTCTGAGAAACTAAATAACTGTTCTGATCACTGTTTTATCAATTTAGTGCAGAATGGACCATGCCTCTCGCGCTCTTTTTGAAATGATTAACAAAGAACCAACAATGATAGCTTTACTTGGAGCGGGGTGTTCTGCGGTGTCAGAGAGAATTGCGGAGGACTCAAAGACCTGGAATCTTATCATGGTAAGTAACTCAGCAACAGTTCTCCTAACGGCTGTCCGTGTTTTACTGCGCGAACGTTGATTGCGTTGTCATCAACTCACGAGAGCTCTTTACTACAATAGTCACTGATGATGTAAATAGAAGTCGAAGAAGTTGAGGAATCTGCTTTTTTCTTATTACAATCGCTGTCATTATCACCGAAGCCGTTACTGCTACTGTTAATGATGGTGTGACTGTTTTTGGCACTGTCACTGTCATTGCTGGTGTGAATCAATGTCTCTATCACTCTCATTGTGACTGTATTTTTCTCTCTTAGTGCTTGTGTGACTGTTGTTGTTACTGTCACTGTTACTGTTAGTGTGACTGTTTTTGTTACTATCACTGTTACTGTTGGCGTGACTGCTTTTGTCACTTCCACTGCTAGGATTGGTGTGACTGTTTTTTCCACGGTCAATCTGTTGTGACTGTTTTTGTCAGTGTCACTGTTGGCGTGAGTGGGTTTTTTCTTGCTCTCACTGTCGCTTTTGCTGTGTCACTGTCACTATTGTTGTCATTGTCACTCTTTGAGAAGCCAATTTCAGGTTTTCAGTTAGTAAAAAGAGGTGTGATATGATATTCGGCGCGATAGAAACGGAGAAGTGAAAAAACCAAGGAAGATCTGAGTCGGATGCGACCCGATCCAGCCTTCGCATGTTCTCGCTCTGCCGCTCATATCGCGCTGTTTAGTATTTTGCTGGAACAGGCGACATTTCAAGTCTTCCTTACTTAGTTCTATCGTCATAAACGTATTGTATTAGAGAGCTTTTTCCTTAAAAGAGATTTTGAAAAAATTTTCTTGAAATAGTTGATTAGAGGTTAGATTGACCCAAAAATCAACGAGAATTTCAAAAAAAAAATTAATCTAGGAACGTTTCGAAAGAAAGTAAAAAGTTAGGTCAAAATACAGTGTTCAGTTTTCAAAGTGGTGTCGAATTATTAAGGCTTCAATTGACAGTAATCAATATTGATAAGATTTTCAACGATAAAAAGATTCTTTACGGTCGATGAAAATTGCCCTTGAGCCAACTATGCTATTTACGTCTTAAACAAATACAGCTGATACCGCCAACAATCGTTGAAATTCTGAGCACGTACAAGCAAAAACTGCTTAAATTTCTATGTGCAAAATCGGGTTCAGCAAACGAAAGTTAAATCGATGATTTGCAAATGAAAAGTTTTTTGCTCTACGCTATTTCCTTGCGCAGTTTTTTTGTTTGGCTTTTGTTGTAATGTTTTTCTAGACGCGATCTAATATTGCAATCAAGCCAGCTTAAAACCTTGTTATGCTCGCTGTTTATTTGCGTAAGTGAACGTAGATCGGAGGCTAGTTTCGAGTTGCAACATAATTTGCGTACAAACTTAACATAATTTGCACACTCTTAGCTTGAGAGCTGTTAAGGGAACTGACGAGGAAATTGCTTACTTTTTCACTGTGACAACTTAGAGTACACCTTTGTGACCATATTTGCAAGTATTCTCTGACATAAAGGTTTCTACAGTAGATAAAAGACGCTTGCTGGGCGCCAAAACATTTTTCAAAATGTGATTGCTTCCTAATGAAAAAATAATCATCACTAATCTTGTTGAGCAGATCGCCATATAATACTTAGACGAAATGTTAGCGATAGCTGATTAAGAAATTTGCATAGATACCCGACAGTAATTTTTATCTGTTTGAGCGCCGAAGTGCCAATGTGCCAAAATGCATCTTACCAATTCATTGTTTATCAGACTGCCTTCGTCGTCGATGAAATAAAACGTCTTTCATTCAGTTGTGGATGAGGTAATTAGATTCGTGGTAGAGTGGCAACAAACGTGAGTCTATTTCGCTGTTTTTTTCTTTTTTTCTTCTTTTTTTCTTCTTTTTTTCTGGAGTGATAATTGTCAAGAGCAGGTGTTAAGTTCATTCAAGAAAAAACAAAAGGAATCCATGGGATTAGGCTTAGTAACGAAATTAAAGGGGATTACTGTAATTTCTTCGCTAACTTTTGTTCATTTCGGAGTTAGATAAAAATGTTCAGATTTTGTCAAGCACTGCCATAAAATATACCTCGTTGAAACATGTTTATTTAGAAAAAATCGAGTCAACTCAGAGAAGTAACCTGTTTGTCTCAGCAGATTGCGTTATAACTCAGTTCACGTGTTTTTGAGGCGGAAATGAGTTTGCACCAATCAGAGATTTAAATTCTTGGAAACATTTATTTCCTAGCTGCCTAAAAGGTTTACCAAGCAAATAATTTTGAAATACGACATGAAGTGTCCGAATTGATTTGCTCGCATGTCAAATTTTCAAACACGAAAACTGAGTGGTGTCAGAACCGAGTAGTACTCCCTGACGACTATTTGCATAGACCAATTCGATCACTGAAATACGAGACATCATCTGTGGTGACTGCATTCAAGGAAAGAAGGAATCTGAGCCAAAATGGACAATTCAAGCACGCCGACTTCTTTGCCATTGACAGCGTGTTACCATCTTCGCCCGTTGGTGATTAATACCGTGCGTTATGAACCAGACAACAAAACGACTTCTGTGACCGTATTTACTTGTGTATTTATGGCATTGGCATGTCCCTGTGCAATTGTTGCAAATGTCATGGTGTTCCTTGGCGTTTTAAGAAAACCGGAGTTACGAAACGTTTACAATACTTCAATTTTGTTCCTCGCTACCTCGGATTTGGTAACAGGGTTGGTAACGCATCCTTCGTTCATTGCATATCATGGAAGCAAGTTGACGACTCCCATGCAAGATTTCTCCTGTATCGCTTTGGTCATGTATACGTACACAAATTTTATGTTCACTGGCCTGTCTGTGATAACAATAATTCTTATCACATTAGAAAGATATCTCGCCATATTTCACCCTTATAAATATCAAGCCTTCGTTACAAAGCGTCGCATCGCTATAACAATTTCCCTCGTTTGGGTCGTATGGGTCGCGTTTATAACTTTTGTGCGATTTTCTCCGGAAGCGCGCTCGGGTACACTTGGTGTTATAGCTGCAATCCTCCTTATTCCATGTATTTTACTAACAGTTTTTGTGTACTGTAAAGTTTACTGCCTGACTCGACGGATTCGTGTATCAATAGGCCATGAGTTAACAACGCAAAGAAATACCGCAGACATTCAAGAGACGAAGTCGTCAAGGACAGTTGCTTACTTAGCTGGCGCAGTTGTGATTTGTTTCTTGCCGACAATTGCGGTCGTAATAATTCAGGAATCAAAAGCAATTGATGCGAATTATTTCTTTCACTTGCTGTATCCGCTCACTGAATCGGCCGTGCTGCTAACGCCCGTGTTCGACCCCATTATTTACATGCTCCGAAGTAGCAAATTAAAAGCTAGTCTGCGCGAGTTGATACGCGATCGAGTGCTATATACACAGTCGGCCAACAGAACAAGAGCGACAACAGGACCAACTGTATCAACAGGATTAGAAATGGAGTTGACAGCACAGTCATAAGACATGACGCGGTATATGTTTAATCAGGGACACAAAATGTTTTTAAAGCAAGAGGAGAAGTGTATGTTATTTTACTTCCTTGGAGTGTTTCTGTACGGAGGAAAATCAGAAAGTGAGATTGGTTGAGGTTAAAAGTCGCGCCATGCGGAACTTTGCAACAAATTAACTAAATTAAAAAGTTCTTGTAATGTCAAATTGAACTAGAGCACCGCTCTGGCGAAATATTTAAACTACTGCGCTATGCTATGCGGCAGTTTTACGCAGATTTGGAGAATTGCTTTGATCGTCAAATGCTTATGATCTAAGCTTTCATCTACTTTTAATTTCAAACTATCTACACTCATTTCCTTATGCAGAATGTCAGCTGAAATGTTGCATCATTCCTCAATTTAAATTCCGAGGTGGTGAAAGCGCTTACATTAATGATTTAAGAGTAGGTCAAAGTTTAACCTTTAAAACGAAATCAACTTCACCGAAAAAATTGCTCAGTTGTTATGGTAAATCGTTCTTGTTTGCATGCCGTGTCGTTTTAATATTTCATTTCTTTTGCACTCTGGAAGGTATTAATTTCGGTTAACGACTGCCTTGTAAAATATAATTTGTGCTTCAGTTCGATGCCTTTGTTTACTCATCATTCTAAAATTTAGAGGAAAGATTTCCACCAGGGAGTAGAAATATGTCTGAGAACAAAATGAATTAAATAACAAGTTAAATAAACTAGTGACGCCTAAAATACACAAGCATTGTTTATACGATTATTTTACGCAATTTATTGATTCAAAATAGTTTGACTTCGTCTGGATGAAGAAATCTGATGCTTCGTTCTCGGATTTTGAGTTTTTCATTTTGCAAATAGTTGCCTTGCCTTTCAAACTGCTCATAACAGATTAAGAGATCCCGATAGCAATCACATGAAAAAATTAATAAGCTTATCAGGGAAGATGATCCTTTAGGTGCCAATTTATTACTCAAGCTTCGCCTAAACAACTTGTATTACCTATTAATTTTAACAATGCCCGGTCGTTCAAGGATTGTGATTAAGTCAGCACGAACTCAGCAACAATGATTTTAATCAACGTTTTTGACTTTCATTCATTTTATTTTACTTTAATCACAACTTCCATGTACATAGGCCAGTTTCGCTCAAATTTTTGCAATTACAAAATGACAGTGTCGTTGTTACGGGCGAAACGCTATGGCTGTCTCATTCACTCGCGTGAATGATCCTTTCGACAGGATTCACAATCTAATATTATCATTTGAAAAATCCCGTGAAAAGTTTAGGATTCAAGAAAAGTGATGAATCGGAGCTGATATCAAGCTGGCACCTTTTAAGAGGCGCTTTCGATTCGTTTGAGAGTTTTCGGAAGTGAAATAGACAAACGAGCTGAGACTTACGTTTTATGTCCTTTAATAAAAGTATTATGAAAATGATTAAAATAATTTGACACTAACCTGCTGTTATTTTACGCCTTTCCGGAAGGTGGGAAGCCTAATAGGTAAATACTAGTTAAAGTATTATTTGAGAAAATAGACAAAACTTTTCACGAAATCAGAATGAAAGCTGAAAAAAAAAGGAAGCCGATATAAACACGTGGTAAGTGGGAAAAGAAGGTGAGGCAATCAGACTTTGTCTAGTACATGATTGGGAAGAATACAGACAAGAGGCAAAAAAAACAAAAACAAAAACAAAAACAAAATCAATTTAGTTTATTTCTTAGCAAGCGCCTGCTGAAATAAATTTAAATATTCATTGATGCAAGCATGAATTGAATGAGTTAGATCCCACATTTAGCTGTGAATGTTTGCCTCGAGCTCCTGCCTGCTGTCGCACATTATTGGGAAAAATATTGGCAGTCTGTTTTATTTTGCCAAGGTCGAATGAAAAGTTGTCATCAATATGGACCATGGGTCAAGGTGTTAAGACCAATCAAGTAGTTACTATTATTGAAAAAGACACTGATTGCATCAGAGGAAATTCCTTAAATCATGAAAAAAATTTATAATTTGATGTTGATGTTATTTAAAATGTGGTTAACTGGGTCAAGCTGATTGGCAGCGCTAGCAGCTGCTGTAATTCAATCTTTCTCAGAAGAAAATTTTTTACTTCATCTTTATTCCGCAACCTGAGAGAAAATCTTCAGCAGATTCCATTTGACTTTGACGAAGATTCAATCACCGACGGCAGTTCTTCTCAGGAATACTCTCACCCGAACAATCAGACCACACAGTCAACTGCTACTTCTGCTTCCAAACCGTTTCCTGTATGAAAGTTCTTATAAACTATGCCTTACCCTCTTGATACACAGGTATCCTATGGATCAACGTCTCCAACCTTATCAAAGAAACAGAAATATCCTTTGTTCTTTCGAACAATACCATCTGACGCTGCGTGTAATAAGGCTCGTGTGGCTCTCCTAAGAAAATTCAACTGGTTAAAAGTTGGACTGATAGGGCAGAATGATATTATTAACTCTGAGGTGAGACAATTTCTTCTTGCGCCCGCAAGAAATGGGGCCAATGGGAAACTGGGCAAAGCTAAGACCATTCAAAAATTTTGTTCGTGGTATAAACAAAAAAGTTACCCACGAGGCGCAGCTAAGGGTCTCACTGATATTCTTACCATATTTTGACGTCAGATCCATGGCAACATTAAAATAGAAGCTGTTTGCTTTATGTTACAAAAAAGCGAAAGGTTGTTAATGGTGACGTTATCCATGCGTCTAACCTCCAAAAGATCATCAGTCGAAACCAATCAAAAAACGTGTAAGATTCAGCTGATCACATAATCTGTGTTACTCATTTTTGAATTTTTACAGCAAATTTCTTCTACACAGGAATATTAGCCCATTTTGCCGCGTGATGGTCCAGAAAAGAGATGTTTGTCGGCGACAGTGAATGACGTTTTGAAAACCTGAGCGAAAGTCATAAAAATACACTTAAGATGACATTCGGTTGCATGGATGGAAATCAGCAGACTTGACTCAAATGATGAATTCCGCCTAGGGTGTCGAAACGTCATTCATGAGTCTCCGAGATAAAGGTCATCTTTAGAAAGACTCTTAACCTGACGAACCGATTACTTAAACATTTTTCCTAGACTACTGCTGACCTACAAGAAGAACTGGCCAACGCAGATATTCAGATCCTTACGTCAGAGACCTTTGTAGATGATCCCACTGCCCAAGTGAAGAGCTTATCGGTAAAAGGCAACTAACTGTTGTTAAACATAAGTCTAAAATTTCACGAGGACGTATATATGTATTGTACTGGGAAGACTTCTAGCTAAGCTCCTAATTTTCGTTTTGTTGGTGATCCATCTAGGAGAAAGAAGCCAGAATAATTCTTGGAAATTTTGATGAGAAAAGTGCAAGAAAGGTTTTATGCCAGGTAACTCGTTCACAGAAGCCTTATAATCCTTATTCCTCCTCCCATCATCAATTTTCCTCATTTCGTGTTCTGAGCTCTAGATAAATCACTGTCCTTTAGAAGTTTAAGGAATACATCTCGAATACATAAAGACGCTGCTATTTAGAATCTAGCTTAGCACCTGACCGCGCTACTAGCTTACCTTTGAACGTAATAGATTCTCACTCCTTTCCTATTTTTGCCTTCATCTTTGAGCGTTTTTTGTAAGAAATTAGGAGCTACGAAAAGGCTATCTACTCACAAGCTACAGCACCTTCTGTTTGTGATTCGTTCATTTGGTTTTGCATATGCAGCCAGGTTACTAAGTTGTTTTCAAAATGACGACTTCCGTAGTCGAATTCATAGCCCTTTTCAGGCCAATTTTTGAACAGTTAGGTTACTCTAAAAAGTCTCATCAAACTACAGTGCAGCAAAATTTTACATGGAGAATATTTCTTTTTCTAAAGTCTCGCGTCATGAAATTCTAAGTCTTAATATCAATCACGAAAATGATCTTCAGAATGACACGGTCATAAAGTCGGTAGGCACCATGGAGGTGAAAACAAACCATTAAGTTTTTCATGATAATAACTGAAGTTTTTTTCTTAAAGTCTTCCTGTTAACTCCCTCAGGCGTTTCAAAACGAGATGTATGGTGCTCGCTATGCTTGGCTTATACCAGGCTGGTTTAGTGAGAACTGGTGGAAGAAACATTTAGACGAAGAGTCCATAGGATGTACCGTAGAACAGATGAATAAAGCTGTAAATGGATACATCTCCTGCGACAACTTAAAGATCAATCCAGACAACACCACTACAGTATCTGGAAAAGTATCGAAATTAATTTCAGCTTTATTTTACGATAGTTTTTTAATGTTTCGCCACATGTAAACCTGAGATGGACTGAGATCCCGTTCGGCAAAGACGGGGCTGGGGTGGTGGGGTGCACAAAGAAGTGCACGAGTGCCGCTGGTCGTAAAGACGGGCGAATCAATAAAATTCAAGCTATCTGCTTACCACTTCACAAAGAGAAAAAGAGAAGACTTAAAAAATCTTGCTTGAATATTGTTTGGGAGGCGACTACCCCTTTGCCCCTCCATTTGTTGCAGTCTTGTTCAGGGGATGTTGTAATAATCTTTGTTTCATCTGTCATGTCAAAAGGCGTAAGGCTGATCATGACTCAACCATGTTTAATTTGTTCTTAGTCTCCTGGGCAGCTAAGTTCTCGGTACCAAAACATCACTAAGAAGGAATTGTCGAAGACTGATGGTGGATTTGCATACGACGCGGTTTGGGCCATCGCATTGGCTCTGAAAATGACCGAGGAACATCTCAGAAGATTAAATCCTTCCCAGTCCATAGTCAATTTCACTTATGTTAATGAAGATATCATGAAGCAGTTCAAGAGTTATTTGAATAAAACCCAATTCCAAGGTCTCACAGTAAGTACAAAACATTCTTGAATATTTTTTACTCTCTCGGAGTTCCATAATGGACAGGTGCACCAAGTTTTGGAGGAAAATAGAAATCCCTAGGGGAGATTTTTGTCATCCTCGTCAATCCAAAAGGCAAAATTTAATCCTTCATGTTGTATTCATTTCAAGGGACCGGTGCAATTTACATCCAAAGGAGATCGCATGGGTTACATGAAGATTGAGCAGCTACAAGGTTAGAGAGAGAATCAAAGCAATAATATTTTCTTTAATATTCTATGTGATCGTATGTAATTACTTAATAGATATACAGCCAATAGAGTGCATGACAGTATGCAACGATAATAAGGTTCAAAACCAACCTCCTCTATACTGACAACCAAGAAACACGATAAAGTGATTGTTTTCGCATCAATTTCCTTGCGCACGAGGCACATGTCTGGTCAGGTCTGGTACGTTGCTTTGAGTGACCTGCCATTAGTGCGTTTTCCGTGAAGAAGACCTGTAGGAAACAAATTCAGGTCGCAAACAGTTGTTCTCATAAATTATGCTAACACTATCGAAAGTATCTGAGATCTTAGTTCACATATCTCATATCAAATAAATATTTTAATTTTTGTTCCTTAAGATTGGAAGGAAAGTACTGTCTCTTTATATCTGCAACAAAATGATAGCATCCTCGACGTCCCTGCATCTAGATTTATCTGGCAAGGTAGGTTAATTAAAGGTGGAGATTATGATGACGATGACAATAAAAACGACGATGACAATGGGGATTATTTTACATTAGACTTACTTTAAAAACTCCAATTGGGCGAGAGTATTCAGTCAATATAGAATAGCATGTGACGATGACATAGATACTAATAACAACGATGACAAAGATTACGACATGACGACGATGATACTAATGATAACGATGACGATGATAAAGATTACAACATGACGATGACGATGATACTAATGATAACGATGACAATAACAATGATTACGACATGTCGATGACGATGATAGTAATGGTAACGATGACGATGACAAAGATTACGACATTACGATGACAATGACACTAATGATAACGATGACGATGACAAAGATTACGACATGACGATGACGATGATACTAATGATAACGATGGCGATGACAAAGATTACGACATGACGATGACGATGATGCTTATGATGACGATGATGATGACAAAGATTAAGACATGACGATGAAGATGATACTAATGATAACGATGGCGATCATGATTATGATTTTTATTTTGACAACGATGACGATAATGGTGAGGATCACGATCATGTATGTACTCGTTTAATGCTATATTCACGAAATCAGGTGTTGTTGTTTATGTTTCCAAGGAACTGGTCCACCACCTGATAGTGCCAGGCTCGTATGTAAGTTGATGACCATATCGCCTGAGCTGTATGGAGTTGTGTGTGCAATCACTGTTCTTTGTATTATCCTGGCAGTTTGCTTCCTGGGTTTTAACATCAAACTTCGGAATTACAGGTAACTCGAAGATTTTTCTCCTCTTAGTAGACGCAAATTCACTTAGAAGATTTCAAACTCGTCAGTTCCTTACCTCTGCATTCAATTTTTACTAAAAGGTACATTCAGATGTCAAGCCCTCGTCTTAATAACACCATTGTTATAGGATGTATCGCTATGTATCTATCAGTATTTATGTTTGGATTGGATGGTAACCTGATATCACCTGATCGATATTCTAGTAATTGCCAGGTAAGATCCAAACATTATTATTATCAACTGTTGTCTTTTAAAATTAATGGTCTTCAAATTGTAATCCATAAGTAATTACTCAGAGCAGTTTTAAATTGAGTGTTAACCCTTTGGCCCCTAAGAGTGACTAGAATCTAATTTCTCATTACAATATCACTCCTGAATCACACATTAAGGTCATAAAGAATAAAGCAAATGATCGCCAGCTAAAGAGGCTCTTGATTATTGAACAAATTCTCTTTGTCAGCACATTAGGAGATGTAGAGAGAACAGCGTGGAGAAAACGGAGACTCATGTTAGGGTGTAGAGGGTTAAAAAGTGAAGTCTTTACGACTACCAATCAGAAAAAATGGTTGACGTCATCATTAACCAATGAGAACTCAAAGTAAAAACAGGCAACTTGTTGAAGCGCGGGAAAACGCAAGTGACCAAATCGCGACTGGCTTTAGTTTTGCATATGATCGGCTGATATGGTGGCACGAGTTTCCTTGACCAATCACTAAGCAAAGTAAAATAAAAACCCGTACAAACCGGGATCCCTTTCAATACTGAATCAAAAACTCGATTCATCTTTCTGCTTTAGGCAAGAATATGGCTGACTTCACTTGGTTTCACCACCGCATTTGGCGCCATGTTTGCCAAATTATGGAGAGTTTACGTCATATTCACCAACCGTAAATTAAGGAAAAAGGTAAGGGAACCATTTTTCCCCTTTCCTACAGGTATTGTTTTTTTGTCTCGTCAGTTGTATTTTTTCGGCAAACCAGCAGCGTCGCAAAACATTTCTAAGGGTTGCACCTACTTCCGAAATTAACCTCCCCTACCTCCTTTCTTTTGCAAGAGTCTCTTGTGAAGACAGACCGAGATAGAGCATTAACCAGATGACTGTTCACATATGAAATCAAAATTACCCTATTCACTCGAGTACCCGCTGCAGCAGAAACACTTGATATTTAATTAACGCCGTAGAGTTTAATCGAGTACATACAGTAACCACGAGGAAATACATGTTCTGTTCATTGATTTATTTATCTATTGATTGGTCAGTCGACTGAGTAACTGAGTAATTGACTGGAGAGCTGATTGATTGATTGATTGATTGATTGATCGACTGACTATTTGATTGATAGGTTATCAAAGATGGAAAACTTTTCATGTTTGTTGGTGCTCTACTGTTGGTCGATGTTTTAACCCTCAGCGTTTGGAGTGGAGTGGACCATCTGACAAGAAGGCTACAAAATGGCACCATTGAGGTAAGGTAAAAAAGGTTTGGTTATCTTCCTCTTGATTTCTGCCCTATCATTAAGCTAATTGTAGTCCAGACGGTCTGTATCCCAGCTTGTAAGGAATTCTTATGCCAGAAACCCATCAACTTCATTCAGTTTATGATCCATGGTAATTATGGTCCAGGAGGTCTGGACTTCCCCTCCCCCCATTCCCCTATAAGACTTGTGGGGTGGTTTTTTTAAAAATTGTTTTGCTTGTTGTCTAACAAAAAATTCTCGCAACGTCAGGATCTTATGTTACAACTCAAGCTTACTTAGGCTCTGGTGTAAAAAGATTTCCTTTGTTTTCTGAATCAAAGCCTGGAAGATTTCTATGAAAAATTCCTGGTTCCCCCCCTTTTAAACTTTTGCTTTAACTCTTTTGTAGCATGGAATAGAGTACGACACATTGCCTCAGTGGGAATACTGTGACTGCCAGCACAAGGCAATATGGTTTGGTGTTTTATTTGCCACTAAAGGCCTGCTACTTTTGTTTGGAGTGTTCCTCGCGTGGGAGACTCGACAGGTGAAAATTCCCGCCCTAAACGACTCGCGCTATGTTGGAATGTCTGTGTACAACGTTGTCATCTTGAGTGTAGTTGGTGTCCCTGCTGCATTGATGATCGAGTACGCGCAGGATGCTTCTTTCGCCCTCACGGCGTTCTTCGTTATCTTCTCAACCACAGTGACGTTGTGCTTAGTATTTGTTCCAAAGGTGAGGGATGGTATAGGTTGCTCCATTAGAGTTTCAAACATTTCGGGCTGGCTTTCATGATGACATAAGCTTAAACACCAACCCTCTATTGCGCAGGCGCAGTATCAGTGAAACCACATTCTAGCCTAAGGGTCTAGTTCTTTTTTATCAGCGGTATGGAAACGAGGATCGTCCAACGGACTGTTCGACAACCGAGCACCCGACGACCCTCCTCGTTTTTCGCACCTTGAACAAGAATAGCACTGTTAAGGTTGCGTTGGTGCCTTTTATACGGCTTCTTTATTCACGGAGCAGATAATCTAATTGGTCTATTAATTTTCTCGTTCCTCTCTCGGCTCTAAAGTTCATAGCAGTGAAACGAAATCCGAATGTTTTGGACACAAGTGGTGCAACGAACACATCCGCGAGTCAAAGCAGCGGTGAGTCATCAACCTCACAAGATAAAGGAATAAAAGGGGCCAAGTTCATCGCCTTAGCTGCCGAGAATTCCAACCTCAAGACCCTGATAGCTGAGGTAAGCCATATCTGGGCCTATTTTAAACCTTTGACATCTCTGATAATGAACTAATGGTCTAACAGTGATTTAACTTTTTAAGGTCATTGAACGTTGGGGATCATAGCCAGTCACTGCTTGAGAGAAGATCCCACTCCCCTCGCCAGAGGAGGAACGAAAACCAGACTAGAGACCGAGTCTTGCCGAGCGCAAGGGGAAGGTCATAAAAGCTTTCATCGAGGAGGCTCTGCTCGAAGGGTCACCTCCCCTACATACCTCATAAACTAGTATTGAAAAAACTCTTGCTCTTTCTTATACTTTCCAAGGAGTGATGATATTCCTTGAGTAAATAACCAATTAAATGCATTTGTCTCCGATAATTAAATTATAGACCATTTTAGATACTTAAGTGACAGACTTCCCATAATCTCACAAATCTACCTCCACCTCCTATGTTACTGAAGCCTCGAAAAGAGTTATTCGTTTTGGGCGGACCCTATTTCTATTGGTCATTCTACGAAGTCCTTTCGCCCCCCTTACTGAGGGATCTTTAGCATGTTGTTAATTGGAATATTTTGAGTCTCCATGAGTTATTTGTCACAAATATTTTAGAAAGAAGAGGAGATATCTCAACTAGAGATCCGTTTGAGAAGACGAGGGGTAACAATAACAGAGCTACGGAGAATATCAATGGCTGCACGACATTCGGATGCTATACCAGAGTTGACTCCCACTTTGCTCATCAGAGGTGATAGGTACGCAATGATATAACTAAGCGATCTGAATGAAGCCAACAGACGTCTCGAACATTATCAAGACTTGAATGAAAGTGATCCTCGCAGTAATGTACACTACTTAGGTAGTAGTGAAAATAAGGCCTGAAAAAAATTCAGGCCTGTACGGGATTTGAACCCATGACCTCTGCGATACCGGTGCAGCGCTCTACCAACTGAGCTAACAAGCCAACTGGGAGCTGGTTATGATGTTGGTTCTAAATAAACCCGTGAAGTGATGAATAAACGGTTAAGAATATATGAAAGTCATATATTTGAACTGCGGATAAAGAAGTGAATGAAAGTGATCCTCGCAGCAATGTGCACTACTTAGGCTTGTTAACTCAGTTGGTAGAGCGCTGCTCCGGTATCGCAGAGGTCATGGGTTCAAATCCCGTACAGGCCGGAATTTTTTTCAGGTTTTATTTTCACTACTGCTTAAGTAGTGTACGTTACTGCGAGGATCACTTTCATTCACGTCTTTATCCGCAGTTCAAATATATGACTTTCATATATTTTTAACCATTATCAAGACTGTAGTGGTTTTTATTCACTGCGCTCTTTAATGAGTGAAGAAATCAGGTGCCACTTTTTCAACCAATCAAATGCAGAACTCTTCTTTCGTGTAGAAATTTTGCGTGGTACCACTTTAATGTTTAACTAAAAATCTTTTATATCGTTTCTGCAGGGACGACGGTGGAAGTTTTCATATTGATAAAGCGCAGAGCACGGATGATGTATCCGACTCTAAATCTGCAGGTAGGAAGGTCACACGCAAAACGTTTCATTTCATTTCCGTTTCCTTTCCTGGAAACCGAAGAATTTTCGTCATCGTTTTTTTGCAATATAATCAGGAGGTAGGAAAATCACGTGGTTATTAGAATCCGCTAGATCTCTTCTTATCAAGCATGAGCGCGGAAATCCATAGTACTGCTCATTTTATATTCTAGAAGAGTACCAACAAAATGTTGAAAGTTTGTATGCTTCGCTATGAACTCTGGGAATTCCTCTTCGGACAATTATGGCGTCCACATGATTAAGGTTCATTAGGCCTCTATGAAATCGTTTATCAATTTTGTGCATCGTGTCTCAAAAACAAGGTATCTTTGTCATTGGTGTGAACTTTTTGAATCATATAATTTCCACATGTGTCATGTCTCTATACATCAACTTATCACTGTTGGGGCAATTTTCAATTGAATTTTTAAAGTAATTCTGGTTTGCTTTTGTTTTTCTTCACTTCACAATGTAATTGGTTCAGAAAACTCACGCCAACCTTTCATGCAACCAATTAGATTCAAACCTAAATCAATCGGGACTTGGTTACCCGCATTTTCCCGCGCTTTAAACGGTTTGTTTTTCTTCGGCTTTTTAAAATATTTCCCTTCGCTCAATACTCAATTGAAATGCGCTCTATTTCAGATAAACCTGACCAGGAACCATTTTCACCGAAAAAACGATATTCCCCATCGTCTTCCTATGTCGACCAAGGTGTTCTTTTAGGTAACGATGTGACGAAGGCAAACAGCGCCATAGCAAAGAAGTACTCCTTGCCCACACGGGCTAGAAAAGATGTTTCTCAAATCGAGACTAGGACCAGGACCCGCTCAGCTGACAACGAAGTTCATGAAGCTTACGAGAACCCGGCGATCTTTACGGAAACAAACGACGAATCCACGAGCGTTCCTCGAAGGAAACTATCTATGAATAACCGAATGGAGAGCCCCTTTTACACAGAACCCTCGACAACGGCTTCCTCGCCACCCCTCTCCTCTGTAAAATCACGATACACTAAGCCTAAGAAAGGAGATACCCCGGATGTGAATGCAAATGCATCACCAATTGTTAAGGGAGAACTGCAACGCAAAGGAAGTGTTGTTCTTGTGTCCAAGTCGCAAACCGGTGAAACTTGTTTTCAAGTGAAAACTCCGGCAGAGTTTAAGCCAAAGACAGAGAAAGATAAAATAAGAAAATCCATTGAGTATAACGTATAATTTGCAGTAACCGTTTTAACATATGTTTCTGATATTTGTGTAAAGATATTTAATATAGTTTTATGATTTTTTTCTCATATAAGGCAGTGTCACAATGTTCAGGAAATTTTTCTTTGAGGTCCTAGAGATTTTAACCCTTTAACTCCCACGAGTGACCAAGACAGAATTTCTCCCCACAATATCAACCAGATAAGTGATGAGAATGAAGAAAAACATCAATTTGGGGATAATTAGTTGATCCGATACTAAATTCTCTTAACCAACATTATAAGAATTGTATGGTTGACAGTAAAGAGAATTACAAATTTGATCTGTGAGTTAAAAAGGTTAAGGGTAATTTGTTTTGCAAGCAGGTTTCCCTCATATTATCTCATACCTCATAACAAACAATGATGATAATATTGATACATAATCAAATAAAAATTCTGCATCCGTGTTTAACTCTAGAGGACTAAAAAGGATTCAGCTAAATCCAAGATAGTTTAGAGTGCATTTTTTAAAACAGCAGCTTAACATTGTTTGAGTGACCCTTCTGGAAAAATTTTTAAAAGCTTTCAGTTGACGTGAGGAGATCATTTTAGGTTCATACAGTTTGTGATTGCCAGCAGTGTCCAGAAAACAAATATTTTGACTCCCAGTATTAAAAACTGCTGTGTAGAATTGCTTTAATTCTTTAACTCCCAGAAGTAATTAAAATGAAACTTCTCCCTATAATATCTATACATTATCCAACAAACAGGTGATAAGAATAATCAAACTTATCATGTAGAAGTTGTTATCTTGATTCAACATTAAATTCTTTGAAAGAATTTACAAGGAAACCCGTAGCAATGAGTGAGGAGAATTAACAATCAGATCTTGGGAGTTTAAGGGTTAAATAACCAATTCAGTGACATGCATGCAGGAGGCTATTTCTTGTATTTAGTAAAATTCTCTTAGACTATTAGTTCCACTTAACCCTTTCACTCCCATGAGTGACCAAGACAGAATTTCTCCTTACAATATCAATACAATATCAAGCAGACAAGTGATGAGAATAAAGAAAAATATCAGTCAGGGGATTATAAATTGATCCAATAACAAATTCTCCAAACTAACATCACAAGAACTGTACAGCAGACAGTAAGGAGAATTACTAATGAGATCTTGGGAGTGAAAGGGCTAAATTTGTTTACATTACAAATTCAAACTATCATGTTACTGTAACATAATCAGAGACTTCAAAAATCAACTACAGCAAAATGAATCATAACATTTTGATTTTTTGTAGAAATAAATAAATATAATTCAAAATATCTTCACGACAGTATTTTATATCTATTACATACTCAGCTGTAAATGTGTTTACAATAAATTATGAACACTCTCTCTCTCTCTCTCCCCCCCTCTCTCCTTCTCTCTCCCACCAACAGAGTCAGATTAAAAATATTTTCTACATTGTCAAAATTACCAAAAATTTAGAGACAAAAAATATATTTTTTAACCATCTGTCACTAAACAAGCCTTGCAATTCACTTAACCCTTTTATCCCTGAGAGTGACCAGCATCTAATTTCTCCTTTCAATATCACCCCTGAATCAAACATTCATGTTATGAGAATAAAGGAAATGATCATCAACTGAAGAACCTCTAGATTGTTTAACAAATTCTCCTTGCCGGCACTTTAGGACATGTATAGAGAACAGAATGGAGAATATGCATACTGATGTTGGGGTATAAAGGGTTAACGGTGTAACTCCCAAGAAAGACCACAAATGAATTTCCCCTCAGGATATCAATACAATTTACAGCAGGTTGGAGAAGAAAGAAGAGAAGAGGATATTGTTTGAATTTCTGTTCTGCTTTATCCATTTTGAAATCACTGGCAATTAATGGTCTTAGCAATCTGATTGGCTCTCAGCAGTGCAATTCATTGACAAATTACATCATTTTTGTTTCTAAATTGCATCTTTTTCCAATGAGAAAGCAACTCTTCACCAAAATACCCAAACAAAGTAATCAATCAAGGTAAGTAATTAAAGTTACTAATCAAACTTCAAAAAACTGAAAGAAGCCATTACGTTGCAATTTTTGTAACATTTGTCCCCATGACTTCAGTACTGGATCAATAAAACTTTGTAATAACTTAAATCCTGTGTTTGGGTCATTAAATTTTGCAAATTTAAAACAAATGTCCTACAGTGATAACTGAACTGATCTGAAATTACACTTGTGAATTCAAATTAAACAGAGGTGCAGTGCAGATTAAATTGTTTAAAACACGTATATAATTTCAGACCAAATTGCACTTGACTCAGTTCAATTACCATTATGAATTATTTAAGTTCAAAACATAAATGTATCAGCACACAGTTAAGAGGGCTGATATTGAGATGAGGCAAGTGAAAGGGTTAATGATATGGTGGACATCTTAAAAAAAAAAATAGTGTTTCCTAAAGCATCTGAACTGTCAGTGAAGACAACAGATGCAAAGTTTACCATAGTGGCATTTCTTTCAGTCAGGACCAAAGTCTGTGTCTCTTGAATGAAGGCAGACCCCAAATTAAGAGTCGCAAATGAGGGGCTGTGCATTTTGCAATGTGCTGGAAATTATTTTTATCCCAAAAGAACTCTCCTCATTCTTTCACGCGGTATGCCAATGGCTTCATCTTCACTGCTGCTGGTTGCGGAACAATCTTCCCATCTTTCATCAGCATGTGGTGAGCACAGAAACTGTTCAAGAGGCAGACGATATTTCCCACAGAAGTCCACAAACTTTATATGTCGCACTCTTGCATCAAAATACACTCCTTTGCAGCATGGATTCACACAACGGCGAGCACTATTCAGATACTGAAGTAAATGAGCAGGTAGGTCTTGTGGACCATATTTGACACCTGTATTTTTTATGCATCGACCACTTAGTTCTAACAATGAAGGAGGGTTAAATGCCATGTCTCTGACAAATCGCACAACAAGAGGATTTTCTCTTAGACTTAACTCTTCCAGGTTTCGTAGTTTTACAAGTCCAACTGGCAGCAGTGTCAATCTGTTAGTGTGAAGACTCAAAGATTGTAAATGTGTCAGTTTTGCAAATGTCGAAGGCAGTGATTCAATCTTGTTGTCGCACAGGTTGAGAGCCTTCAACTTGCGCAGCATACCCAGTTCAGCTGGTACAGATGCCAGCTGATTGCCACCAAGATAAAGAATTTCCAACCTGTGTGATGTATGATACACAAAAATTAGGCTACAAATCTGACTTCAAAATTGTTAAAGTAACTTAATTTTGAATATGAAAGTGATCTTTGCAGCAATGAATACTACTTCAGTATTAATGAAATAGAGCCTGGAAAAAACCTGGCCTGTACAGGATTTGAACCCATGACCACTATGATACTGCTGCAGTGCTCTACCAACTGAGCTAACAAGCAAACTGGGAGCTGGTCATTATATTGGTTTGTAATAAACCTATGAAATGATGAATCAACAACTGTGAATATATGAAAATCATATTTATAACATAGCTAGTAAATTTGTCTAATCAAATTCAATTGCGCAAGTGTGCTTCATGCACACTCGTGATGTCAGCAAACAAATCCCTCTAGAAAAAAAATTTCCATCGGGTTTAAAATGTTATAAAACAATTGGTTCATACGTCAGCTGTGTGTTCATCAATATATGAAGCACTTATGAAGTTTGGAGAGCACTCAAGAAGCTAGAGTTGCTCTTGGCTACGCCTCAAGCAACTCTTATGCATCTTTCGTGCTCTCCAAACTTCCCAAGTGCTTCATATCTCGATGAACGCACGCTGACGTATGAACCAATTGTTAAATGCGAACTGAGGATTAAAGAATGAATACAAAAGCAATCCTCGCAGTAATGAACACCACTTAAGCAGTAGTACTTGAAAAAGAAATGTGTCATATGAACTAAAATTAAAGGAAATTTTCATTTTTCTTAGGAAAGTGCTGCCCTTAAGTGGGCTTACCAAGCTATCGATATTTTATCTATTGTATTACAGGTGAATTAACATGGTTTGACGTTCAGTTCCTAGAAAATTTGTATCGCCGAGCTGGACTAAAAGAGTTTTCACAAAACTAATAAGCCAAATGAATGAATGAATAAATGAGTAACAGAAGAACAAAGCGTTTCTTTAGGCCTTAACACATCTTCTAGAGAGATCTTACGTAACCCGGGTGATTCAGCACGTACATGTAAGACATGGCCTAACATGGAAACGATATCACGAGCACAGCAATTGCGAAAAATTACGGCAAGTTAGAACCATGTTATTTCCATTTATATAAAATGAACATGCTGATAAAAAAAGGTAGCGGTAAAAACCAAAAAAGAAAAATTCCCTCAGGCCATTCATAAAAGATAAACAAAATTTCTGCGAAATAATTGCTTGCTGAAAATGGTAATTTCGAACCGCACTGTTTACGAACCTTACCTTTGGAGACGATGAATGTCTGGTGGAATAACGTCGATTCTATTCCCTCCTAAAAGCAATGCTTTGAGTGCTACAAGTTCAAACATTTGGGGCATAAACGATACAAATCGATTACCGCTCAAATTAAGATGTTCTAAAGCCAAAAGAGAAGCGAACTCTTTCGGTAAATCGACCAAGTTGTTGTTCTTTGCCAACAAGCGTTCGAGATTCCGTAGTTCGCCGATTCGTGGGGTGATAAAAGCCAAGCCATTTGCAGAGACATCCAATTCTCTAAGGTTCGGAAAGGTTGCTATCGAATCGGGGAGAACTGAAATGGTGTTTCCGGCAAGATTAATCCTTGTAATTTTCAACGGATCTGGCAAATTGTTTAAGATGTGAACATCGTTTGGGAGTGAATCGAGGAATCGATAAGCCAGGTTAAGATCAAGTTGTTCAATATTTTCGGCTTCTCCGCCATTTCTTTCTCCTTCGCCGTTCATGGTTGAAGAATTGTGTCGTTTTACCCAGTGTCACGCTAGTTTTAGAAGTTAATTCAGTAGAAAGTACTACACGTAAGGTTATACCGGCGATCTGAAACTTGCTTAGTCACGTAGAGTTCATAGTCCAACTTTGACCTCACGTGCACAGTGAGCGAGACCGAACCACGATTGGCTGAAAGTGTCCCATGGGAGTACAGCTGCTAAATGTAAATAAATGTAACTAATGCAATTACAGTATCTTCGTTAAATGTTCGTTCACAGCCACTATGGCTCAACTTTACTTTTTAAAATGTTGTTAAAATCATTCGTTTAAAGAATTCATCTTCCTCTGAAAAATGGTTCAAATATTTAAGACTTTGACCGAGAAATAAAACGGAAAATTTCATATTTGCTTTCGCAATTCTTCGGCCGTTTTTGCATATAGTAGAGAAAAATCCATCAAAATTGTTAGACAGAAGTTTCCTTTTACCTTTCATTTGGACCATTTGAATTACAGGAAAAGGAAAAACACTCAGCAAAATCGGTGGAGATTAATTATTTTTGCCGTAAACATGATGTAATGGTATTCAAACACGCTATCATGCATAATTAGTGAAGCCGCTAAATTAGGTTTATTTACAAAAATTTGCCCCACGAGCTCTCGAAGCGTTATCAGGAACTTCCTCAGTCGGTTAAGATTCTCGAAAAACCACAAACTGAGTTTGAGTTTTAATATATCCCTCTAGAACAAATTTTGTCTGAAGAGTTGAAAGAACTCAATCTTTTTGTAGGCGTGCGCGCAATACTCCGCGTTCAGGAATTTCTAAAGCTGGCCAGGTGATTTTAGAGTTACATAAACCTAGATTTGGAGGAAACTTTTTCAAGTTAGAAGAGAGTAAATGATTTCAGCAAACATCAACTGATCTACAAGAATATTTATGTCCCACACAATGCGATCAATTGTAAATGTATACAAAACCGGAAAATTTTCTCGTTGGACTACTGGTCGATTTGACTTAACGTTATGTTGCTTCAGAGTCGTAAGAGGTGCTAAGGACGAAACCATTCCATTTCTCTCAAGCTTTCCACGCTCGGTTGAAAGGTAGGTTTTCTGGGCAGCTTGAATCTTAAAGGGGCTCTTCACCCTCTCGAATACGACGTTTGTCCTGCTTGTAGCCACGGTTTTTTTCAGGGCAGCGATGGAGCTCTTATCAGTTCTATTTAAGTTAGCACCAGATCTCTCACAGATTTTCAGCAAAATCTAAATTATTAATTTCGCTCTCCGTTAACTAATTTTTACGCTAGATTTCTTCGTTTCGAAAGACGTTTCAACAGGCATTAGGTAGTTAAATATTTTATTCCATGCAATGATGACAAAAACTTTTAAATCAAAGTGATTAATTAAGCTTTGTTAAACATCACCTCATCGTGTTAACAGTGCTGACAAGCTCATCAACTTATATCAATGAGGTTTTCAAAGCAAACGTTCTGTTTGAGTTGAGAATAAAGCGAGTGATTCAGTGAAGGTTCAAAAAGTGTCAAGAATTAATTTTTTTGTCATGGCGAGGACAACTAATGCTTTTATACTAGAGCAAATGTGTTTGCCATAACACGCATTCAGATTTAAATGATTTTATGTTATCTTTTCTTGTAAAAGGACCGACGAAATAGCTGACGGCCGTTTTGACAACACGATGACCCTAAAAGGTAGCTTAGCACAGTTTTATATAACGATGTGTTTTCATGTTTACGGTAGAGGGGTGGTCAGGGGAAAAGACAATTGTATGTGGTGAGGGACCAGTCGATATTTATCGCCTTTGGGAGGGGGTGGGGAATTTTTTTTGGTTGGGGGCCGGGGGGATCACATGGTTCTCAGGGAAACAGAGTGGGGTTTAGTCGCCACCAATAGAGTATAATGGGAGGACCAGACAATCGATTGCCAATAAAAAAAAAGGGGGGGGAGGGGTCATTGTAATATCACAGAGCTTGAGGTTTTCATTTTTATTTTCATAGGAATGTTTTTCTTCCTCAACTGCCTTCACTTGCTGATATTCGCCACTGAAGTATCTTGTGGCACTTACAACACGTCGTCATGGCATCGCTTCTGGTGGTGGACGCCAGGGAAGAAGTGGCCTTCTGGTGTAACCGATGTGTTGAAAAACGCCTATGGCACTTGCAAGTTTAGTGATCATTACTGCTTTCAGCGGCTACCCTCCTGGGCTAGGGAAGATGCTACGGAACTGCTTGCTATTGACAATGAAGGAACTGTTTATCGGTGGCAATTTGACTCGAAGAACCCAACTGCCCATGCTGTTTGGCAAGCGCTCCATGATCATAAAAAAACTCACAACGGAAAGATTAAAAACAAGAAGGCCTGGAACCCTACAACTCTGGAAGGAAAGAAACCTAAGGCAACTCAAGACTCTTTTATGTACCGCACCCAGAATGGTGTGAAGTCTTTGCTCTTGGATGACGACAACTGTGACTGCTTGTCTTCACTGAGTATGGGTCATGGGATGTGTAACGCTGGTCACTCCACCTCGTACAGCAAGTCTAACGTGTTTGGTGTCGATAAACTGTACGACCCAGGCTGTCGCGGACCATCTCCAAGTTATGGCCTTTCACTGTACTTTCGAGCAGCCAAAAAGCTTACTCTGGAAGACTTTGGTGGGGGATGGAGAGCATTCTGGTGGTGGGAAAAGGATTTCACTTGGCCACATTTCGTAACAGATATCCTTGGAAGCCCATATGGTTCATGTGAAGACCACGCTGCCTTCTGCTTCCAGCGTCTACCCTCTTGGCTCAAAGAAAGAGATACGGAGTTGCTAGGTGTTGATTCCTTGGGAACAGTTTATAAATGGTCCTTTAATCCCAAGAACCCAGTCGCCCACGCTGCTTGGCTTGCATTCCGTGATCATAAAGAGGCAAAATACAAGGAAGTCTCAAACTCAATGCCTTGGACTCCTGTGGCTCTTAAAGGGAAAGTGTCCTCAAGATCTCAAACGTCTTTCATGTACCGTGAGCAAAACGGAGTGAGATCTCTGCTAATTGACGACAATTTCTGTGACTGTGATTCGACCCTAAATCTTGGTCACGGTATGTGTTTCACTGGTCATTCGAAGAGCTACAGCAAAGCTAACGTCTTTGGAGTCGACGCCTTGTACGATGGTGGATGTCACGGTCCTGTTCCAAGCGTTGGCCTCACGCTTTACTATCGCACCCAACGTCCGGACTTGAAACAGTTCGGAGCCAAGTGGAGACCGTTCTGGTGGTGGAATGCTGGGTTGCAATGGTCAGCTTGTAGTGTTGATAGGCAAGAAAAGGACGTACTTGAAAATCCTTATGGATCTTGTTCCGGTGGTGACCCATTTTGCTTTCAGCGTCTTCCGTCTTGGCTCGAGGAACAGTCTGCACAGATTTTAGCCAAAGACTCGCAAAACAATGTCTACAGATGGCAGTTTAACGCCTCTAACCCCACTGCGCATGCGGCATGGAATGCTTTTCACAACCACAAAGAAACAGCTGCTGGTTCAATTCTAAACCAAAAGGCTTGGAATCCTACAGTGTTGAAAGGAAGATCAGCCTTCGTGGATCAGGATTCCTTCACTTACAGAAGTAAAAACGGGGTCAAGTCTGTGCTTTTAGATGATGACAATTGTGACTGTTTGTCGACAATTCAACTTGGGGCTACTATGTGCGGTGATAAACTTGATCCAAATGCCCGTGGAATTGATCTTCTGTATGACCCTGTTTGTAACCTACCAAGCCCCAACAACGGACTGACTCTTTATTTCAAAGTTCCAAGCCACTCACTTACCTTTCAAGGATATGGCTTTGAATGGGCAGCCTTTTGGTGGTGGCCAAAGGATGGAAAATGGCCCGAAGGAGTATCTGATGTATTAGAGAAGCCATTTGGCAAATGCAAAGAAACTGACATTTACTGCTTTGGAAGGCTTCCTTCCGCTGCCAAAGAAGACAGGACCAGGCTTCTTGCTATCGACACAGAAGAAAACGTCTACACCTGGAGGTTCTCTTCCGGAAATCCAACAGCGCATGCGGCCTGGAGGGCACTTCATGATCATGTGGAGACACCATTCAAAAAGATAAGAAACAGCAGGACATGGAACCCCACAGTACTAAGAGGAACTTCACCAAGAGCTCACCAAGACTCTTTTATGTATCGATTACAAGCAGGTGTCAAGTCCCTTCTGCTGGATGACGACAACTGTGACTGTTTGTCAACCTTGAGCATGGGACATGGAATGTGCGGGTCTGGGTTCTCTTCGAGCTACGGTCCTGCAAATCGATATGGAGTCGATGCTCTCTACGATGGCAAGTGCAACACCCCGCGATTTAATGTCGGCCTCACTTTATATTTCACTGTTTCAGATGAAGTCAAGAAACCCATGACATCATGCAAACACGGTGGAAGGTGGATAACCTTCTGGTGGTGGACTGCTGATGCAACATGGCCAGCAAAAGAAAATGATGTGCTAACCTACCCTTACGGATACTGCAGTTCGTATAGCGAGTACTGTTTTGGACGAATACCATCTTGGGCAAGGGAAGACAACACGGAAATGCTTGCTATCGACTCTCAAGGAAACGAATACCTTTGGAAGTTTGACTCTCACAACGCTGTTGCGCATGCTGCGTGGTTGGCCTTCCACGATCATGTGACCACTCCCGCGGGCAAAGTCCTCAACAACCCAGACGCCTGGGATCCAGTGGTACTGAAAGGAACAAAGCCAAAAGCGAAGCAAGACTCTTTCATGTATCGAGCGCAGAATGGCGTCAAGTCTATTTTAATGGATGACGACAACTGTGATTGCCTCACAACCCTGAATATTGGCCATGGAATGTGTGGGTCTGGGCACAGCACCAGCTATGGTCCTGCAAACCGGTTTGGAGTAGATGCCCTCTATGATCCCGGGTGCAAAGCCCCCAGACCTGAAGTAGGACTAACGCTTTATTTTCGAGTGAAGTAGCTTCAGGAGTCGCACTTCGAACAATAAAAAGCTCTAAAACGCAGTAGGTTTATACACTAAGTGCACAAAAAAAAAAAAAAAAAAAAATTGGGTGCCAAGGCAGTTAGCTAGCTTTTTCTTGATCAACATCGAACTGTGAGCGTACTTAATGTTACATCTGTGTCACAAATTTTTCTCGGATCGGTATACGAGCAAACTTGTAACTTAGAATAGCGAGTTTTACTTGAACTTCGTAAGAAAAGTAACTGTAATGTCAATTATAGTGAGGGTAAATCTTAAATAAAGAACGATTTTTTTGGAATCTCAACTCCTTCATAAGTTGACATATCTCATGATAAGTACTCTAAGGGATCATTTTTGTTTCTAAACAAAATTTTTCCAAGGGCGTTGAATTGTAAAACTCAGCTTATCCTCCAACTCAGGGGTGTTTCTCCCCAATATCTATCACTGTTCTTCATTTCTTAATTTCGTCAACATATATCTATGCCGTTTCGGCTAAGGCTACGAATATCACGATTTTAAAGTTTGAAGTATTGTTTAGCCAAAGTCTGGGCAAGTGAGGATAAGATAATCAATCAAGTAACCGCAGTTAAATCTGCTCAGACCGAGGCACGAGACCTGCACACTCTGCTCGCAGAAAACGCTCTCAGTTATTCTGTCTAAGAGAATGCCAAAAGCAATCTTAGCGCTAACTAGTAAAGCTTTTTATACATTTGAGACCAATCCTACATCATTTTATCATATGCTTACTACAGGATATCATCATGATGAAAGGGATTTTTGTGTGATGTTAGAAATGTTTCAAAGTTGTTTTCTTTTCGTCGTTTAAAAACATTGAACGCTCTAATCGCTGTCAAATCAGTTAATTAGTGTTGGTCTCTTTAGCCAAGTATACAAGGGTAGGGCTTTTCTTATGTTCCATCCTTCCCCCCGGCTCAGAGAGAACAAAGGTGAATTTCATACAATTTGAACAGTCCAATTCGCTTTACTTGGCTACAGTTATTTCATTGGCAATTATTCAGCACGGCATGCATGATGTTGATAACAGTAAGAAATTGATCGCAATGTTTTACTTAGAGATATTGGAGCGATAAGCTTTTTATCAGCTAATAGGGCCGGCACGATGCCTTATCGGGATGAAATGAATAATAGAAAACACTAAAATGATACGTGAGGTATTACATGGGAAGGAAACGGAACATCTCGGGGACGGAACCTCAGGCAAATCATGTGAAACATGACTTTTTGTACATGGTCTTTAGCTTTGCAACCGCTTAGTGCAGATTACCACATTTTTTTTTTTTTTTTTTACAGAGCTCTCTAAAGTGGACGAATCCTTTTTTCAGACATTATATTCAAAGGGGTAAGCTAACTTCGTTAATGCACGAGTGAAAATGGTTTGCAACAAAAGCATGAAACTCAACTGACCAAACACTAGCTCTTCTTATGTCAAAATAAAAACTGTCAAGCTACGATAATGGATAAATTGACAGGTACAGTTTTGATCCGCAAAATCCTGTCGCGAGGTAATCTACTTACCTTTAAAACATAAACTATTGTATTTCTTCTACAATTGCGTAGGTGGCTTTCTTACCCTGGCCTTCCTGTTACGTTTAGACTGGGATTTAAGTTCAAGGGCAAGAAAAAGATCACGATCCCAACGTTATCTCATATGCTGTTCAATAAAAGGAATTTTAATCCTGCAATGCAGTACATCCTGTAGTTCCATGCAAATCAACATTTGAGCGCTTAGAAAACCCTTGCATCGCGTTTACTTCGAAAGTGGGACAAAACACACTAACCATGTCTTCCAGGACAGGTGAGACGTTTGGGCGCATACTACGCGTATCTTTAGCCATTCCGTACTGTGCCCCTTTTTTTTTGTTGGAACATCTATTTTTATTGTGCTTTCGGTGAAAAACCTATCCGTCGCAACATCAGGGTTTGTGGTACAATATTGCTCGCTTTACGGTGGTGTTTGCTATGTCGAAGTCGTTTATTATCGAGGCTATCCTCTTTACAGACAATTTGGTTTCATCAGTTGAGTTGATTAAGTCCATTAGCCACTTAAAAGATTCTAAAGCTGACACGTACGTTTCAAGCGTTAGCCCGTCGTCAAAGGAAAGTGTTTTGCCGAAAAACGGATCGAGACATGATAATCTTGCTTTTAAAGTTGTTCCATGAAACAAATTTGATATACAACGCTTTGATGGATACACCTGTACCATATTTGGGATGTTTGCGCAATATCGCATACAAACATTCAAGGGTCCAATCAAATGTGTTATCTTAATCAGTCGTAGTTTTATTATCATCTTGAGACGAGGTCGTGTCGTATAGGTCTCGTTTTTACGCTGAAAGGACTAGCTGATCCTGTAAGATCTTGAGTTTTGGACAAATTCATCTGCTTGGATACATCCATCATAAAAGATATGCGGAAAGGTATACCAGGGTTCCGATTTATTCAGTTCTAGTAGCTTTGGGCATTACTGACTATACAAAGTAAGCCGGAGACAAGTGAGAACTGATCACCATTTAATGGGGCCGTATGGGCACCGGGAGATTTAGGAGGACTACGCTCTATCATGCGGGCCACATGTCATGCACCTTAACGATAAATATTGGAGGGGTCCGCCTCTGAAGCGAACATGAAGTATGTTTGTAATGAAATCAAATGAAAATGCAGTTTTTAAGCCTTTTGTTGAATGTGGCTCGAAATTACATCGCTGGTGTAACTTACACGACCTTTAAATAATACTTAATCTTATCTTAAATCGTTTTGCAACATGCAGGGGCAAAATTTCCGGTATTAGTGTAAGTGATATTTTAACTCTTATCCTGTACGAAGAATTTAAGGCGCATGCATGAACAGGTTAAGAATTTGCCAATGAGCGTGTGAACATGATTTGCAGCAACAACATGAAACTCAGAAAGAAAAACTGTCAAGGCTGTCATAATTAAAATTATTAATCGTCATTTGCGCAGTTTTGATTTTCAAGGTCCTGTCTCTTCCACTAATCACATGGCAACTTAACCTTCACGTGCATATAGTATTTCTTCCAGAAAATGTGCGTACGTCGTTTTCTCACGCTGGCCTTCCTGTTACATTTCTGGGGAATGAGGTCAAGCGCACGAAAGGGACCATGATCCAAATGTCACGTACGCTGTTCAATAAAAGGAGTTCTAATCCTGCAGTGCAATAGTTCGGTGTTGTTTATCATTTGAGCACTCAAAAAAAAAAACTTGAATCGCGTTTACATCGGAGGTAGGATAGAACACAAGCTAACTATGTTTTTTAGGAAAGGTAAGACGTTTAGAAGCATGCTACGTTAACTTAAGCGCACCGTATTTGAATGTTTTTGTCATCTTTTCTTTTTCTTGTACATTCGCATAATTGCCTATTAAGCGGCGCAGCCAGCTGAGTTAACAGCCAAAAGGATTCTCTGATTGTTTTCTCGTCATTATACGGTGGTGTTTGTTACATGGTGTTACATTGTATCTGCACATTTTCACTCCGAGGGAATGATTGATAACAGCTATCATATTGAACGAAATTGTCTTAATTCCAAAACACCAAAAAGAATAGAGATTGTGACATTAAGACACCAAATCAAAGAGCTAATATAAGATAATAAGTAACGCCATACTTTATTGTAAAATAAGGCATATTAGAACCGACCAATCCAAAATCTTCTGGCGTTACGATGTTTTTGAGATCACGTACATACGTAATTTCCGTGGTGTCTTTATAATTAATTTTGGTAATAACAGTAGGTTCCTGTTCTCGCCAATGGTCTGTTTAATTAAGTGTTGATATCTCGTAAATAGATAGAAACAATGGCTCTACGACTTAAAGTAAATTGCGTAAGTACGAAGGAATGGGTTTGTTTTTAAAATAATGCGGTTGCACAGGACATGAAGTATTAATTGACAACACAGGAATAAATGTGCCGGGACATGAATATCAGGAATAGAAACTCCTGAGCAACGATCGCGCAAATGCCACGACGAAAGCTTTCCACATTGTGAGTTAAGTTGTTTAGAATAATAAAAATATAATAAAGGGACTAATTTGGCCAAATTGAAATCGGAGTGTCGGAGTCATGAATACATATTCATATGCTAATGATATGATTGTTAACTTCTTGTCTTCGTTTCAGAGTCATCTTCGCAACTTTGCGTCCATGTTGTGGTTTTGATTTTTGTGGTGTCATCTTCTGCCATTGAAATGTCGTCATGGCAACGCTTCTGGTGGTGGACCCCTGGGCAAACTTGGCCTGCCAATGTCAAAGACGTACTCAAAGACGCCTTTGGGTTGTGCAAGCAGAACAATCCTTACTGCTTCCAGCGGCTTCCTTCATGGGCGGAAGAAGATGCTACAGAACTTCTAGCTGTTGACTCGGACGGAACTGTCTATCAGTGGAAGTTTGACTCAAAGAACCCAACTGCGCATTCTGTCTGGCAAGCTTTTCACGATCATCAAGAAACACCACATGGAAAAATTATGGACAAGCAAGCGTGGGATCCCCTAGTAGTGGAGGGAAATGAGGTTAAAGCAACGCAAGACTCTTTCATGTATCGAGAACAGAATGGTGTGAAGTCATTGCTTCTGGATGATGATAACTGTGACTGCTTGTCAACCCTGAGCATGGGTCATGGGATGTGTAACGCTGGTCACTCCACCTCGTACAGCAAGCCTAACGTATTTGGTGTCGATAAACTGTACGACCCAGGCTGTCGCGGACCATCTCCAAGTTATGGCCTTTCACTGTACTTTCGAGCAGCCAAAAAGCTTACTCTGGAAGACTTTGGTGGGGGATGGAGAGCATTCTGGTGGTGGGAAAAGGATTTAACTTGGCCACAACACGTAAGAGATATCCTTGGAAGCCCATATGGTTCATGTGAGGAGTTCCACGTGTACTGCTTTCAGCGTTTACCCTCCTGGTTGAAGGAAAATGACACGGAGCTTCTTGCACTTGACTCTTTGGGAACAGTCTATAAATGGTCCTTTAATCCGAAGAACACTGTCGCGCATGCGGCTTGGCTTGCATTTCATGATCATCAAGAAGTCCAACACAAAGATGTTCTCGACTCCAGCCCATGGGAGCCAATGGCTCTGAAGGGGAATGCACCGTCTAGGACTCAAGACTCTCTTATGTACCGTGAGCAAAACGGAGTTAAGTCTCTGCTACTTGACGACGACAACTGCGATTGTCACTCCTCACTTAGTCTTGGCCATGGTATGTGTTTAGCTGATCATTCTACCAGCTATGGCAAACCTAATGTCTACGGCGTTGACGCTCTTTATGATAACGGATGTCATGGTCCTGTGCCAAACGTCGGGCTAACTCTTTATTTCCGAGCCAAACGCCCTGATTTGTACGATTTCGGGGGAAGATGGAGAGCATTTTGGTGGTGGAATGCCGGTGTGAACTGGTCTGCCTGTGCACCGAAGAATCAAAATATCGATGTACTTGAAGACCCATATGGTAGTTGCTCTGGTGGTGCTCCGTTTTGCTTTCAGAGACTTCCTGCATGGCTCGAGGAAGATTCGACTGAAATCTTGGCAAAAGACTCAAAAAGGAACGTTTACACCTGGTCGTTTAATGCTTCTAACCCAACAGCACAAGCTGCATGGCGTGCTTTTCATAGCCATAAAGAGACAGCGGCTGGTGCAGTCCTAAATCAGAGCCCCTGGAATCCTAATGTTCTTCAAGGAAAATCTCCTATTGCTGACCAGGATTCGTTCACATATAGAGGTACAAATGGTGTAAAATCCTTGCTACTTGACGATGACAATTGCGACTGTCTCTCGACAATCCAACTTGGGGCAACTTTTTGTAGTAACCAGTTCGATCCAAATGGTCGTGGAGTAGATCTCTTGTACGACCCTACGTGCAGTCTGCCAAACCCCCACAATGGCCTGAGTCTTTTCTTTCGAGTTCCAAAACAAAAGTTAACCTTCGAGGGTTTTGGGCAGAAATGGACCGCTTTTTGGTGGTGGCCGAAAGACGGAATATGGCCAAAGGACGTGACTGATGTCTTGGAGAAGCCACATGGCGCGTGCAAGGACACAGATATCTACTGTTTTGGAAGGCTTCCAACAGATGCAAAAGAGGATAGGACAAAATTGCTCGCTATTGACACTGAAGGAAACGTATACCTTTGGAAATTCTCCTCGGCAAACCCAACAGCGCATGCGGTTTGGTCAGCCTTACACGATCACGAAGAAACACCATTTAACAAGATACAGAATAACAAAGCATGGAATCCTAAATTGCTGAAAGGAACAGCACCAAAAGCCTCTCAAGACTCCTTCATGTACCGAGCTCAAGGTGGTGTGAAGTCTTTTCTTTTGGATGATGATAACTGTGATTGTTTGTCCACCCTCAGCATGGGACATGGTATGTGCTCAGACGGATTTTCTACAAGTTATGGTCCTGTAAATCGGTATGGAGTTGACGCCCTCTACGATAATTACTGTAACACGCCGCGACCTAACGTTGGTCTAGCACTGTACTTCTCCGTGTCCGAAGAAATGGTGCACTCTTTGTCATCTTGTAAACATGGCGGAAACTGGCTGGCTTTCTGGTGGTGGACAGCAGATGCAACTTGGCCCGCTGATGAGGAAGATGTGTTAGCCTACCCCTTCGGTAATTGCAACCCGTATGGCGAATACTGCTTCGGGCGAATTCCGTCCTGGGCAAGGGAAGACTCTACTGAAATGCTTGCTATTGATTCTCAAGGAAACGAATACCTTTGGAAGTTTGACTATCACAATGCTGTTGCGCATGCGGCTTGGTTGGCTTTCCACGATCATGTGACCACTCCCGCTGGCAAAGTAGTCAACAACGTAGACAGCTGGGATCCAGTGGTTCTACAGGGAAAAACGCCAGTCGCCAAGCAAGATTCATTTATGTACCGTGAACAGCATGGCGTCAAGTCCATTCTGATGGATGATGACAACTGCGATTGTAAAACGACGCTGAATATTGGTCATGGGATGTGTCTGGCCGGGCATAGCACCAGCTATGGTCCTGCAAATCAGTTTGGTGTAGATGCTCTTTACGACCCCGGCTGCAATGTTCCTCGTCCAGAAGTTGGGCTGACGCTTTACTTTCGGGCAAAATAACTTATGCAATACATGGGCAAGTGAGGGAAACTTTGTAGAAGTAACAAACTAATTATTAGGTTTACCAAGATTTAGGTTGAAGGTGCCTCTTTTCTCTGCCTAGATTTCAGAAATGCACTGGACCCTATCGTGGTTGATCATCATGATAAAGGTCATTACTGCGTGCTTAACATGTTTGATTATGCGCAATAACGCTAAGTAAAATTTTTAGATAACTAGTTCGAGTGCCAGACTTTGTTGTAATAAACGACCAATAACTTTGTAAACAATTATAAAACTTGCTCATGTATTCCAGCCATAGCATGGTTGCCGTATGTCTTAACAGCTATCCTGGTCTAATTCAGAACAACCACACCAAAGGGAAACCACTATGTGAAAGTATGCTGTTTTTGTCAAATCCCCCGTGTTAACAAAAAAATCTACCAATCTCAATAAATGACACGAACAATCATTTCATGCCCATGCTTTTCTCGACATTTACCAATCTCAGTGAAGGCATTCTTAGTTGAGTCCACAGCTTTTGTGACTCGCGATTGGTATACCCATTAGTTTGTGAATGCGTGATACTTTATCCCTACTCAAGTCATTGTTTCAATATGGATTCAGCAATCGAGTGTTGAGATGAAGTGATTCCTCGACAGCATTCTTTGCGACACGTCATCGCCATTCGAAAATTTAACAACACTACGACTCGGTTACGTCTTGGACTATTCAGCTGAAAACAAAATCCAAACTTAGCTTTTACTTTGACGGGGGATACCTTGAATTGACTGATTAATTTTTGTACCGTCAAGTCCAATATAAATAGAACGATTATGAGGTCAAAATACAAGTTTCACTTCAAGTTTTTACTTTTCTAAGAAAATTAATAACTCATATATTCACAAAACCTTTTCCCGCTCATTGGATTTACTTGATTTTCACAGAACTCACATTTGGAGAATTATTTTAAATTTATCATAAACTCTTAATTTTCAAAATATACGGCATTTTTGTGTTTATCAATTAATTAAAACGACTCGCTAGTCCTAGAGACTGACAGCGTAAAAGAAAGAGGTAAAATATCGATAAAAGAGAGCCCAAGGCCACTTCTCGCATATACCTGTTCACGTATCCTTTAGCTAACTCTAAAAGCGTTTGAAACGAGCAACAAACCATTTTTTGAACCAAAAACTAACCTCAATATCTCAATCGCAATGGTCTGTGAAAGCTTGCCGGAAAATGTGGAAAGGAGCTTACCCCAAAGGGCTTTGAACGAGAAACACTAGTACATACTTTACGGAGGCCACAATTCCCGCCAAAATTGCCAAATGAAAGTATTTCACTGAAAGAGAGTTACTGAAAGTGAAAGTATTGTTAACGCCTGCGCGTCTAACAGCCTGAAATATCACCTGGTTAAGGCAAGGACCGAGACAAGTAGAAACTTCTTGTTGACCGCACAGTCAACCTTAAAATGACAAAAGTTCGTATGATTTTCACCTAAAATTCGTGCAGTTCTCTCGCTCTTTTGCATCTGACCGCCATGTGTTACTCTTTGTAAGCCACGGCTGGTGCCGCGGTAACGCCATTTTCCGCTGACCATTGATAACGAGGGTGTTTGAAAGTTAACAGGCTCGTCACTACCAAATCCAAAATGGCGCTGAACTGTTACGTCAGACATGCGTACCATTCTCCACATCAATCTCACCTGTGGCTCTAAGCCGATCATAGAGCTCGTCCCAGGCGGACGCGGTTCCCGTCATGTCGGACGAACTGCTGATTAAACTGTTTCTACTTTCTGTGTTGTTGTTCTTTCTAGAGGCACTGTTGTCTTTTGAGTTTTCGCTCAACCAGTCTTCTAGATCATCGAGTGTTTTTAGCCCTTTGATACTTGAGACGATAGACCTGTCACCTTCCTTCTCGCTTCTAAAAGGCAGAGAAGTATAATGCATAAATAAGTAAATAAAGTTTACACATTGAACAGAAAGTGGCAGGCGCTGTGGCCTGATGTCTAGAGGACTGGGTCGACCCTAACCGGATCATCGTGTTGTGTTCCTAAGCAAGATTCTTTACTCTACTGGCGACTGTCTCCACTGAGGAGTATAAATGGGTAGTGGCCTTTTTCTCAGGTAAAACTGATGAGAAGTACTGGGAAGTAACCTGCAATGAACTGTAATCTCATCTAGAAGTATTATCATTTTCCTTGATAAGAAACTAGCACATCGCAGTTTACGGTATTTCATTGAGATGTCCCGACAGTTCGCTGGTACCCATTTGTACCCCTGGGTGGACAGAGGCTTTGTAATTATAAGGTGTTTCCCTGCAGAACACCATACAGAGTTTGGGCCTCGAACAAGGACCTCCCAGATTTCCTTCAAAGAGACAGAATGTATCATAAGGTATCTCGCGCAATATTGCGGTTTATAGAGGACGCCATAGCAAATTTGCCCCTACCTGTTCGCCTCCATCAACACGACCTCAACAGCCCCACAGAGTAAAACACGCTCGCCCCAAAATTTTCACCGAGTTTCTTTGCGGTGGGACGTGCTTTATCTTAAGAGGAGGGGAATAATAAACGTCTTAGAAAAGATCCGATTAGGTCGAATTCATCAGATAGGGAAAACTTTCTTCTGTTGCGAAACGATTCGAAGATTTGGGGGCGCACTGATAAAGGAAGGGAAGAACTTGTCGTAACGAACGGGCTGAACTTCTCGACATAGGCGCAAGCTAGTGCAAAGTGAACTTGCGATGGAACGAAACCTCCAAATACCAATATTACGACGCATTGAGCAGGGCCTGCGCTCAAGTTAGAAAGATGTACACAGTTTACTTCAACGACTCACCTTGTGGTCACACTTTGTGGTGCTTTAACGTGATTTTGATTCACGAATGGGCTTTGGCATGTGCAGCCGGCGAGGGCTTCCTGTAACTCGTGCACGCGACGTCTGTACCTGTCTTCTAGCTTTTGATAAGCATTGGCTACTTTTCTTTGTTCCTCGTATTTCTGCCTCAATTCTCTCTTCTCCATTTCGTATTTCGCGATCAATTCCTTGTTTTCATTTTTTAAATTCTCTATAAATTTCGAATAATATTCTTCCAAGTTCGGCCTCGCGAAACCTCTCGGTTCGTTCTTCGTTTCATTTTCGTGAATCATTCTGTCTTCCGGTGCATCCAAAGCCTTTATTGATCCTAAATTATTTCGCTCTGTTTCAACACCAATTTTTTCATCTAGGGGCGTATTTCCTGAAGTTTCCGATGAATGTATAGCTGGGCTAGTATCAGGGGGATACAAATTCCACAAGGCAAGTCTCGTTTCGTACATTTCTCGAGCAGATTGAGACTTAGAAAGCGGTAAAGGTTCAGTGAAATTATCCTTTGTAAGATTAGCTCTAGAAGACAGTTCAAGGGCTGGACTAACAGGCGAAACCTGCGCGACTGGTACAGCCTTAGACACCGCGTAAGGTTTGGGATAATTGTGCGCACGGCCTGAAACTGGAACGTTCCACATGCGACCGTCGTTCCGTAAGCTCGTAGACTGGGTGCTTATCGGCTCAACAGGTTGACCCGGTTTTTCCGAAGAAGCAACTGTGATCCTAGTCAATCCTTCGCCCTTTGTGAGCTCGTCAGATCTCGCTGTCTTACGCTCTCGGTTATGCTCGGATTCCGGCCGAGTTTGAACGACTCCTTCCGAGCGAACGAATTGTATGGATGTTTCATTACGCTCGAAAACCTCATCATGGATGTCCTCGTCTTCCAAGTCAGTTCTCCCCGTCCTGTCGAATTCTTTACGTTTTTTTACCCTCATGCTTGTGGGAGGTTGTCGTGAATCTTGGTTAAGCACAACGTTGTTGTTTCTCTGTTCACTGTCCAAGCTTTCAAGCCCTTTCTCTGGAATCTTGTTCACCCCATAGCCAGCGTGGCTTACTACACAGGTCTCCTCTTTCACCAACTGACGTTCTAATGTGTCCACAGCCTTAACACTCACAATCCCGATCGCTGTGTGACGCTTCGGTTTATTCTCGGCTTTTTCTTCGGTAACGCGATCAATCTGTTGTCGGAACCCGACAACGCCGATTGTGCGATGCCTTTTGCCTTTGATCGGGGATCGCTCTCGTATTTCAGAGTTAACTGACGGCGTGCTGCCCTTATCGGTGACCTCAATCACCTTTATCGGCGTTCTTTCGACTGGCTCATACTGAGATACGGCTTGCTTGCCATCCACAACTCTGTTCACGACTGAAAATTGTTTGTGAGCAGTCGGAGATGACCCAGCCCAGTTCCCATCCCTTGACAGCTCTCGCGGTGACGTTTGTGGGCTTTGCGCGTTTCGCGCCTTTTCGTTTACGGGGCGTTTCAGGTAAATCTGGGCATGCGCAGTCGCCTTGGCGCTCTTGGCATGTTTGGCTATTTCGTTTTCATGCAGTTTGATAAGCTCCTGAAGACTTAAGCGATGCGTGGCGAGCATATCAGCGCTTACAGAGCCGTTAATGTAACTCCACTGACCATGCGCTGTCAATGTGTAACTCTTATCAGGCGCTCGTAAGGGACCATCTGCTTCGTTTCTGCTAATCCTTGACTCAATAGTCGTTTCTACAACAGCCATGTCTTCTACTAAACTCTGTGGATACGGGGGTTTCGGCGGTGCAACCTCGTGGCCATGGTCTTGTTCACCGTGGGTAATGCGATCCTTCGGAGAGTGGACATACGCAAACTTGGGCCATGTTTGAGCCTTTACGCGCCTCCGTTCTCTATCATTCATTTCGTGCAGTTCTTCAAATGATTCCGTGGAAAATTCGCCGCTGAAACGTTTCGCTAAATCTTTCACTGACGGGCTCAGTTGTCCAGTGGTGTCTTCATCATCTCGCGTCCAAGAATTTCGTGGCGATTGAGTAGGTGTGGATGAAACTTGCGTGACAGAAGGGTACACCTGAGAAACGTTGTTGGCGGAGTCTGTGACGTTGTGATTGTATAACCGACTTGGAACAGATGTCGTGACATGATGACCAGAAGAGTAAGGCGTAGCTTGAACGAAAACATGAGAATTGTGTGAACGATGAGGTTGAGCGTTGACGCGAATGGCGTGACCCGAGTACTGGGTCACTGGTGCGGCAGAGATAAAGGTTGCATTCGTAGTCGAAATGTGTTCGGAAATCTTCGGAGATTGTTTTAAGTAAACTTCTTTGTGAACTGTCTGGCGTTGATGGTCTCTGTGCCTGTGGAACTTATCTGGGGAACTGGTGCCTTGTGACCCAGATCCCCCGTGACCTCTCACGGCATGGTGACTCAATGAGTTCGTGGACTGTTGCCAAGACGCACTAGAGGAGCTTAAACTTGATTGGCTAAAACGCCTTAGTACAAGGGACCCATATGGGGATCGTTCTGTCATGTCATATGCGGAGTCAACCCCATGACGGTCCCTCTCACCCTCATCCGCAGAGGACCCCACTTGGGAGCTGAAACTCGACGACAACGACCTTGACAATTCAAAATGTCTACTTCTGCGGTCTCTGAAGCCAGTGCTTTTATAACCAGATTTCGACGAACGTGTATCGTTTGAGAAGCTATGGTAATCACGCCCAGGAATACAGTTGTTCTTCTGATTGTTTCGATCCAAAGATATTTCATGTATGCTTTGTGGTCTCTCTTTGAATTTTCTTTCCGGACTTTCAGCTCCGTACCAGCTCTGAGGTCGACCATGTTTTCTCATGTCGCCAGTATCAGATTTTCTGTAGAACTGTTGACTGCCATCCTGCCTGTGATCGTAGAAGGGTGGCACTTTTCTCAGAGACCTGCTGAGCCAGAAAACATCATAAGTACTTCTACAATTGAAAGATGAAGTATTTAAGACAATGACACTCCCTGCCACCCTCCCCCTCCAAAGGGTATCAAGTCCATCACACAGTCACCCCCCCTGACATTAAGTCAGTTTCTTTGCCAATTTACTGTCATCCCTATATAATCCACCATGGAGAGGGGCACTGAAAGATACAGGGAAGAGGGGGGAAGAGTGGTAACCTACAATGGACTCCTATGTAAGCAGTATCTGCACCTAATCCAATGAGCAACAATACTGCTAAAAGCTTTATACTTTAAAAATTAAGATACACCTTGGAGAAGAGAACCACCACACTAGATAGCTGTCTTTACCCACCACTCAGTACATGTAATTGTACAAATATTGGATAGCTTGACCATTCAGCGAGTCTATGCAACAAATATAAACACACTAAAAGCCTGACAAGCACACAATAAGCTCTTGTAAGAGTACAAGATGACGTGACATGTCATGGCACAGTAATAAAAAGTGTTTCTTAACAAAATTCAGCTGCTCTGGGCTGTGATTTCTTTACTCTTACAATAACGCAAGGAACAGCCAAAGCTATTAGTTAAGGGAATTCTAGGTGAGCAAGCCTCATAGCATATTAACACACTTCTCCATTTAATTTCCTCACACAGGCTGCACATCTCAACGCCCCTTAGTTTGCTTGCTATACTTCAACTCAGCTCATATCTATAAACATTACTGGCATGGCAAGTTTTCAAATTTTCAAACGCTGAATTACTAAAGGAACATAGCATAGGAAAAACATTGATCAACAAGATGTTGGTTTAGCAAGTAAAAGGCACATTTATCATTCAAGAACCACTTCAACTTGCTGGACTTTGTGCTGTTCATTGAACCCTACAGAAAATGTATTTCTGTTAAATTATTTAATAATGCAGGGCAAAATTTCATTCCCTTTTTCTTTAGTGAAATATTAAATGCCATACAAGCATACTTGCCTTTTGTACATGATTTGAAACCTGTTCTAAATTTGCCTGCTCAGAATCCAGCATGCTTGCTACAACATGTGTGGAATGCATTCTTGTCTTAACAGGGGTCATGCAATATGGGCAGAGAACAATAAGCTTGTTCAGACATGATTACCCTTCATACTAATATCATTTCCTATGCTCATTAATTTGATACTGGGTTTAACATTCTAATGCAACACTCTTGAAACAAAGGTAAACAGTAATGAATGGGTTTATACACTGCAGTGAAATGAGTTCCGTTGTGTGAACATTTCCAGCTCCACAGTTTAGCACTAGTCTCCCTCACAGCTGTTTCCTGTGTTGTCATGCAAGGCTCCCCTTTGTAGGGAGGAAAGTCTTGAATGAAGACACTGAAAACAGCCAAGAGGGATACACATAGAAATGGCTTTAACATCAAATTTTGTTTGTTAACACAAAGTTAATTGGCATCAAAGGTAATTGACTTAGAAATTGAATTGGGTCATTTTTGCATGACAACAGACTGTAATTAAATACACATCAACATATTCATTAGTGACTTAATTTTAGACACACTAATATAGGAAGATATAAATTCATCCCCAATTAACCTTGAGGAAACATGTATGTTTTTCCATGAAAGTGTATAAAACGTCCACATTTAAGACAACATCTCTCAAGTACAAATTATTTCAATTAAGAATGATTTTTTTTTTATATTTGGAAGCACTGGTTTTCTTAGTGAATTATTTGACACTATGTATCAAACACAAATAATTTACCAACCCAAAAATATCTCGATAATATTGAAAAAAACAAAAACTTTAAGGTCAAAAATAGATTTATGATAAATTTCACTGGTTGTCTTTAAATAGAAATTCTGGATATTTTTGGCATCATAAAAGATTGACCACCAATTTCTAAAAGACTATAATTATTGAAAAGGTAAATTTATCAAACAAGTTCAGACTTGTCTATGTGCCTACTGCGTTAAAACCCAGCCATCAATAAGGCATTGTTGATTGTTCAAAACAGGAAGTGACTAATAGCCATTAGAATGAGCCATAAGTGTTATGTTAACGTGACCTTGTCGTCCGTAACATTCGTTAAGGGGAATAAAAATAACTTCTGATAAGCATGATAAACCGAGCCAAAGGCAGTGTATAAGTTGTTACATAACGGCGAAAAAAAAATTACGGATTTGTTTTGAAAATAAACATTGTCAAACAAAGTGTGTAAGAAGCTTTCTTCTGTAAAAAGACTCCCTCAATTTTCAGCTTCGAAAGCTAAATAGATAATCATTAAAATAAAATAAGACTTTGATACACTGCTGCGATCGATCACTTACATTCCGTATCGAATAACGTTTCATCGATTGAAGGTGAGACCCCAGACAAGGAAAAATACATCTTTAGGGGTAATCAATTAGTGTGCTTATCCGTTGATAACAACTCGCATTATGGGGTAACAATTCGATTTGTCTAACACGAAAGAAAGAGAATGAACTTACTCGTTTTCGCGGTGAGCTCTCTGATTTCCGCTCTCCATATTATTGCTCTGGCCGTAATCCTGATGTGGTTCCCGTCTGCGGCTTGGAGCAGAGGAATCATGATAGTTCACTCGATGTTTTGCCCGTGATCGCTTATTGACCGATCGTTCTAAGCGTGCTGTAAGTCGAGAGGAAGCCTCTCTCTCGGTCGAATAAATGTGCTCTTTCGATGACGCAGAACTCGGTCTCTGGGAAACTTCTTCAAGTGACATTTAAATAATGTTACAAAAGATAAGTACTCGGCATCTGTAGGACGCCAGAAATGTGGAAAACAATGATTTATCCGCTGGTATATTGTGTCTTGACTTGTGGTTTAGGATTTGGCACTTGTGAAAACATTCCAGACATTCTTTTACAGCTTAGCAGCCCGGTGATGTTTGGTTTCGGCTGTGGGAACTGGAACTAGACTAATATACAGGCCCACCAAGGTAGAAATAACGCCTGGCGGAAACTGACATTTCTCCATGAATTTCCCGCCGATTGCTTCACTTGCTGCATTCAGGAGTGTTTTAGGGAGATCCCGTCACCTCATCAAGCCGCTTTCACGAAAAATAGCTTCTTCTCTGACGATGGAAAACCAGAGACTTGTGTGGGTCGATCTAGAGGTCAGTTGATTCACCAACTAATTTACTGTATTTGGTTTCAGAAACTTATCAGTTCGAAAGTGGTATGCAGAAGAATGGTATCGTCTAGTTATCGATCGAGATGCATGTGCTGCGTTTTGGAAACAAACTTAATGAGGAAGCTTGCCGCAGATTTATCTTTGCAAATCTTTTTAATTCACTATATGTCTAGGTAAGGTTATGATGAAACATTCTAGTCGCCAATTTGGCGACTAATTTTCAGGATTTGGTTGCCAATTGAAAGTGAAAAATTTAGTCGCATTGGCGCCTGTATTAGGCGCAATTTCACGCCCTGGCATTACGGTTACTTGATTCACTTAACAAGCCTTACTTTATAAACGACTGTAAATAGGTAAAAATCGTATAATTTATGTGAACTGCGGTTGAAGAAAAGAATATGGAAGCGATCGATCCTTGCAGTTATGAACACTACTTAAGTAGCAGTAAAAATAAGGCCTGAAAAAGTTCAGGCCCGTATGAGATTTGGGTAAAATTTCTGCACAGCTCCATCCTACATTATGCATTCAGTTCTTGAACAGAGAAAACAATGACAAAAACAATACATTTCTGTTGGGAAAACAGATTTGTTTTACAATAGTATGGGGCTGTGCGGAAACTTTACTGAGATTTGAACCCATGACCTCAACCGGTGCAGATGGAATGGTGTATTTGGAACCAACATAACGACCAGCTCCCAGTTAGCTTGTTACCTCAGTTGGTAGAGTACCGCACCAGTAAATAACAGTTAAGAAAAGTGATTACATAGGACTATTAAAGCAAACAATAAAAGTTGCATTAAAGCTAACCTGCATGCAAATATTACCTTACTTTTTTGTGACCAGTGCACAGAGGAGGTTTCTCTCATCCATAAGAGATTTCAGACAAGCAGTTTTAATATGAAGGTCAACCTCGTTGTCTACTACACAATTTTTATTGATGCAGAAATTTTTTTAAATTAGTAAAACAAGGGTAAATTGTCTGGTTTTGTGGTTGCTGTTTTTGTGTTTTGCTGAAAATGATCTTTTATTCCCTCTTCAACTCGACCTTGTTGCTGCTGGTTCGGTCATCAAGATGACAGGTAATTAAAGCTTTTCCTTTGTCCGTTATTGAAGCACAATAAACTCTCTTACTCCTATTAACCCCTCACTCCCAAGAACTCAATAGTAACACTCCTTGCTGTCTGTCATACAGTTCTTATGATGTTAGTTCAGAGAATTTGGTATTTGATCAACTAATAATCCTTTAACTGATATTTTTATTTATTCTCATGACTTGTATTCTTGATATTCTATTGATATTGTAAGGAGAAATTCTACTTTGGTCACTCAAGGAAGTCAAAGAGTTAAAATTTCACCAAGAAGTTGGGAGGATAACTTACATTAATGAACCATAGAATCCTCTCCTGTAAAATCTTGTCCTGAATTCTGTTACTTAACCTGAAATTCAAAGATTTGATCAATATGGAATTAAGAAATACTGATTCACATGTTGAGCCCTCTTAACACTTGTGATGATTAATTTTAGTGAAGAAGACTGTAGAGAGTGGTATTGGACAGAGCTAAAACTTTTAACATCTCTTCTTTAGGTCTTGACATCGATGAGTGTCATATTATAGAAATGGCATGCCTGATCACAGATGAAAACCTCAATATTGTGGCAGAGGTAATGTATGTCCAAGAATAATATAGACTGAAATGATAAAATGATCTATGTGGGTTAGCTGCAAAGCCTGAAAGAAAATTTAGGTTTTGACAAGAGCCAAACCCATGCTTGCTAGATACTACAACTTGTTGGAAGCTTCCATCAACAGAGTCATAAGGTGACATGTTGTGAGAAAGGCAAATTCAGGGAGGTCCATAGTATTATTCAATGAAGTAAATGATATTTTGATGTTCTGAAGGAATAGAAAGGAAGAGATGATTAAGAAGTGTGGTTTAACTGATGGGCAGCTTATCTTGGTCTACTGTAGCATCATCAGATCTGTCTTGGAGTATGCAAGTCCTGTATGGGCTGGCCTCACGCAGTACTTGAGTGATCAAATTGAGTTGGTTCAAAAGAGGGCTCTAAAAATCATTTCCCATTTATGAGTTATGAGGATGCGCTTAAGAAGTCAGGCTTAATTAATCTATGCCAGAGGAGGGAGGACGCGTGCGTCACTTTCCTTAAGCGGAGTTACTACTCTTCTGACCTACTACGAAATCTAGTACCGCGATGTCAATTTTCAAGACCATATGCCCCTAGGGCAGGAAGAACTGTGTCTGTACCTACCTCCTCAAGATCTATTAGATTTTGAAATTTTTGTACTATTAAATATCAGAATCATGTGTAATATACTTAACTGCAATTTATCTTATTACTTACAGTATTTAATGTTTACACAATATTTAATATTTATATTTAATTGATATCTAAAATAGTTCTATGAATGCATAATGTAGAAGTATTTGTAAATTTTGACCCGCCTTGTAATTCAGTTTCTACTGCAAGAAGGCTGAATAAACGATCATCATCATCATTATCACAGTTAAGCTGCAAAGTTATTTTTATTTTGATACATGTGTTTTTCTAATTAAAGGCACCTGACTTAGTAATTCATCAGCCAAACTCAGTCTTAGAAGCCATGGATGAATGGTGTGTCAAACATCATGGAGAGGTAAAGATGCATAGATTTTGGCTCATAATTAACAATTGGTTCATACTTCAGCATGCGTTCATCGAGATATGAAGCATGCAGGAAGTTTGGAGAGCACGAAAGATGTGTAAGAGTTGCTCAAGGTGTAGCCGAGAGCAACTCTAGCTTCTTGAGTGCTCTCCAAACTTCCCAAATGCTTCATATCTTGACAAACCCACAGCTAATGCATGAACCAATTGTTTTATAACATTTTCAACCCGATGGAAAATTTTTTTTCTCGAGGGATTTGTTTGCTGACGTCATGAGCATGCACAATAGGAATATGAAGTACACTTGTGCAATCAAATTTGATTACACAAATTTACAAGCTATGTTATAACTTTTATTTGACCCTCTACACAATAAAATAAGTATACATATTCTGCATACTGTTTCAGTACCTTTATGTACAAAAATTTCAATGCTGTAATGTATCTTTGCATAGCCCTTTAACTCCCAAGATCTCATTTAGTAATCCTCCTTATTGTCTGCCATACAGTTCTTGTGATGTTAGTTTGGAGAACTAGGTGTTGGATCAACTAATAATTCCCTAATCATGGGAGGTAAAAGGTTAACCCTCTAATCCTTAATATCAGTGACTAGCATCTGATCTCTCCTTAAAATATCACCCCTGAATCAAACATTGAAAGGAAATGATCACCAACTAAAGCAGTTTTTGTTGTTAAACAAATTCACCTTGCTTGTACCTTAGGAAATGTATAGTGAACAGTATGGAGAATTTGCATACTGATGTTAGGGTGTAGAGGATTAATGCTGTGTTAATTTTCCTTCTCCTCACTCTTCAAGTCAGGTTTAACAGCTGCTGTTAAAGCATCCAAAACCAGCCTCTCAGAGGCACAACAAATTTTTCTGGAGTTTATAAAAAAACACACTCCAGCTAAGCAGTGTGCACTGGCTGGAAACAGCGTGCATTGGGATAAAAAGTTCCTGGACAAGTACATGCCTAAATTTATGAATCACCTACATTACAGAATTGTGGATGTTAGCACAGTGAAAGAACTCTGTAGGTTAGTGAACTGAAATTTTATAATTAATAATGGTTTTATGTACTTTTAATCCTTTCACTTCCAAGATCTCAGTAGTAATTCTCCCTACTGGCTGCCATACAATTCTTATGATGTTTGTTCAGAGAATTTGGTATTGGATCAGCTTATAATCCCCTAATTGATATTTTTCTTTCTTCTTATCCCTTGATATTGATATTTTATTGATATTACAAAGAAGAAATCATGTCTTGATCATTCATGAGGGTTAAAGGATTAATTTATCGCAATTTTAATATCTTTTTAGGTCTGTTGGTTTTATCCTGTTTTAATTTTAGCACAATAGAATTTACATTTCAGTTATTTATTTTTTTATTTTTGCCTTCAATCATGTCCTTGTGATGCAAGGTTTTAAGATTCAAGGTAGTCTTTAAGTACAGCCCTTTACTCCACATGTACTCATCATGTTTAATCCTTTAACTCCCAGATCAAATTTGTAATTCTCCTTACTGTCAACCATACAATTCTTATAATGTCAGTTCAGAGAATTTAGTATTGGATCAATAATTATCCCCAAATTGATATTTTTCTTTATTCTCATCCCTTATCTGGTTGATATTGTATTGATATTGTAAGGAGAAATTCTCTCTTGGTCTCTCATGGGAGTTGAAGTGTTAGTAAATTTGGATGAAACTGCACTGAATGCTGACAATGGACCAATAATGAAGTTACAATTAAAAATTAGATGGCATGTTGCCTTGCACCTTTGCAATAAGAGATCACAGATGACGTCAAAATGTGACAACAACAAAAGAGTAGCGCATGAGGCGCAGCTTAGGAAAAAAAACTTGAAAAAAAAATGGAGGCCTTATTTTCAGTACTGCTTAAGTTGTGTTCATTACTGCGAAGATTGCTTCCAAATTCATTTCTTCAACCACAGTTCACATATATGATTTCAATGTATTTAAAGTCGTTTATTCATCACTCCATGGGTTTATTACATGAACCAACATTATGATAATGACCAGCTCCCAGTTGGCTTGTCAGCTCAGTTGGTAGAGCGCTGCACCAGTATCACAGAGGTCATGGGTTCAAATCCCTTACAGGCCTAAATTTTTTTAGACTTTATTTTCACTACAGCTTAATCTTTTAACTCTCAGAAGTGATTAACATGGAACTTCTCCCTAAAATATCCATACATTATCTTGTAAACAGGTATTGAGAAAACTTCAACTTATCAGGTAGAGTTGTTATCTTGATCAACCACTAAATCCTCATAACTGATTTATAATGAAATTCCCTCTATTAGGAGATGGTATCCTGAGATTTATCAACAAGTTCCCAAGAAAAAGCAAACCCACAGGTACAGTAAATAATTATTTAACTCTTCAAGTCTCAGAAGTGATTAACATGTAAATTCTCCCTATAATACCCATACATTATCCAGCACACAGGTAATGAGAATACTCAAACTTATCACCTAGATGATTTAACTTGATCTAACACCAAATTCTTGTTACTATTTTACAAGTAATTGTGTAGAAGCCAGAGAGGAGAGTTAAGAATCAGATCTTGGGAGTTAAAGGGTTAAGGACTACAATTTGAAATTGGTTAAGTGGCTAGTCTGTGCCATTATAAAATTATGCAGGGTAATTTAGTATTATCAACTGAGTTGATGATGTAAAGTGACCACTGTAAAGAGTTTCAAAGGTGACATTTCGAGCATTAGCCCTCCATCAGAAGGAAAGTACATATATATGTTCCTCATCTCCTCTGAACAAAAGCCCAGTAAAGCTGTTTGATACTACAAGGCCCACTTGTTCAAAGAGCTAATATTATCCTATCCAGGGGATAAAAAGTTCTAGGGGATAGTTGTCAACAAAACATACCATGCTATCCACAAGACAGAGACTTATTGTGTTGATAGTGTTAATAGCCACCCTTCGTACAACCAGGATCATTCCAAAAGATTGCCTTATTCAGTTTGAAGGAGAAATAATTTAAGGGTCTGGTGAACAAAAAGGCAATGGGGTATTATGATGATTTGTATACCACTGATTGTTAACAGGAGACAGTCATTTAAAAAGAATGCTTCTGTCAATCATTTTTTTTTCCCTGATCTGCGTTCTTTTCAAAACAGAACTTTGAATCACCAAATAGCAAATCTAACCAATAATTTGCTTTTAAATGCAGAGCCCTGGATGACATCAAAGAAAGCATTATTGAACTTCAGTTTTACAAGCAGAAGATATTCAAGTAATAAGATGCAAAACAAAGCAGTTTCTTAATTTACTTAGAACATTTGATCAGCAGTAGAAGATGAAAATGATATCTAATATAAACCTTGCCAAAGTAAAGTGCATCTTGTAACATTTTTTTTTACCCCTTTAATTAACAATTGGTTCATACATCAGTGTGCGTTCATTGAGATATGAAGCATGCGGGAAGTTTGGAGAGCATGAAAGATGCGTAAGAGTTGCTCAAGGCGTAGCTGAGAGCAACTCTAGCTTCTTGAGTGCTCTCCAAATTTCCCAAGTGCTTCGTATCTCGATGAACACACAGCTGACGTATGAACCAATTGTTTTATAACATTTTCAACCTGGAAAATTTTTTTTCTAGAGGGATTTGTTTGCTGACGTCATGAGCGTGCACAATAGTAATATGTAGCACGCTCGCGGAATTGAATTTATGTAGACAAATTTACTAGCTATGTTATAAAACTATTTTTGCTCCATTTTTTTACTATTTAAGACCCTTCATATTTACCAGTATATTTTGAAAGTAACTTGGTTGATAACATGAATAGTAAAGTGAAAAAAAACAAGAATGAATTAGTTCAATAAAAGGCTGCAGACTGCTAAGTGTCTTGCGAATGATTTGGATGTGTCTTTAACATCTTTCTCTGTGTCATGAGGGTGTTTGTGGAATTGGTCACTGAGTCATCTTCCTGTTTTACTATTGTATAACCTTTTTGCAATAAATACAAGTTATGTAATAGATGACATTGGCAGAGATACATGTACCATGCTTCTACCAATTAGTGGAGCTCCATCTTTCTATATAAAAAACCACACACAACTCATGATTCCTCAACTTGCCCTGAAGAAGGAGTAATGCTTGTCAGCTTTAGAGTCTCATTACTGTGGCTTATTAACATTAGTATTATTAGCTCAGCGGATAAAAAAAAATTATCTTTCAATACCCCTATCAAGGTAGCACCACATTTTTTGTTAGTTCTGATAATTTGATGTTAGATCATTTTTTCTCAAACTAATCATCTGTCTTGTTGATAGTGTATTGATACTGTTAGGAGAAATTACCTCTTGATCACTAAGGAAACTGGAAAACTTCATTGAATTACCTTTTTGGCTCTAATTTATCAAATTCCACAAAACTAGACACAAAATTTCACTTCTTTTTTTTTCGGAGAAGTGCATACATGACAAACAGCATAATTAAGTAGTAATCACTTGATTTATGTACTTCCTTGTAGTCATAGCTCTCCTTTTCAGGAGTTCACCAGAAAAATTTACCACTAATAGTACCTTTTGTTACTGCCTAAAATTTCTTGGAATTCTTGAAAATTCAACAGGTAAAGGGATTGCTGTACTGGTCTGAAAACTTCTTTTACCTTTTGCCTTAAAGTAAAGAAGACTTCTGTGTTGTATATGTATTGTTTGCAGATAGTCACCAATTTCCTTATATCTACCATTTATAGTTGTAGATGTCCTCATATCTAACATGGTTGTAACACAGCTACACTGACTAAAATTTTCAACCATTCACATTCTCTTGAAAGTCACTCAGTGCCTTTTGAGTTGTGTTTACAGTCACATAGACCCAGCAGCTCTGTCCATAAATTTTGCAAGCTTGACGTCTTTTGCAGAAAGCCCTCCACAGTCATGTGTTGACAAGGTTACTTGCACTCGGCTGTAAACATTGAACCATTCTGGATGATGATCCATTTTCTCTGACGTCAGAGCCACACGTGTCATAAAACCAAATGCTTGGTTGAAATTCTTGAATTTAAACTCCTTGTAAATGGCATCGCGTCCCTCAACCTCTGTCCAGCCTGAGGACTTTAAAGGCTGAAGTTCTGTCTCTCTCTCTTCAGCAGTGAATTTCGTGGACTTTGGTGAAGACTGCGGAGAATTATGGCAACTTATTGGTTACATTTTTAACAATGTGCATGAAAAAATTACGCACTTCTGATTGGCTGAAAATGAGTGCATTCTCATGTAACATGAATGTGAAGTTATAACCTCTGTGCGGATTACAAATAGCACATGGCTTGTCTGTTTTGACCCTTCCTGGCATTTTTTCATGTACATTATTAACAAGAAATAATCCAATTTCTCTTGCAATTTAGTGTAAATTTTTCAAAGACTACAAATTACACTTGAGAGTACGGTACAGGCTCATGTGATTTTGTTGTCTTTGAAAAATTTAGTTGTGCTTATTAACAACAAGTTGCAATTGAAATCATGTTATTTCTTATACAAACACAGGAGAAAGTTAAGTACTTGGACGTCATCTTTATGTTTCCCACACTGTCTTAACCCTTAAACTTCCAGAAGTGATAAACATGTAACTTCTCCCTATTATATCTAGACATTATCCAGCAAAACAGTAACGAGGATACTCAAATTTATCAGGTGGAAGTTGTTGTCTTGATCTAATACCAAATTCTCGCAATCAATTTAGAAGGAAATGTGTAACATGGCAAGGGGAGAATTAGCCATCAGATCTTGGGAGTTAAAGGGTCAAGAACAGGGCTCTTCCAGCCTTGTGTTAAGGGTGTCATCAGGAAAAAAAGAGAGAGACAGAGGTGGGGGAAAGGGTAGGGGACTTTTTTTGTCACTAATTTTGAACAAAATATTGAGAGAGTTCTTAATCACTCCAAAATTTATTAAAAAAAAAAACTTCCTCAAGCAAACGGAGTAGAGTTTGGGGGGTGGAGGAGTGTAGTTGGTCATCCCCCAAGCAATAATTGGTTCGTGAGAGCACCGCATCAAGGCTCTTACTACATAAACACCATCCTGTTACAACTAAATTTAATACTGGCTGGGAACAGACTGAATAATTCTCCAGGGTCTAATTTTTGCCTCCTGATTTTAAAAGCCGAATATAGAGAAATGAAATAGCCAGACCAATGAAGTAACGGGCGGTGGAATCACCCGTTCTGATGTACAGATGATTGTATTAAAGTTGTACAATATTTTGATCGACGAAACTCATAGAGATTACTTTTACTCTATATTGAAAATAAAAAAAAGTATAACTTCCTTAGCGCAGCTTTGTAACTTACCATCACTGGAAAAGTTTGCAAGAGCCTCACACACTGTACACGAGCTGAGCTACTGTTCTGCAGAAACAATCTGATCATTTCGCCGTCCGCGTGGTCTGAGTTTATGGAGAAGGTTGGCACTAATGATATAGAACGCTGACCAAAAACCACGAACGTGTAAATCATGGCGGATAGAAGTGCGAAGGACAAAGATCGGAAAGAGGATGACGAATTGGATGAACTTCTTGATAGTGAGTTGTTTTTCGAATATTAGCTGCTCTCGCTCGATCATTTTCTAGTTTCGTTTGAGTTTAAGCTCAGGACCAAAATCAAAATTGCTCAGTCACCTTCGAACTCAGCTGATTGCAAATTACATTACTCTGCAACTTAACTTTCTTGCAAATATATCATTCATAGGAGAAATTTTCATTTCGATCTTTAGTTTATTTTTGTCTGTTCTTATGGGGATATTTCCTATCGTCAGCTAGCTAGCTCAATGCAATTTCTTCGTACTTAAATGAACATAAAAAAATTATCGTATCATGGGATAATTTTTCATGACCAGGCCGTTCACAGAAATGCAACCCGGTAATGTCACCAATTTCTCAATTCCTATTGTACGTGTGTGATTCTTGTCATAGCCCCTTTCAGTTAACTCCCTTTAGCAGACTGTAAGAGTGCCTGATTAGCTGTTAACTAAATAATTGTCTTGATAATGTAAGGAACCATTACATCTCAATCAGTTTTGGGAAGGAAAGAGGTGACTCAGTTATAAATATGGCGTGATAGAGGTGTGCATAAGGGTCAAGTTGGCTTCTTCCAGTCACTGCTCATCTTGTGGCTCAAGATGCTCAGAGTTGTGATGATATGAGTAATGACTATCATTTCTTTTATCCTCAAGTTGTCGTTACATAGCTTTAACCCTTAAAAAACCTCTAAGTGACCAGCGTCTAATTTTTCCTTGAAATACCAACCCTGAATCAATCAGTAAGATTATGAGAATAAAAGAAATGATCACCAACTAAAGAAGGTCTTGATTGTGAAACAATTATTTGTTATCAGCAGTTTGAGAAATGTATAGAGAGCAATTTACAATTTACTGATAATAGTATAAAAGGTTAACCATTTACACCCCAACATCAGTATACATATTCTCTATACTGTTCTCTATACAATTCCTAGGGAGCTGACAAGGAGAATTTGTGTAACAATCAAAAGCTCCCTTAATTGGTGATTGTTTCCTTAATTCTCATGACATTTATGTGTGATTCAGGTGTGATATTGTGAGGAGAAATTAGATGCTGGTCATTCTTAGGGGTTAAAGGGTTAATATGGCATGATAAAGGAGTACCTTTGAGCCAAGTTGGGCTATTCTGATCACAGCTCCTCTTTGATTCTTTGGCCAGGGTTGTTTTCACATGATGATAACTTTCATTTCTTTCTAATGTATTGTTGACTATGGTTAGGTTAGCCCTTTGATGAAAAAGATAAAAGCTGAACATAATCAAAGATTGATTCAATGTGGATAAATTTAGAAAATAACTCATTTGCTCTCTCTTTGTTTCCATTTTCCATTAATCTTTTTTTTAGGTGCACTTGAAGATTTTGACAGCAAAGCACCATTGGCAACAAAACATAGCTCACAAACTGATTCAGAAAATGGAGAAAAATTGTCAGATTCTTCAAAAAATCCCTGTAACAGCAGAAAATCAACACTGAAAACTGAGGGAAGTAGTAGTGCATCAGCTTCTTCTCAACAAACCACTGATCATGCTCGTTCAGGAGTTGACTTCAGCCAAGTAGCTGGCCTAGAAGATTTGGAAAATGCAATGAAATCAATTTTAGGAGATGAGCCAGAATTGCTGGCACAACTTGAACAGTTTGCTCAAGCTGCAGCCAATGCAGAACCTGGTAAGATGTTTAAACATTTATTAAATTCATTTTGAAATTACTAGTGCTCCTTGCAATCTGATTGGCTCTCAGCAATGCAATTTATTTGTATGTACACCACAAAAAAGCTATGGATACTGCTTAATATATTATTCTGAATGAAAAAATATTTATTTCTTAGATAATCCATCATCAGTAGCAGATCTCGAAGCCAATCTGGCCAGAACCATGAATCATTTGGCCCAGAATGCTAAAGATTTAGAGGTGATTATTAAGTTCTGAAACTGTTAATCAACGTTGATAACATGTTGAATTTAAATTTTTGTTGCATTTATTCCTGTTCCATGATCATTTTACAAGCAATAGTGTTACCAGTCACTTTGTCAACATGTCAACTCATCAATGTCGACTTTATGCCTACTTTGTTCAACGCACCAACACTAATTTTTTTAAAATTTAATATCAAAGACCAAAGACAACTGTCAGCAAGTTGAATAATTTTGACCAATGTTTCTTTGCCTCATGCTCACGACAAAACGAAAAAATAACTTTCTCTAATAACTTGTAATTTTCACCTTCCAATATCTCTTTCTGAAAATTCAGGGGGTACATTGGTATAGCTCAGTGACAAATTGGTAGACGTTTGTCATGATTGAAAAATAGTGATGATCTTATAACTTGCAAAATGTGTTCAGTTATGAATTATCAACAGCAAATACTCTTCCCTGATCTAGATATTTTATTTGTTACTTTCTGTACAGAATGCTGGGTCTCTTAATGAAGATTTCTTCAAGTCAATGGCAGACATGAACTTGTCTGGTGGTGATGGAGACATGGATTTCCTTCCATTGATGCAGGGAATGATGCAGAACTTGCTATCCAAAGATGTACTTTATCCGGCATTGAAAGACTTGAGAGAAAAGGTGAACTTGTATATAAGTGATCTAAGATTAAGGCTAGATACAAAAATCCAGATTTTTTTCCTGGACTTTTAAAGTCAATGGGATTGTTAGAAAATTTGAGGAACTTTTAGAACGTTTAATGATTTTAGGCCAATAACATGAAAAATAATTTACAGCTTAATTTTTCTTCCACTGTTTTCAAGCAGGCTTCATGAAAATGTCAAACTCTTTTAACTGTTTATTATTATTGCTACTGATTTTTTTAAAGAGAACTGTGTAAGGATATGAAGCTGATAAGCCACTTACATTGTCTAGCAAATAAACTCTTTTGAAATTCTTCTTGAAATGAATTGGTTTGAAGATGCTTCCATGCAATTTTACCACAGGGATCTCACATTTTATGTGAATTATGTGGTTATTTCAGAAATAAAATTGAGATTAATACACAAGTTAGACACTTTTTGGAGAATTTCTTCATAGATTTTTAGGCCATGTTTTTGGAATTTTTTCATCTAGGCCTCTCAGAGATTGTGTGTTTGGCCATAAGTGTTAGTTTAGTTCAAAGGTATCTTTTTTTTCTCCTGGACTGAGAGAAGTGCTAGAGTTACTGTAAAAAATCTTCCCCAACAACACAATGCAATAGCCTGACTAGGGGTCCAGTTTCTCTCAAAGGCTCTGACTAGTAACTGTATGGACCTGAAAAACTCATTTTGGTTGAAGTGTTAATGTTTAAGGTCACAAAATTGATAGTTTTGACATTCAAACAATTATAATTATAGTTTTGTAACAGGTCACCAAAAAGGAAAGAGCAAGTTTTTGAGTTTATACCCAGTATTATTTAAAATTGTGTTTAAAATTATGGATTTGGGTCCCAATAGACTACGAGCAATTCCTCCTTTTTGGCAAAGTTGCCTAACTCCAAGAACCCCCCAAGGTGTGCTAACATCATCATTTCTTCTTTGAATCTTTTTGACACACACAATGGACTTTGCCAAAAATGAGGGTTGCTTGTAGTGCAGGGTTTCAAAAAATTTACAGGGACCTTCAAGAAACTGGCCTCAGGGCTTGAACCCACACCTCTAGTGGTTGTTTGCTAGGCTTAGCTTACAACATCAGAGTGTAGCAGCTGAGTTTTCAGTTCTGATAGGGGATACTATAGACATGCTCATGAAAACATTCCTTCATTTGCAATGGATTAATTAACAATTATTCACCAAAGTGAAGGTGAATAGTATTGGATATTTACTGAGCTGCAAAGCTGCAAGGTAAATATTTACCACTTCCACCGTCTCTGAGGTGAATAATTGTTTCAGTGTATACCCCAAAGACACTAAAAACATACTAGTTTATTTCTTTTGATATATGGAAAATTACTGTAAAATTAAACCCTTGATGCCTGATTTTGTCACACTAGTTGCTTAGAGGTGAAGAGTACTTGCTTTTCACTTTCAAATTAGCAAATCAGTGCACACAAAAAGCACTTTCACAGAGTCTTACATGCTAATTTTTGATATTTAACCTTAAATTTTAGTATCCTGGGTGGTTAGAAGACAATAAAGCATCGTTAACATCCGAGGAGTTTGCTCGTTATGACAACCAGTATAAAGTGGTGGGTAGAATTTGTTCAGAGTACGAGGCTGAGAGCAGTAGTGATTCAGATGATGTGAGGAAAAAGCGATTTGAAAAACTACTTGGACTCATGCAACAGGTGATTATGTTCAAATTCATCCTTTTACCTTCAAGATTTTAAACCTTTAGTGTGGTAACATGTCTACTTAGCCAGCTCTGTGAAATCTTATGTGGTCTAATAATGGCAGATTCAAGATTTTTTGCCTTATGCCTCTTTGGAAGGCTATTGTTAATTAAAAATAGTTGTCATTTTTAGCCCAACTTAAATACAGTCATGGTAAATGAAGGTAAAAAAAAGGTATGTGTGATGTTAGACTAAGGTTAATTTATTTGCATTTGTTGATCATCTTCTAGATGCAAGAATGTGGGCAGCCTCCATCAGAACTTGTTGGAGAAATGGTATGATTAGTCCTAGGTGTAATATGTGTTGAGGTTGAGATGTACTTTGTTTTATTTATTTCCAGCTCAATTTGCATTTTTCTGCTTTAATGGTCTTAAATGGGTGGAGAAACATTTGTGCCAAGATAAAAATTTGATCCATCAGTGGTAGTGCTGTGATAAAAAAATATTTAAAATAGGAATTTCACAGTAGTATCTCCAAGAAGTAGCTCTACATCAACTGTTTCCAGATTGAACTGGTATTTGGGAGTTGGTTTTTCAGAGACAGGAAAAGCAGAGATCTTGAAGCAAATTGTCACTGGTAGGACAAGAATCCACAAACTTACTTGTTAATGCTTTGCTTTTTATCACTGTCATTAATGTCGGATATTTATCACTTTTTTTCCTCCACTAGCCTCCAGGGTTCCCTGGGCCTTTTCCAGAGATGCCTCAAGAGGCACCAGAGTTACCAGATGAACTCAAAAATGAGTGCAAAGTGTCTTAGCCTGTAGGACACAAGAATGAAAACAAAGCAACATCACATATCACTTGCAATGGACAAAAAAAGCTCTTTGCAAAGGCTTTCTTAGTTTTGTGCAAGAGTGAGGCTATCAAAAGGGACATATCTAAGACAAGTCGGAGAAATGATAACGTTACAATTATTTAAAAGTGATTTATCATTTCATTTGTGTTCATGAAAGAACACATGTATTGGAAGTGAGGTACTGCTGGACTGGACCTCTGGTATTGGAAAGCGAGGGAAGTTATGATGAAGAACTGAGTGGAGCTTATATTAAGAGTCAAGTTGGGATGTTTTATAAAACTCATACAATAATTACTTTAACATGCAACACCAATAGTGAAACATGCCTGTTACTGCATCATTTGTGTCTAAAATTTACAATGTGTAAGTCAAAGTTATGGTTTGGTGGCGGAATAATCAGTTCAGCTACAGTGTAATTCACTAGTTGTGACTGGCCACTGTTGAGAGACAGAATGGTTTTCTTTTTAAGCTGTTTTAGTTAAGGACAAATTTTTAACTATTTGGTGCTCCATAAATCTGTGGTGGGGTTGGGGGGGGGGGGTGGTTCTGAAGTTAAACAACCCTCACACACAAATTGTCTCAAGGTTATTCTTTTAAGAACAGATGTACATGTAATAAAAGGATGTTTTTTGTTGTGCATTTTAAATTTAATCTTGAACACGGAGAATAATGCATGTTGCAAATCCAGTCGTAGTACCAACTGCACTTTCTCCACTCATTGAGAGATATGATAGGGTAGACAGGGAAATAGATCCAGTTCTTGAACTCAAGGAAAATCTTTTTCTAAATTTATCAGCACTATGTCATTGTAAGTGGTTACCCCCCCCCCCCCCCCCTTTCCTAGGAAGAATTCAAAGTAAAGTGGGACGCAAGGGATGTCCAGTTCATCCAGGGCGTTGTTATATCCACTTTTAGAAGGACAAACCCTGTATCTGCTACAGGATGCTTCATGTGATCAGTGAAGGAAGGGAGTGTACAGTCCAACTTGTAATGGGCAGTCAGTAGTCACCTATGGATATTGGCAAGGTGAATGTTAAATAGTTTGACCCACTAATACAGGTTGACCTGCAAATGATGAGGTGGTGTTCAAGCAGTATCTGTCCTTACAGTCAAAGTAGAAAGATTACCTAGAACACATCACTGACATTTCAACCCAAGTACCAAAATTGATTTCTGGAGGTAAACATGGATTACAGTGTACTTGCATTGTTATCCTAGTTTCATTTCAGTAGTTCCATTTTAATCCTTTAATTCCCACGAGTGAGTGACGAGGAATTTCATCTTACAATATCACTACAGTATCAAGCAGACGAGTAATTCAAATTCAAGAAAAATATGAATTGGGGTATTTAGGCAATTCAGTGCCAAATTAATAGGACATCATAAAAGTTGTGTGGCAGACACTGAGGAGAATTACTAATAGCATCTTAGGAGTGAAGGGTTTAGTGGCCACTCCAATACAGATGGAAAATGACATGAACAGGGAGTTAAATCTCAGTCTGTGGTGACCACAACTATTTGACAGAGGTGACTTTTAAAAATCAACATAAAAATTGTATTACTTGACTTGGAAAAATTAGGGAACTTAGTTAGACAACTGTTTATTGAAGGGTGCTATCAATGCAGGTTTCTTGGAGCAGATTTCACTGTCCCTTGAAAGTATGAATTAACATTTGAAATCAGGTCAAACTTGTCTTTGTGATGTAAGAGCTAATGGGTTTTTGTCTCAAAAACCTGTTCTTTTGCCTTTCATTAAATATCATTTCATATCCATGTTCCCTTAGTTTGAACAAATTCAAAGGATTAAATTGCCCAGTTGAAGTTTCCCTTTTTTTCAAATTTCTTTTCTAAAAAGGACACATTTCTGCTTGTGGATGTAATGCGTACAACTTGTAAAGGGAATACAGTTAACAAACACATAAGACTATACTCCTCTTTAATGTCCAACCTTTGACAAACATGTGGGTAGAACTTTTATCATTGACAAGAGTTTTCTTGCACACGTTGACCAAGAAAAAAACTAAAAAAAATGCAAAACAACAGAAAAAAAAACAAAACAAAAACAAAACAAAAAAAAAGCCAAATAAAGGCAAAAAAAAATTAAAAATAAAGGAAAAAAGTTAACAGAAAAGGCAAATCCAGTTTGAGTAATTTAACGTCTACAGCCCATCTGGTTGGAGAGGAATGTTGCTGACAGCCTCTAGTCATCATCACCCAGGGTTAGCTTATCGAACTGGTACTCGCCCAGCCCTGGACCAACACGAGTCAAGTTTTTGACAAAGTCAGAGAACTGCTTGATGGATTCCACTTGCTCCTTAAGGAACTCGCCCTCAAGGAAGTCCATCATCTATCCAGGAGATAATAGATAACAACAGCGGTCTATGAACCATTGAACTGAAAAAAGCCCTTCAATAAATGCTACAATGTGGGAACTTATCAGCCTCATTGTCCTAATTTCCTTTCAAGACATAGATTTGTTCTTCTCTATCTTTCTGTAGGAATTTAAGGAAATGATACAAAGGGCCAAGGGACTGTCATGTTACAAAGACTTCGAGGTTAAGTTGACCAAACCACAAGAGGAAAACTGAACAATAATCACTAGACAACTAAAACAGTACTACAGAAATCCTTCACTATACCAACTCATTTAGGAGGTAATTAGTTCTGTCAGGGCAAAAATATTATGCTGCAAAATAACTGTGTGCTCAGCTACACTAAGAAAAGCAAAGCAAAGCAACGTAATACAAAGGCAAGCAGGCAAGCAAAGAATGCACAACTTCACATCAGACCTCTCTAAAAATTCCTTGACAAATCCAGTTTATTTTTTCTAAACAGATCCCAACTATTACAAATACATGTTTTAAAGTTTTCAGATAAAATATTTCCATCTCTCCTTCAAGAAAAATTACCTTAAATATATCGTCATAAGTTAATTTAAATATTTAACCCAATACAATTAAATACTTAATCATCCAATTAGAAGATAAAAGAAATTACACAACTTGAGGATGCACACAAAAAAATCTTGGATTGTTTCTGCTAGGCAGTTAACAAAGACACCCCTTAATGACAAGGCTATAACACGAGACCTAGAGCTGCGAATTTAATTAACAATGACCTAGTGTGATTGAAGCTTAACCCTTCAACTCCCAAGATCTAATAGTCAATTCTCCCCTCCAGCTACTACATATTTCCTTTTAAATTAGTTTGAGGAATTTGGTGTTAGATCAAGACAACTTCTATCTGATGTTTGAGTAGTCTCTCTGTTTGCTGGAGAATGAATGCTCTGGGAGTTGAAGGGTTAAGGCAAACAAGAACTTATTGACTGCCTAATGTCATTTTGTCAAATTGAAATTCTCCTAGTCCGGGTCCCACACGTTTTAAGTTTGTTATGTGATCAGAAAACTCCTTGATGGATTGAACCTGCTCTTCCAGGAGGTCTTCAATGATGTCTGTCGACTAAAGCAATGGATTTTATGAACTATATAAAAAAATTTCACTAATAACACCAAGTCTGATTACAGAGTTGAACAAGAATTTGATGCCTAGTAGAGAAAATTTACAAAATTGCTTACAGAAGTCATGACACAAGCAGGGTTTGAGCTAGTATTTGATCACTGGGGGACAATTTGTCCCCTTAGCAAAAATTTTGGAGGACATTTTCATTTTTAGGGGGACAGACAAATTAATTTTTATTCGACATTTTCTTTTTTTACATTCATACAGGCAAGCCAACAAAAACATTTTTTTTACCTGATCCTTGTAAGACTTGTAATACAAGAAAAGTGATACAAAAAAGAAAAGTTATGTTATTGATGTCAAATTTCTTTTTCTTGTCATATTTAAACAGAGGATCAATGACTATGCTTTATACTTCAAAACATTACACAGCAGAATCTCGTCCCGGCATCGCCTTGTAAACTTCAATTCCTTTCTTAATCACTGGTAAACGTAAATGTACTAATTTTTCAGTTGGTTCTAGCCCAAACATCAAGGGCTGTAGAAAAGAGTTGCTGCAGAGTTGAGGTTCTAAAATTTGTACACCTTCTGCCGTTGCAAAGGGGTTTGTCTTCTTAGATTTTCGACAAAAATAGCAGAACATTGCCTCTTTTTCATAGCGCAACCATGTGTGATCTCGCAACCAAGTTTTCAGGAAAGTTTGTGATTTTTTCAGTTTCCTTCGATCCTCATTCGTTTCTTCTTGATTAATACACTGTTTTTCTTCTGTATCATTTTTCTCTGATTCACTCTGGCTTCGATTCCGAGCGAAAAAGCTTTTAATGTTTGAACACGTTTTTGATGTGACATGTTACTGCGCTTTTCACAAACATGCGAATTTTGAAGTTCAAAAGCCAACTGGTTTGTGATTTGTCATTGGTGGATTTCAATCCGTTTCGTGTGTTTCTGTGTTTCAAGGTTCGTTGCTTGTGATCGTAATTATGATTGAGGGCAGCAAAAAACGTAATTGTGAAGGCAGCTTTTGAACTTTTGAGTTCGCATGTTTGTGAAAAGCGTAGTAAAGATTGCCACGTGCGTTCACCACGCTTGGTTGAGCATGAGACGTACGTGTTCAGTAAAGTGTGACTGAAACGTGACTTTAGAATGAACTTTAAACGTGCAAGAAAATATACTTTCCACGTTCTGTTTTAGCTTGCAATTTCTGTACCGAGATAAAATTCTTCATGTGTGCTTCCTTTCGAGTTTTTTCCCTAAATTTTGAAGGGGACAAATTGTCCCCTTGACCGTTTTTTTAAGGGACAATTTCAATTGCAGTGCGGGATTGGCGCAATGGCGCGGCCTGGCTCAAACCCTGATACAAGAGCTTTTGCTTACCAGTACAATGCGCAAAAAAAAAAAAAGGAAAAAAAAAGAGCTTTGCATCAGCCACAAGCAAATACAACACCACACCTGTAGCACAACTTGGCTGGCCACAATACTTATATAACTAACCTTTTCCTTCCAAGTACAAGTGGTAATATTGCAATACCTCATATGCTAACAACCCTATCAAAAGACTGTAGATCATAGCCACAAAAGGGATCTGGTTGGTTCTTACCTGAGGATCGCCATTCTTATCTGCCACTTTGTGCAAGTCCAGTAGGGATTCATTAACATGTTTCTCCAGATCCAGGGCTGCTTGCATTGCCTCTAAGCCGGTTCCCCATTCAAATTTCTCTGGCTTCTACAGGGGTAATCAGAAAATACATTCAGTTCTGTTCTATTTCAGCTTAAGCATGAAGGAAAAACTGTGCAAGGTATTGTCTTCAAAAACATGGCAATATTCATCCCAAACAGACAACAGAAATAATTGTATTAAGATAAGAATCCTATCATTTTGCAGTAAATCCAATTTTAACATGTAGATAACCAGATTGCCGCAATTCCAAGACTTTTACCAAAGTAAAGTGCTCCTTAATACACTTGCCCAAACACGACTTTTTTTTTGTCTCAAAGGACAGTCGCCTTGAAACTGTAACATTTCTTTTGAAAGATTTGCCTGGTACAAGATCTATGCGATCAGAAGATGTTCCTATTACGTAACACCGCGTGAGGTCTATCACACAAAAGGAACAAACTTAAAAGCAGTATCGGCTAAATTTGTGCACTCCTGAAGTCGCTTGCGTTTAAATAAAAAGGATATCAGTATAAAGAAATTTTGGTTCGATTGTTAGCGCACAATTCGTAGTACAAAGAGCATGCCCTTACAGAAAACCGTGTTAGTGAACACTCACCTTGATGTCTTTCCACACAATACGTCCTCCCCGCATATTCTGATAGGCCATCAACTGAAATTAAACGGAGAGAGAATGATCAGACCACCAAGCGATGAAGAATCTAGATGAATGCTGCTCTTAAAGCTTACCTTCTGGGCGTGTTCGCGTTCCTCATCTGACTGTTTTAGCATGAACTTGTGGAATCCGGGCAAAGCTACATCATCACGATCGAAGTGATAAGCCTAAAGAACAAGAAGGTAATTGTTACATCGATGGAAAATAGAACGATGGGTCACAAACAAGTGGCGAACTAATTGGAGTACGAACCATCGACATGTACACGTAGCTTGCATACAACTCGAGGTTGATTTGCTTGTTGATGCCAGCCTCACATTCTTCGTGGTAGTTCTGACGACACAGAGACATTTTGATGGTTGTGGAGGTAAAGATCGGGAAAATACGATGTTAAAAGTTGTAAAATCCTCGAATGTAAACTGCCTCGTTCAATCACTGTTGAAGCGAAACAATCCAAGATGGCGATTCACGTGAGAATTGCAGTTTATATTCCCTTAGTCATATGACATGAGATATCAATAGTATCAAACACTGATTGGCTAATTTTTCTCAAGTATGTCGTCATTAAGCCACGTGAAAAGCAAATCTGCTGTGTAATGGAGGGAACGAAAAATAGGACGTGATGTAATTTGTTTTTGCATGAATGAGCAATTTCTGTGACGAAATAATTAGAAAATGGCCCTAATTACTTCACGGAACTCTTTGTTGACCACAAAGATCACACTGCACATCCTTTCTTTGCTTTACTCAGACATCATAGTTTCTTAACAAAGGTGGCAAGTAGGGAGGGGAGACTTAAGTCAACTGAACGACCTCGTTCCCAGGGTCCGCTCTTAAGAGCAAATGGTTCGTCATCATTACCAATGGGGAATTGAAATCACTCTAAGCTCCCTTCTTGCGGCATGAAACGCGTAAAATTGTCCATTACATGTGTTATTTTTGCATACCACGAAATGCTTCCGACTTATCGTTTTACATGCCTATCACTGAACACATTAAGGCTTTCAGCGTCCATAAAGTGTTTATCAATAAGATACGAGCAGACGCCTCATGCCTGCACATGCCTCCCAGTGCAAGTCTCAGTTACAACAAAATCCGCGAAAAATAGAAAAAATATATCTACAAATATTTTCTGACGTTCTTTTGACGGTTTGAGCTGTTGTCGAAATGCTTCATTTAATTTTGTAACCTGCTCGTGATTGTTACATTACTTCGAATTGCGTTACTTGGCCCATTTTACCTGTCAAGATAGGCATCATAGTTTTTTTATTTTTTGTCGTCTTTTGACAGATTTTGCATTCTACGTGCTTGCAAGTTTAGGCTCGACCTCAAGTTTGCAAAAATAGCTACTGACATTGCATTTGGAGCTACATAGTTCCATCAATAATATCAGAAAGAGAAAATTTATTTGATATCTTGTTATGAACAGTTTTCCTTTAACTTTAGTATCAGCTTGAGGCAGTCGGAAAAGCTCTAAACGAGTGAACACAAACACAAGCATTATGCTTGTTAACAGAGACAAGTCTTTTATTTTTTTAACCTACAAAGTCCCACTTCATCATGTAAAAGCTCCATACAGATGATCTTTATCTTTTGCCTATTTTGTGGTTTTTCCAAACATCATTCAGGCTATTTGTCACTAATAACTGGAGCAGAAAAGGTATGTGCGACGATGGTGTTGCTTGCGGAAGAGACTAGTTGCCGTTAAAGCGAAAGATACATTGTAAAAATAATAACCATAGCACCGAAAAATACGACATCAGCTTAGTTTGACAAAAATATCGCTTGTGTAGCACGGTGTGGCAGTAGCGTGTAGTATGGTGCGACAGTTTGATACTTCTAATAAAATGTATAATCGTTGATTAAGGCCGAAATCGATTCTAACAAGGAAACATCTTGCTTACGTTCAAGGAATAGGGAAGAATGATTACCAAACAAAACTTTAAAAAGAATAATGAATAATTCGAAAAAAACCCCGAAGAATAATGAATAATCGAGGTCTCATTGTTCAGCTTCCACTCCCGATAGTTCGCCTCCGTTTTCTTTTACTTTTTGTTATTGTTTTTGCGGCTGACGTGGCAATTCCTGGCTTAGAGAGGAAATCTCCGCCAACTCCTTACATAATTTTCATCCTGCGAGATCTGAATAAACGCGCTTTCTCGCTCTTTTGTTTTAAACAGTGTTTCACCTTTTGCGCATGCTTCGTACTTTCATCAGTAGATGCTTTGAAGTACTTATCGAGACTAGGGAGGTAAACGTCATCGCGATAGAAATGGAACGCCTTCAGTTAAGGGAAGAAAGTATCAGTGAACAGGATAGACAGATCGGCGGCCAGAAGAACGTGAACTGCCTTAGGAAGAGGGAGGAACTGAACAACTCTTTTTATTTACATATCAGAGTATTCTGAAATAGAAAAAGGTTACGATTGGCACAAATCTGACCTCTATGATGACTAAATAGTCACATTTGAACACGCAATGCCTACCTTTCGGGAAATAATTTATTGCGTGTCGTTCCCGCCAATAAATTCGTGAATACGACAAAGCACAGGGCTAAAAGGAATTCGTGTATTCTTCCGATGTTTTCCGGTTGACCTCTAACACTCCAATCCGCTTAAAAACAAACATCGTCCCATAAGGACTGCATATTTCAACATAAGGGGTCGTCATTTCGCAATGACGTGGTCAGGAAGAATAGCTTGCTATTGGAAAGTCGAGTGTTTTTTTGCTTTTGTTCAGTTTATTCTGTTTCCTCTACAAAACCAAGAATAAAGTAAATTGCATTTGATAAGGGACAAGATGGCTCCGAAAGTTCGTAGTTATATTTCTTTAATGTTTAATTATAAGAGCATGACGAAATGTTTTCTTATCGACTACAATTACGCATGAGGCACTGAACTTTGATTACGCCACAATTTTAACTCCCGTTCGCTATCCTGATAATTATATAGGCAGGCTATCCGTTTTATTTGTGATATATTATATGCGCTTATCTTTCACTTGAAGAGCGACTTTCGTCTGAAATAGAAAGCCGGCTCAGGAAACTTGGCGACTGATCCCTTTTTTTACACCCTCGGTGGTGCTGAGGGGGGAGCGGAGCAGGGGGGAGCGGAGTTGGGGGAAGGTGGGGGGGGGGGGGGGGGGGAGAGCCGGTTCCTTTCAAGATCATTTTTGCCTGTATTTTGCTACTCGAGCTTTCCAAAGGAAACGCTATCGTTTTCTTCATAATGCATCAGTTGTATCTTTAAACTCACAAAAAGATAAAAATATATGAAATCCCTCCTGCCTATAATAAAAGAGACATGTATCCTATTCGGTTCACTAAAAGCATAGATGGAACGGCTTCACTTGTTATGCCATTAGAAAAATACAAGAGAAATATAGTACTCCAAGGCAATACAGAATACTGTTAGCTACATGTTCATGTAAAGAAGTCGACAGGAAGGTAAGAAAAAAAAAGATTAATTATAGAAAAAATACTATTAATTAACTAATTAATTATTAATAAATATTAATTAATAACTATTTATCATTTATTTAATTATTAAATACTATAAAGCAATGTAGTCAGCAGAGAAAAACATATTCTTGGAGAAAAACCAATATTTCTTTACGCTATGATGGATGTGCAGTAGCAAAGTATTTGATACCACAGAGACTTCGTCAATTATTATCAGTTTTAAATCTGACAGTGCCATTCTCATCGTGTTTTCTTTTGGTCTGACATCGGTGTTATATTGTCACCTGATTCTTTGGGGATTGCATGCCAAGAGAAAAACAGTCACAGGATAAACCAGTAATTGCATAAAAAACTGACAAAGCAAGCACAAAAATCAGTTTATTTCAAACAGAAAGCCTGGGTGAATGCAAGTATGCTTCTACTTAAATTTCACTATAAAAGTGCCAAGTAACAAGAAAAAGTTAACTCTACACCCAAACATCAGCATACATCTTCTCCATACTGTTCTCTATACTTTTCCTTACAGTTCTAAGAAGGACTTCCAAGGAGAATTTGTTTCACAATCTTTGATTCAACAATCTATAGTTGATGATTGGTTTCTTTAATCTTGAGCCCTCATGTTTCATTCAGGGGTGATATTGTTATGAGAAATTAGATGTTGGTCACTATTTGGGGTCAAAGGGCTAAGAGCAGAAGATTGAGAAATGACAGATAAAATTCTGAAACATTGGTCACAAACCGTTTATTATCTAAATTGCAAAACATTGCCAGAAAAACAATCTTGTCAAAAAACTCATCTCACAACAATTCTCTGCAATTTTGTGGCATACAATCAACATTCAACTATCTCTGGATACACTGTTCCCAGACCTAAATTAAACAATCAAAGGTAAATTTCTGAGGGTCACTTGCCAAGAGGATTCACCTAATCTGCGAGCAAGCCTCAATATCAGTGCTGCAGGACATGCGTTTCCCTGTCCGCAGGAAGATTTGAGACCAGCTGGGAAGAGGTTTGCCAGGAGTCTTGGACTCATCAGTGCTACACCCCATCCAGACCTCTTGCCGCATTGAGTTGCTCAAGGCTTCATACCTAGTTTCCCGTAGGTGATGAAACACTCATGCCAAAGCGCTTCTAATAAAGGTCAACTCACAAGCTAGGATTCACCAAAATGTTAGACACACCAAGCCATCATTTAAAACTGAAGAAGTCAAAACCTCCCATGGAACACTTCTTTAAAATCATTAACTCTACTTTGGTTGGTAGTCGAAATGCCTCCAACCACTGAAACTAAAAAAAAAAAAATTGCACCGCACAGAAGTTGTGTGCATTTAATAAAAACTTATTTCAGTAACAATTAAAAACCAAGAAATCAGTCCAAGTCCACATAAGTAAAGTTATACATTGATTAAAAAAAAAAATTAATCTTTCTTCTCTCCCCCAAGGGTGATCTTGTCAAACTGGTACTCGCCAAGAGCATATTGTTTAGCTGCCTCCATACGGCTAAGGGTGTTAATGTAGTCGGAGAGCTGCTTGATGCTGTCCACTTGTTCACCAAGGTAATTAGACTCTAAGAAGTCTTGCAACTGTTAAGCAATGAAATAAAAAGGTTATTCAGGGCAGAGAGAGTAGGAAGAGGAGGAAAATTAAACCAGCTCTTTTGAATGCCCAGATGTGCTGAACACATAAGTGCAAATTTTTAATTAAGAGTTGAAAGTAATTTGTGATTGTATTGTTTTCGCTTCACCTCGCTCTGTGTTTGGTGCAGAAAATTTGCACCACTCTCTCAACCAATCAGATGCTAAACTGATAAAAAAAAATTATTACTTGGTCACCCGCGCTTTCCCGTGCTTTAGTTATTTTTTCTTCAAGTTCTCGTTGCTTTGCTCTTGAAGGTATTTCCCTTTCTTCTGATTGACCATTGTGATTGCTTGCGACACTCAATTGAAAAGCACTCTTATTTAATGAATGCTGCCTACCTGTGGATCTTCGTTCCTCGAAGCTGTATTGTGCAGATCAAGCAATGCCTGGTACACGTCTTTTTCTAAGACCAGGGCATGTTTCATGGCCTCCAGACCGTTTCCCCATGTCGTTTCACAAGGTTTCTGCCAAGAAAGTGCGCAGAACAAGAAAAACATTAAACTGCACTGTCATGTTCCTGACTGTGACTAAATGCTAATTAATAGCAGCCATTATGGCTCCATGTGGATGCTCTCATTTTAGATCAATGAACTGCCCACCTACCCCTCCCCAAACCCAACAACAGCCAAATTATAACAAGCTAGGGTTAATGTTGGGTTAGATGAGGGGTAGGTCCAGGTCTTTTAACTTACCATTATACCATGAAGCAAGACGCGGCCTCCACGTTTGTTTTGGTATTCCATCAACTGAAACCAAAGCAAGAAACAATAAAGCGAGGGCCATTACTGGAAAACTAAGCATTGAAATCCTTTATTTACTTTTACTAAAATCAGTATCCTATAAATTTAACCCTTAACCTTCTCACTCCCAAGATTTCATGATTAATTCTCCTCACTGTCAGGCATACCCCTCTCATGATGTTAGTTAAGTTAATTTAGTCTTAGATCAAACCAACAATCCCCTAACTAATATTTTTCTTTATTCTCATCACTAGTCTGCTTAATATTATATTGAAACTATTAGGAGAAATTCTGTCTTGATCACTAATGAGAGTGAAAGGGTTAAAACTCTGGGAGTGACCAGCACCAAATTTCTCCTCTCAGAAACACAGCTGGATCATTCGTAAAGATCATGAGAATACAGGATATGATCACCAATTTAAGAAGTTCTTGATTGCTACTTAAATTCTCCTGGTCAGTACCTTTGGAAAATTGAGAATACACATACTGATGCTAAGGTGTAAATGGTTTAATTAAGAGTTGAAACAGGAATACCTTCATGGCATGTTCGCGTTCTTCTTCTGAGGCCTCCTTAAAGAATTTGTGAAACCCAGGCAGATTGATATCATCACGGTTAAAGTGCATGGCCTGGTTACGAAATAAGATGCAAAAATAAGAACCTAATTTTCAATTAAAAAAAGTAAGTTGTAAGGTCTGTCTTAAAAGCTCACCATTGATAAATACGTGTAACTGGCAAATAGCTCCCTGTTTATTTGTTTGTTTATTTCCTGTTCAGTGGTTGCAGCAAATGGAGACATAAATGGTAAGGGTGGATCAACAACTGTCGCTCCTGTTGAGGAAGAAAGCAAACACATGAAGTACCTTCCATTGCAAAGGAAATGAAATTTGACAACATTGTGTGGTTGTGACGTCAGCCACAGAAGAACTCGTTCGTTTTAAGTTCATTTTTGCTTGTATGATGTTGAATTTCAAACACCAACAAAGTGCTAGGTAACAAGAAAAAAGCAAAGGTATTTTTCATTCCTTGCCTAAGTAAACTATGCCAGATTTCTGCCAACTTAAGGTGAAAATTCTCATGTTACATGTATCCAATTGGAAACGCAGCAAGCTCAAGGCGAAGGAGAGGAGAACGCAAGGAGAGAAATACGCACGAGGAGAGAAATACTCAAAAAGGAAAGTGACTTTAAATACTTTCTGTTGTGCAGGTCATGTTGCAGGCATAAATCCACTTACCCTTGTAGTCTTTGTGAACAACCGGTATCTCACCCCAGGAACCTTTCTTGAAAAGAAAGAGAAAAAAAAATCATTTAGACATAATAGTTAATTTATTGCAAATATTTTCGAATGTCCCTCTTTCATCGTTTTATTCATTTAAACTAAGATCTCATAATTTCGAAAAGTAACCAATTGAAAACATTTCCTTCCTCAGGACACCTCGTCTCCTTCAAAACGTGTGTTTTCAGTCTCTTGCGCAAAGTGAGAAAATGTTGTGTGACAGTTCAAACAAATGAGTGGATAGCAAGTGCTTAGTTTTTAACTTTTATTAACAGAGATTCTTGGGAATGTCATGCAACAGTCAGAGCTTTGCAGAACCTCATGAAAAATGTCAAAAAAACAGCGTCAAAGGAGACAGAGATGGCTGGGTGAGGACCAAACAAAAGCAATGAAAAAGCAAATCTGCTTAGAGCATTTACCGCCATGTGTGTCTGAAGTTTAGTACTGCATTTCACATTTTGTCCACAAGTCATATCAAATCCAAACACGAGAGTGATCAAAAACGCTAGGGAATTCTGCATAGAGAAGACAAATTTGAATTATTAAAAATGAAACAAAATATAATTAGCTTGATGCATGTGATTGTGTTACACAAAATGGTGCAAAATCTGTGCTATATACCTGTGGAGGGGGTGGGGGAAGAATTTGAGTATGTTTGAGCTGGGTATGTGCCCCTGGCCTTTTAGAACCCTTCATCACTATAATCTTTTCGGTGGCCAATTGGAGGCCCAATTTGTATTCGCTTTTGAATGAATGTGGTCCCAATGGTGAGAACATTCCAATTGTGAATCTTCCCATTTTAAAAATCCCTTCTTACCACAATTTTCTAACCTCCTAAATCCCACAAATGTGCAACCCCAGTCTAGTAATTCTATTGAAATATCAACCATATCAGAGTCAATCCAGTTGTGAAAATATGACCTCAGTAATTCAGCAGACAGCTTCATAAGCCTGAATAAGCCTATTACACTGGTTTGAAGTAACTTCTTATTTAACCCTATTTAATTTTCCTTAAAGTTTAATATACAGAGTCAATTTTATCGCTCTTCAACAATTCTGGGTGGATTTGAAAATGAGAAAGGTTCTTTGTTAAAATGAACTTCAACCTCGCATGCATGCCAACCACATAAAACCACGCAATACACCCTGCTGAGCAAGATCCGGTGATGATTGAATCAACATTCCTGCATCTTTCTTGTCTATATACTGTCAATATTGGGTTTAGAATTTCTCTTAGCAAATGGCACTATTACATCATAACAAGCAATTCCCCGGTCTTTCTTATCTAGATGCTGTTTTAAGTATTTATGGGCTTAAAGTTTCTTGTTACGTAATCTGTGGGTAGCTATCAATCCGTTTTCTTCGTTGTGTCAAAGTTCTTGCTGAGGAACAAAAAAAAAAAAAAAAAGAGAAAAAAAGAAAAAGAAAAAAAAGAGAAGACGGAGTCGAAAGTTTATGACCTAGATCTCTAAGGTTGAACATTTTCGAAGCCATGTCACGGAATTTAAGGCCATAAACCCCGTGAAGCCCGATTTTTTTCTCCCAATACCCGAGGCAAGTCAACTGGGAAATTTAATTGAGGTGCAAGTATTGTACATTCGCGTAAGTGTTCTAGGGACCCCAGAAAAACCTTTGCGTGGATGTGATAAATTCTCTACCGGCAAGACCACCTCGAAGGATGTGAAAACATTCACCGGAGCAGCCTTATGTCTTAGGAACCGTCGACTTACGGAACTAGAGTCTCGCTGAATTTTGATGGTTGGCGCGCATTTGAAAAACTGCAGCGTCACGCAGGAAAACGCGTTCGAGTTTGGCTGACGAATAGTGACTTTCAGTGCTATTTTTTATGGGCAAAATCATCTGGTAAATAAACTCGACTGCCAGAGGCATCAAGGCATAAGCTCGTCGAACAATGGAACCCTGCAGCAAAATCTTACCGGAATCAATTGCTATTACGAAATATATCGGATTCCTCATATTAGATACAAACTCACGTAGTTAACCTTACATTGTGTTGCGAAAAGATTTGGATCAGGAATTCTGACAGAGAAGTTATATTAATATCAGTATGTGACAAACACGACTGAATTTGCATACGCTTCAATTAATGACCACCCGTTCGCATTCTGCATTGAAAACTTCAAATCCGCCACGCTTACTTTAGAGTGCCTCCAGTCTCGTAACTAACTGTAGATTACACCAGAGATATTTAAATACCCAGCAAGCTTCCGTACGTAAGAAAGCGCAATATGGAATGATGTTTACATATGCAAAATTCGAAATATGGAAAACAAATGACATAGATGAGCCTTCTGAAAGATACCTGCATTTCAATTGGTATGCATAACGAGTGCGTTTCACGTTATTTTAATGCATTTCTGAAAAGTTTTCTCAAAGAAACTGTTGCTGACGACAAGATGTGCTTACCGCAAGAAAGTGAAACAGTTTTTTTAGGTAACAGAACGAATTCCCTTATGCAATGAAAGCAAAATTGGGCGCTAATAGAGAAATTGCGTCGTTCAACTACCAGCTGTAATTCGATCAGATTTGTTGGTACCCATGAAAAATCTGGTTATTAACGGCTTTATCAGAACACTCACCATATTTGAAGTTGCTTGGCCTAGAAATCACTGTATCTGAGACCAAAATAAGCACCAAACACTCTTGGGTTCTTAAACCGACCTCGCGTGCACTAACAAAATTACATCATAGAAGTTACTGGTGAAATTATATGATCGAGGTCACATGACAGTTACTAAGGAGTGGCATTGAAAATATCAGCCAATCTGATGTTAAGATTACTTCTCCCAGGGGACGTAGCTGGCTGGCTGCCGGTTTAACATATAGATCGGACTGGACTCTGAAACATTAACACGTGGAAACACCTTATAATATACGTTTCAATGTATGAAAAATGAGATAAACGCCTCACACCAGCCATCACGAAATATATGCCATCAGGCGAGCTAGAAACATATTCCTTGGTTTGTTACGCGATGGACGACATAAATTGCCTGTGAAAAACCGGAAATGTACACCTTTACGTTGTACCGCGGTCAAAAAAATGTTATTGAGTGGAGAACAGCTTCAATTAGCACGAAAATGTGATTGGACTTCTTTGCGCGCGGATATCATCTGTTTCGTGAGGCAGCCAGTTTTCTTTAAGTTTCGCTCTCGGAAATTAAATGCTCAGACAAATGTACGAGCATATAATTTACAAGCACGAAAATGTGATTGGATTTCTTTGCGTGCGGACATTATCTGTTTCGTGAGCTGAACAGTTTTCCTAATGTTTTGCTCTCGGAAAATTGCTTATTTCGAGGAACAGATAATCTTCATGGACAAATTTTCAAGCCTCATAAAGGTTATTGTGTTTATCATTCCTCAAATATTATTACGTGAAAACATTCTATTGGGTCAGAATTTGACCCAGTTCAGTGACGTTCTTTGATTCGATTGCCTGAACAAAAAGTTGTTCTCTTCTTCCACAAGTAATACTCAGAAGCAATACGCTCTACCATCTACGCTCTACCACACGGGGAATATCCGGTGATAATTCCCATTTATTGCGAGAGTATACTACATCATGGGACGTGTTAAAAGCAGTTGCTCGCGAGCAAAAAATATTTGATGGATGAATAGGTACCTAGTGAGCATAGCAGCTAACAATGAACCATTAAATCTGAAATCACGTTCTATTTGAAAAAAACGACTTTCTTCCTTTTTCTGTTTAAAAGAAGAATTACGTCGTTCGACTTAACTTAAATCTATCAGACACGCACCAATAAAATACCATAAACGATAAAAAATATTTGCGCTTCATTGCATTGCTTTGCATAAAGAACTGTTATGATATCGAACACCACGCACAGGTCATCGTTATCAACGTTCAATAAACTCTGCCCTCTCAGTTCTATTGTTACAGTTTTACGTGGAAGACATGAAATCAACGGTTGATAACACGTACGGAAACATACGATGTAAGTAACTATATATTGGACCTGGCAATCAGCATTACGTGTCTATGTATCTATAACCTCCATGCATGCAAGTGCGAAGTGTGATTTTGTTCAGTTCGATTCTTGTCTGAATACATGTACTTATCACATCACGGGTACTGTGCTGAATATTGCGGTGAGCGCGGGGTTGTTGTCAACTTTGTGCTATCAGTGCAGTGTTTTTCGATTTTTTTTTTGGCGGTGTTGCGGCTTTGCCCCCCTCCCCCTCTAAAATTCCCCTTTCTATTTGTACGTGATGCTTGTGTAATCCCTCCGTGCAACCCCAGCTTAGCGGCGCACGATTTTACCGCCAACAAGAAGAGCACTCGATCCAAAGAAACAAAGAAATTTAGTGCAGACTTACCATAATTTTCAGTATTGTCCAGAGAATCTCTTAGATTTGGGGTTTATAAAAGACCGACCGTGATTGCTCTGAAGTGTCGAAAACTGCAGCGTCATTCTTAAGCTTCTGCAGCGGAAACCATGGATTTGGTTTCGCTCTTTCTGACCAATGGCGTGGGATTTCCGGTATATGAAAAGCGGATGAGATCAATTAGTTTCTTTTGAAAATGACTATTCGCCACATGATAAAAAAATACTAGTCAAAGCTATATATACAATAATGTCCGTTGTAACAGGCCACGGGCTCCTTCCCAACTGACGAAGACAAGACATTCTTTAGGATTCGTGGCGCTTAGAGAACCTTCTCGCGAAGTCGATTTCTAATCCCGTCACGCAACACGCTCGCTCTCATTTCGTGATGTGTTCAAACTAGGGCTCTGGGTGGAATCAAGCGTTTCTTACAGTCGCGAGAGAAAGTATGACCCGCATTCTTTTCGCCGTTGTTTCTTATTCAAAGGCTAAGGGAAAATTTGGAATTATGGAGTGTGTGGTGTGTTCAAAGATGATAAGAAATTTACTTGAATATGCAAGAGTAATATAAATTGATATTTATTATCAAAATCCCTAATTCTTCTAAATATATAATGGTAATAGGACCGAGTGGAGTCCAATTCTGTCTGTAATCATACGAGTGATCGACAAAATCGGACGATTTGTCAATCACTCGTATGATTAAAGACAGAATTGGACGACATGAAATCCTGTTACCATTAATCATAGCCACAACAATTTCCGAAAAATAAAATACATTTAGGATAAACATCTCTATTAGGGACAATGTCTAAAGCAAAAAAATTTGGAAATATCCCAGTTTTGCTTTTCAGGGTGAGTGGTTGTTGCTATGGTTATTGCGATCAATTCTGTGATTGGTGGATTTAGCGTAGTGAACTTAGTGTGATTGGCTGTCCGATTACAGCCAACTGTCCGATTACAACTGTACAGAGTGATTAGTGATGTATAAAGCATCTGACGCACCAATTACATTTGAGGAAATTGCAATGGTTATGATTAATTCAGAAATTGAGCAGTTTTGACCAGAAACATTTTGACAACCATTTTGACGCTTAAGGATATTGCAATGTGTCAAGACTCATGGAGCAATTTACGATTGAATGTCGAGAGGAATCCGGAGTTCTTTACTCTGTGATTGGTCTCCCTTTTAACCAATCAGATGCGGCCAATCCTGCCTCGTGTTTCCCTGCACTCGAACCGCTGACCTATATTTCTTTGAATTTTGATTGACACTTTTCCTCCTTTTTTACTGGCCGTTGTGATCACCTCGGTTTTGATTTCATTATTTTTTTTTCTAACTCTCGAAACGAAAAGCGCTTCATTGTCAGATATCATATTCCAGCATTTGAGCGCTTTTGGATTGTGTGTCGTAAATCCGAAACCTAAGTAATCACAGTGGCAGAAGGTAGGAAAATACCTTTAAGAGCCAAAGTCAAAGTAAATTTAGCAAACTGTCTAAAGCGCGGGAAAACGCGAGTGACTAAGTTTGCATCTGATTGGCTGACGGATTGGCACGAATTTTCTAGAACCAATCACAATGCGGAGTAAAGCAACTCACTTGCAAACTGCTCAAATTTTTTCTTCAAAGTTTGCTTGCACAAGATTTAGTTAAATCCGAAGAAGCTGTGAAAATGAGGATAACTATCAATACTGCCTATGCTTTGAACAATTCATGCTGTATATATTCGCACTATGTATGAACTAACTATCAGCCTTGTCGTCTGCAAGATCTGGACTAGAGGACTCCTGTATCGCTTTTAGTTTGTCCACCATTTTATCAATCTCCTCATCGCTGTCTTCGTCCAAGTTCCCCTCGAACTTCACTCCTGCAGGAAGACTGAACGATGTGCGGCTGTCACGGTGCAACGCGAACTCGTCACTAACCGACACTTCCAAGTATGTTTTGGTGGAGCTTCGCTTTTTTAAACTTTCTCTGGTCCTGTGACCACGGTAGTAGCTCTGGATCGTGACGGCAGCTTCAGATCTGGCGCGCCGAATCTTTCGTGCTCTATATCCTTTGTAATGAGCTTGAATGGTTATTGCAGCGGTATTTTTGTTCTTCAGCTGCTGTCGAGTGTAGTAGCCGCGATAGTTTGATTGGATCGTGGTAGCAGCGTCATCCCTCGCCATTTTTGCATCTTTGACGGCATTAACACTCTTCTCCATTTGGTTTCTCTCGTTTTCCTCAATGCTTTCAGCAGCCATAATTTTGCCTTCGTTTTCACCAATGTTCATGTTCCGTTCACTTCGGATTGCTTCTCTGGCTCGGTGCCCTCGAAAAGCTGACTGTATTTTCAGAGCCGCAGCTTCTTCTTCTCCACGCCATGGAACAGGGCTATCTTTGCGATTTGGTCTCGAAATGCCGCCTCCTTCCAAATCTTTCCTAACAGTGTAGCCACGATATCCAGCTTGAATCTTTGTCGCTGCCTGGTTTCGCGCCTTTAATGTCTGGCGAGCATTGTAACCACGGTAACCAGCTTGTATGCGAGAGGCAGCCTCGTGTTCTTTCCCGCCAAAATTTTCTGCAGCGGCTGCTGATGTTTCTTCTTCTTGGTGATGTCCCTCATTCCCAGTCTCCGTCAAGGCTTTTGCTTCTTGTCTCACCTTATGCCCCCGGAATGTTGACTGTATTTTCGTGGCTGCTTTATCAAGTTCTCTTTTACTGGCCCCAGAAGGTTCATACCTGTAATAGCCGTCTATCTGTGATCCCAATAGACAGTCATCGTACCCTTTCTCTGTGTGACAAACGGGAAAAAAAAACATACACCACAATTATGCACACGTTCGTAATGTATGTCCAGAAGAATCATGTTGCTATGGTAAAATTGCATTGATAGTAATCGCACAATTTCTTTGCGTTACATTTTACAGGTCAACAGAGGTCCGCAAAGGGTGCAGAGAAGACCATTGTGAATTATTGCGCATCTTGGAGGTCAAAGAAACGGGTAGAGAAGAACTCTAAGGAATAACTGCTGTGCTCCAGTACTACAAAGTACACCGTAAAGAAATCAAGATTTTCTTGAATGCGTTGTCAAAACTTTGCGTAGATTGATTATCATATTTTTTTTATGAAATTACCAGGTCATGACACTAAAATATTTTTTATTTCTGAAAGAAAAGCAAGACAGTTGCAAAACCACATAAATCGAAGAATATTAAATGTATGAGCCGAAATGAGTTTGAACAATACAACAAAATTTATCTTTTTTATCCATTGTTTAGGGCAGCTTTCACTAAATCTGGTGATTGGAGGACTGCGCAAATGGAAGGAAAATTAAAGTAATAATAATAATAATAATAAATATATAAACAAAGAAAAACCAAATCAAGGAAAAAGACAAAAAATAAAAAGAAGAGAAACACAAATGCGATAATGGAAACTATCAAGGAAATTGTAAAGCAATTGTTTCGGCTTCCTTGAGCAATTTTCATTTCCTGTCCTGGCTAATATGCCTTCAGCTTTTCAGGCATTGTAACTTTAAAAGTTATTTCCTTTATTTGCTAAATTGCCTTTTGGCGCTGCACAACAAAAGGCCTTTCAATGAGACATACGCATCTGCTTCAAGCGGTATGGCATAAAGAAGGAATTGGCTTTATGCTACAATGATAATTTCTTCGATTACCTTCTTAGTTTTAAACTTGTTTTTCTGATAGAGAGGGTCAGTGTCAGAGGCTAGTGGGAATATCGTATGTTATTTTCTCTTTATGAGTCAGTTCGTGAACAGCAATTAAAATATTTAAAGAAAAAAAAAATCGAGTATGAATAAACATTTTATCGTCGCTAATTAGAATTGATCACCGATTTGAATTCGAGTCTAGGTTTGATTTCACATTACCCAAAGTTAGGGATTTTTTTTCCGTCAACGGATTAAGTTTAACAAAACTTTTAATTTTTTTCCTAAGATTCTTGAGAAAATCATATTGTGTCTAGAGATAGTGCAGGTGTTATTAAGTACATAGTAGCTGGGTTTTTTTCATTAGCATTCTGCTCTCTCACATTGAAAAGGCGCCTCCAGATAATATCTTATCACGATTAATAAAAGTTTTCGGAGCCAGGCGGGCCAGCTAAGAATATAAAAAATAAGATAATGATGGCAGTAAAATAATGAGAATATTTTAATAATTTTACGCATAAGGTCTAAGCTAGGCAATTTATTCATCGAGGGGAAAAAAATAGAAAACTATAATTTTTTTCCAGATAATTCACTTGGCTTGAATTAAAGGAAAATTAATTGTTTTAGCAAAGCGGTAGATCTGTAGGTTGTAATTTCCAATGCGTTTTTTCAGCAGTTTTTAGCATTGATCATCAAAAATAACAATTTGATTTTAAATTCTCTGAGAGAAATTATGTTTTGCGTGACTATCAAGAAAAAGAGCGAAGTTAATTGCACAGAATTTTAGATAATATAAAAAATAGTATGGTTTTCCTATATTTACATGTATTCATTCCAAGAAGAAAAAGCTGCATTTGTGGAGGATTACACCGAATATACCATTTCTAAACTTCATTCTTTGTAGTAAAATTTATAGCCCCCTCCATCTTTGGTAGCTCCTGATTTGTACACAATTTCGGCCTGAGGTCTATCGTTGACTCAGCGGGGTGTTTTGAAAATGCTCTAGTAAACGTTTCATAGCTTTTTGAAAATAATTAACACTACCAAACGCTGCTTGAATTGCGCACAAGGTGGTAAAGATTTCGCTTCATCATTTTACGATGATTTGAAGCACGCTGTCGATACAGTGTTGACTCGCGCGTTTAAAGGGCATTTGAGAATGTTTGAGTAACAGTGCCGGTGTTGAACAGATCACACTTGCCAAGCAGTTTTCACATCTGATTCCATTTTAACTAGCAAAGTAGCAACTTGAACGTAAGTATCAGTATCGATATGGCAAATAAGGGAAACAACATGCATCTTAGGAGAAATTTAGAGATAGTATTTTAAGCAAAAGTACCTTGGCGTTCTTTCAACTTTTTATGGAAATAATCCGCAGCAAATTTATAAATGTTCTCCGGACGGCAACGCAAAATTTCCACAGTCAGGCCCTCGAGCAGGTTTCTGAAGCCACTTGGGACTGCCATTCGCTTGCGAAAGTCCTCAGAGTCTGCGTTTTCTTGTGTTTCCATGTCCATTTTGAGAAGAACGAATTGAGATGTTGACTGTCTTCTTCGTTGGTGATCCAAGCTTTGATAAACAACGATGCGACCCCGTAATTAATGAACACATCCGCCGTCGCTTTGGTGACAAAGGCATTTATATTCTGTTTCAGCGTTTACAATTATGTTGCTATTGAAAGAAGCTCAGTGTGAAATCCTCGGGTGACGAGTGGTTAGAGTAAATGTCACTTTTAATTGTGATGTGCTTTTTGTCTTTGGCTAAAGCTCTCGCTAAATTATCCAACATCCATCCTTAAGACGGCAGCCTTTCGAGCTTCTCATTTAAATTATAATTTATTTGATGGGCCTGTCTTTGTAAACGACTTTTCCAAAACAATAACATTCACTTAGTGCTTTGATGTATCGATTTCCTTGGTTGATCTGTCACGCCAACTTCTCTCTTGATGCGTGACGGTTCTCGTACCCAGACCTTCTTTTCTCTCCTCAAAAAAAAAGATGCCCTGACTATAGCTGACAATCCGTCCCGTCCCTTTTGCTCCAACCGGAGACTTCTTTTGCAAAATCGAATTTGTAGTTGAGAAGGCTGAAAAAATGGAAAAAGAAAAAAAAAAAAAATCAAGCCTCGAGAGATTTCAAACCTGTGCCTTGGGAGTGGGGTGATTATGTTACGTTCTCTGCCTCCCTCCCTGTCCACTTCGAAACTCACAGATACGGTAAAAAATGCAAGTAACCAGTTAAATTTAATTTACAATACAAAAACAATTTCTGTTGCTGTAAACAGCACTTTTGTTTGACCAGTCAGAGAGCAAATGACGTAAACTGGATTTAAAAACATCAACAGCCGATCAAGAACTACTTCAGCTCAAGGCTTTCTCTACCTGAATGCTAACGGCAGCGTATACGAAGCTGACCACAAAGAGAAGCCTCCACCTTTCGTGGTGCTGACGAAACAAAAAAAAAAAGAGAGAAGTCTAGTCTCACTGGTACGTTAAAAAGATTGCTCGCTTTCTTTTTTAGTTAAAGAAATTTTTGCACAGGGAGAATGACATTCCCCTCATAATATAATACATAATATAAATAATATATTTCTATTTATATCCTCTGTCGCCTTACAGCTCTCATCAATTACTGGTTTTCTTTTTTTTTCAGGTTCCAATCGTTGAAATATAGGCATCAACTTTGCCAGACTGAAATAAAGAGAAAAACATCAGCACCATTGTTTTTGTTTAAATCACAAAAAGCTTGGCAGTTAAACAGAAAAACAGCAGGTACCTGTGAAATGACTGAGGACAAGAAAGAAACGCAGTCTTCAAGTCCTGGTAACGCAAAATGTTTTCCTCCAATGCGTTACATGGTAGCCTCGATGACCTTTCTGGGTTTTGCGAACATCTATGCTATGCGAGTAAATCTTAGCATGGCTATTGCTGTCATGGTCGCAAATCAGACGGTTATACACCATGGTATGGAAGCTCAGGTACTGTACATTTTTTGAAAACTCACCATATCAAAGCGAGAGGTTACTGAAACTTCAGGTTATTTAATTCTTTATTCTGAAGAGAACACGTTTCATTTGTTAATCACAAAGATGTTTCCCTCGTTTCTCTAACAACCATAGGAGCCTGCAGAGTTTTCATGGACCACAAAAGTTCAAGGTATTTCTGTCCCATGGTTCCATCGTTCCATCGTTCCATCGTTCCATCGTTCCATCGTTCCATCGTTCCATCGTTCCATCGTTCCATCGTTCCATCGTTCCATCGTTCCATCGTTCCATCGTTCCATCGTTCCATCGTTCCATCGTTCCATCGTTCCATCGTTCCATCGTTCCATCGTTCCATCGTTCCATCGTTCCATCGTTCCATCGTTCCATCGTTCCATCGTTCCATCGTTCCATCGTTCCATCGTTCCATCGTTCCATCGTTCCATCGTTCCATCGTTCCATCGTTCCATCGTTCCATCGTTCCATCGTTCCATCGTTCCATCGTTCCATCGTTCCATCGTTCCATCGTTCCATCGTTCCATCGTTCCATCGTTCCATCGTTCCATCGTTCCATCGTTCCATCGTTCCATCGTTCCATCGTTCCATCGTTCCATCGTTCCATCGTTCCATCGTTCCATCGTTCCATCGTTCCATCGTTCCATCGTTCCATCGTTCCATCGTTCCATCGTTCCATCGTTCCATCGTTCCATCGTTCCTTTCTATCTTATTACTGGACTATTGAATCAAAATGATAATCAATCCCTTCCAATCATTTCCAGGGGTAATTCTCAGTGCTTTTTACTACGGCTACTTGGTAACCCAGCTTCCAGGTGGTGTTTTAGCACGAAAGTTTGGCGGCGCCACGATCCTCGGATTGAGTGTTGGAACCAGTGGGGCTTTGACAATGTTAACACCTCTTGCTGCGCGTGTGCATGTGGGGGTGCTAATTGCCTTACGGGTCGCAATAGGGATGGCAGAGGTAAAATTGAAATTTAATCCGTTTCTTAGTCTATGCATTTGCATATTATTTTACCTATTTAAGTTTCAAGTTGATCCCATTGGTACTAAAAGAGTGTTACACATCCCCCATTCATGGTCTTACACTTTTGTTTTTCGTATATTCCCAGGGATTTGTGTATCCGGCTGGACATGCGCTATGGAGCCAGTGGGCTCCTCCATTAGAGAGGAGTACATTAGCCACATTCAACCCCGCTGGTATCATGATTATGACATTTCTGCCCTTTGATATGGCATAATTATCATAATTTAACATATTTAATCATCATAATTAAATACATCGGCATATGATATGGTCCCTGTTTCAAATTAAAAGCTGGTCCAGTGCCCTCCCTCTCCTCCATTACTTTAATACCCTTCCGAGTTAGGTTTACCGAGCCCATTCCAAGTTTGTTACAGGCTGTCCATCGTATTAATTAGTATTAGTGGCCCATGAATGGGCCCCAGTTAGTATTAATTAAAACATTATTTGATTTATATTACCAAACACACTAAAAATGTCTCACTAGTCTAAATAGCTTTCGATTAATTTCCTGATAAATTAGATATTTCATGCCTGATGGATGAAAAAATTATAGTATATTCTTCTTAAATTCTGTTTTGTCAGGAGCAAGACTGGGTATTATTATATCAATGTATTTATCAGGCTACCTCGCTTACAACATCGGTTGGTCATCCATATTCTACGTCTTTGGTATGTATAAAATCGAATGAATTGAAAACCAGTCTCGTCTCCAATAGTCCATTTTACGGTTGCATGCTTGCTTGCCGAGCCTTTGATTAGGAGTGAGGCTATAGGCGACCTTGTTACGATTCAAACGTTGCTGCTTTTTAAATGTAAATTACTTTGTTATCATGCTAACTAGATACTGGTCGCTATCACAACAAGGTCACCTTCAGCCTCACTCCAAATCAAAGGCTTGGCAACTAAGTATACATCTGTAAAATGGCCTATTCACTTTTCTTTATCAAAAGTGAGAAGCACTCCCAGAAGGAGGTTGATTTAATTCAGCACATTTCCTTTCTTCTTCCCTGTGCATTCGGGAAAGAGTTTGGACGACTCTTAATTAAACTTGGAACTTATTAAAATGTGCTATCCTCCTTTAGGAACCAGTGGTGTGCTGTGGGCTGTCATCTGGTTCGCTTTGGTCAGGAATTCTCCGTCGAAGCAGCCATGTATTTCTGCCAAGGAGTTAGAGTATATAGAGAGTAGTCTGGGAAGTGATTTACATGCTAAGGTAAATGAAACGAGCCCTGGTTTACTGGCTTAGAACCCTCAAAGTGAAGTTTCTGTTTTAGCCCCTACGAGTATTGAAGTTGCTTCTTGGGGTGCACTAAAGTGTCGTACCATTTGAAAGTTAGCCAACCGTGTACAACTAGCATATTTTTTTTCGTAGTTTTAGTATGAAAATCAACAAAAAGGCATCCAACCTTCCCCAAAAAGTTTTAAATCTTAGAAAGACTGATCCGAAAATTTTTATAATAACCGTTTGGAATTTTCTAAGAGAACCGCAGCTCCCATAAAACCGCACCCGTCTAGTATTATTGGTTGATTAGTCTTATAGGTCACGCTTATGCCTCTTTTAACAGGACGTTCCAATTCCTTGGAAGTCAATATTTACTTCTTTACCACTGTGGGCCATTATGTTGGCTCATTTTACGCAGACCTGGGGTCTTTACACCATGATGTCAGAGCTACCTTTGTATTTTAACCAGAGACTTCATCTAGACCTTAAAAAGGTACTGTGAAACTGCTCCACTAATTTGACACTGAAAAACGGTGTCCACATTCTTGCACAGAGGCCCATGCGGTTGAAGCGTATCGCAGTTTTGTACCAGTAGGGGACTGATAAAAGATTGCTCTTCCCCATTGCTACCCCTCTATTGCAAGACTATTGCGTGAGGTTATGTTCGGTCAGAATTAAGCGTCGTTAGTGATAATGGCGAGCACTAATCTCGTTCCCAGATCATACCATGTAGCTGAAATGTAACTGCTCGGCCGTGGAGGGTCTAGGTATGAGACTAGGCTGGGCCCCAAACTTAGACCTCGAGGGGCCAGTGGTTCGTTCCCCGACCCGATGTATCCTCAAGGGGAGGGGGTGCACTTTTTATCGGTTCCACGAGTTTCTCCTTTTTCTAGCAACCAACACTTCAAACTGAATTTCAGTTTCCATACTCTTCCTAGATAATGATAAGAAGTGATTGCTGAAAGATACGAGTTAGGTATCTTGAGTAAATAATTTATTCTAACATCTTAGACATCCGTGGCTTCAGCTTTGCCATACATTCTAGTTCTACTGGTTTTAATATCTGGAGGACGACTTGCTGATTACCTTCGGAGACATTTCTTGAGCACTGGAACAGTAAGAAAGATCTTTAACACGTTAGGTAAAGTACAAGAAAGTTATGGTATTGCTTGAGGGAAATTATTCCCTTGTCTAAAACAACATGAAAAAGCTCAAGTTTCCTGAAGTATTTCACACACACATAAACTTGAGTGGAAGATCAGAGATTTTTGGTGGGTTTAAGAAAATCTGTCTCAGATGCATTTACTTCCACGCCACAGTTTCCTCTTCCCTTCCTCCTCCCTAACCCCCACCTCTGATCAGTGCAAGCGCGCACCTCCGAAAAACATATCTTCTCCGATTTGGAAATCGGAAGGGATTCGGCTTGGCTGAGTTTTGAAGCGTTTTCTTTCGGTTGCTTTCCTCTCTGCCAGTCCCGCGTCTGTCTGTCCCAGGTCTTAAGTTATTGAGACGAAGCGCGGTTGAACGACAATTGAAACGGACGAGTGGCTTGGGTCGAGGTTACGTTATTGGACTCAGGCCTTCCTCGTTTTTTCGCACCGCCGCTACCATCACGCCGTTTCTCATTTCGCGCCGTTTTACCAACAGGCTAGTTCTGCGTGAGGACTGGAATAAGTGACAGGTCTCTATTAGAGACGATAGGGTTTAAAGTTTGGCTGAGGTTTGATCGAACTGTAAAGTGGATATGTCTTTTCATCAAGGGTCATGGCGTGGCGGGCAGAGGAAGGTTGGGTCCAGGGAAGGGGATGAAATAATTAAATCAAACGAATTCCGTATTCAATTTTTTGTCATGGTAATCCTGTTCTTTCCCTATTCCAGGATTTTTACCAATGGTAATTTTTCCAATAGCAGCTGGTTACGTCAAAGAAGCAGACCATACAACTGCTATGGTGATGATGACGCTAGGAATAGGCCTAAATGGTTTTTCTGAGTCAGGATTTTTGGTGAATCCTCTGGACATTGCACCAGCACTGGCCAGTGTACTGTTGGGTGTCACCAACACGGCGGCTACAGTGTCAGGAATTATCAGTCCCACCCTGTCGGGATTCATCGTGCAACATCATGTAAGAACGCGTGAAGTGTCACTACGACGATTTTAATAACGTTAAATCAATGTTTTTCATTTTACATTGATAACTCCTTTCCGTGGATGGGAATTATAGTTACAAATTTTTCACGAGGAAAGCTATTCCTCGCAGCAAGAATAAATATGGATCAAATCTTTGGTTTGTATTAAAATTTCACGCAATTTATGTTCTTTTTGTTTGATTCCAAGTTCGGCTTGCTAGCCAGTCAATCAGTCAGGCAGAGATTTGGTTGGCATGTCATCGATTCAGTCATAGTAAGTCAGGGAGTCAGTTAGTCAAATAAGTTTGTCAGACAATCATGATCAGTCAATAAGCTTGTCTGTCAGTCACTCAGTCAGTTTGGCTGACAAGTGTTTAGTCCCTCGTTCATTCATTCATTTATCCATTTTTTCATTCATTCGTTTAGACAGTCAATCAGCCTGTACTTCAATCAGTCAGCCGGTCAGTCTGTCAATTAGTCAGAAAGTCAGTTTGTCTGTCTGTCTGTGAGACGTCCTTCTTTTCTTTCCTAACAGAGTGCCGAAGAATGGAGAATGATTTTTTACATAAACGGAATAGTCTATCTCATTGGTGGAACATTTTACTTGCTTTTCGCCTCCGGCGAGAAACAACCCTGGGCCAACGGAACCGACTGTGACAAGCTATCTGACAATGAGTTGACAGCGGATGGTAGCAAAGAAGAATAAGCAGATAAAAATTCTTAAAAATGAATCTGATCTGTAGATTAGGTCAAATTAAAGTTTTATTTTTTGTCAATTTATTTGAAAAAGGTATATTTCTATGGCAGTCTTATCAAACGTGCGCGAGAGCTTCCTAATCCATGAAAGAGAGGATGTGCTCAGTGGGGAACTGGTAATGAAATTCGGTCTCCGCCAATCAATCAATCCAATCTCGCACATTTATGCAAGAAACAATAATTAGTTGTCTGCCATTCGCCGTCTTTCCCAATGAAGTTCATCTTCTGTGAAAAGATATACGGCTACGGAAGAAAAATTTTGTTCAAGAGACGAGAATTTCTGATAGATACTGTTTCTTGATTTGACTGCTTATCAGGATCAAATACAGGTACTGTCTGACAGAATTTTGCGGCTTCTTAAATATTACTTTTGATTTGTATTCTTTAACGAACAATTTTGCCTTGGTTGTGGTCCTTTTTGTATTTATTCGTTTTGTCTTGGTAAGATATCACATTTTTTTTTATCTGGATCGATGTAATGGTTCGCTATTCAAGTTGCTTAGTTCGTTCAAAATGGAAAAAAAATTTACGATCTTTGTTCTTCGACTGATCTCCTACGTAACAGCTGATTTCGCTCTATGCCCTACTGTATGTACTTTTTATATTTTCTGTGTCTTCGTGAACAAGAAATATATATTTAAAATGAGTTGAGCTTAGCCAGAGTACTAGCGCTATTAAGACCGAAAGAAAGATTTCCATCTCAATATCTGTGCAGACATTTCGCTTCAAGCGATTATTTTGTTTTTGAAAAAGCGCATACAATCCGGAAAATTAGTTAAAATGTAAATTGTCTGCTCTCTTGCGAAACAAGTGTACTGCGGTAGTTGGTTTTTTCATATAATCTGGATGGTCTTGTAACCTATATTCTTAGAATTTGAATGTTGAGCGAAGTTGTTGCATTGTTTTTCAACAGTTGTAATATTTTTTGGGATTTTCTGAGACGATTTTCAATTACTTTCCCCTTGGCTATGCAAATAATAGTTTGAGAGAAATACATTATGTCTGCTGATGATCAAATCTCGTGTTCAAATTTATATGCCAGTGGATGGTTTTAATTTTATTTCTGTGCCTGGCAACCAGTCTCCAGATCTTACATGTCTGTATGTCTCTGCGTGTATTGCAGATCTAAGAACCTTTTTCCTGGGAATAAAACTTGGGTAATTTGAATATACCTCTGTCTCGTCTTGAGACTTTGAGAGACCAAGCATTGTTAACCCTTGACACCCTTACATTAATATGCATAATCTCCATACTTTTCTCTTTACATTTACTAAGGTGCTAACAAGGGAAATAAGGTTAACAATTGAGAGAGTCTTAAGTTAGTGATCACTTCCTTTATTCTCCTAACCTTGATGTGTGATTCAGGGGTGATATTGTAAAGAGATATTAGATGTTGATCACTCTTAGGGGTCAAAAGGTTAACTGCTGATTTTCAGGAGAAAGATGCCTTTTTGAAAGGTATTATTATACTTAGTCTTGGACTCATCAGAGACATAAATTGCATATACTACTCACTAGTAATTGCTTAATTGTTTAAATGCTCAAGGAACCAAAATTTACTTGCCTAGTGCATCATCAAGTGTCTTTTGTTAATTGGGTTTTCCAAGTACTAAGGACTTTGTTAAGAAAAAAAGAAGTCAAGAAATCAGCTCACAAAGACAAGAACTTTAAACAAAAAAATTAGCAAAAGTCACCCCATTATAGCCAAGGGTCTCTCCTTTGTCATGTATTGATTTAGGTTGTTTTTACTCTCTTTATTACACAGAGGGCAAAATAACTAAATGTTGATTGGCTAAGACAGAGGACATTTTTCCTTAATTTTGGTTATTGTCTTAGGCAATTACCAAAATTTACAAAACATTAAAAACAGGCTTAACTTTGCCTAAAAGACAGCTAAGACAGAGGACATTTTTCCTTAATTTTGGTTATTGTCTTAGGCAATTACCAAAATTTACAAAACATTAAAAACAGGCTTAACTTTGCCTAAAAAATCTTTGTTATAATTTCATCTATGGCAAATGTTTTTAGTAGGGCTGGTTTTATTGCATTGGTGTTGTTGTACAAAAATACAACTTAATTGAGCTGATTTGCCCTTTTTTCAGTTCATTGATGCAAACAGATCTCTGTAATAGCTTCCTAAAAAAGTGAATGACTGCGTGTATTTTGGACCTTTGTAATAAAACTTTTTTTTACCCTTTATGATATAAACAAGTAATTGCTTGTTTCTCTGTGGAATTAAGGATTAGCATCACTTGTGCTTTTAGAACTTGCAGTTGCTTAAGTTGCCATCGTCAAAGCACTATTCAGGACAGGCAATTTCTACAACATCTGAAAACATACATGATATAAATCCTAATATTTTTACTCAGTGCCATGCGGTTACCTATACAAATTTGTCAAAAATCACAGTGCCATTCAAAGGTGTAATAGAGTACATTTTTCTGCCATGTGAGAGACTTCAAAGTGGTTGGTAGGTAAGGGTTGGTGTGAGGTCAGAGATTTTTTCATTCTGTAATCTTAAGAGTTGGTAATAGTCTATAATTACTAACAATTGTATCATTATTACAGCATCAAAAGGTTGTCATGAATTCACCAGCTAACACAAGTGAGGAAAAAATGGTCCTTAAAGACAGAACAACTTATGATGATCAACTCTTCACCTCAGAAGAAAGAGAAAATTCTGGTCAAAATTCAAAGACTAAATGTAACTGTTCTCCATTCTCAAAACGTTATATTATATCTGTACTGGCTCTCCTTGGATTTGCAAATGTCTATGCCTTGCGAGTCAACTTAAGTGTAGCTCTGGTTGCCATGGTGACAAAGACTTCAACTTTAAATGAAGAAGGCAAAACAGTAAAGGTACAGATGAAATTCAATTTTATTACAAACAGAGCTGGTATCCCGAAAATGAACAACATATTTCCCCAAAGTCTTTTGGCCAAAACTTTCAGGCACAAAAGTCCACCAAGATGTCCATCCAGCAAAAGCTGGTTTCTGTCACAGAAAGTGACAAGGAGCATTGTTAGCCCTCTTGAGTGGGATAAGTCTCTAAGTCTATCATAGGCATTCCCCACTCCACCCCCCCTCCCCTGCAGTTTTTCAGGCTTCCCTTATCAAGGGGCATGAATACAATCCTAATTCTATTGCACCACATGCTAAATGAATCTGGTTCATTTATGTGCCTATCATCTTCAATAAACTATTGAAAAATTACACAGCACAGTATTTTTTTCAGGAAAAGCCACTTGTGTAATGCATTATTATTATAATTATTGTGTTTTATTACAACTTTGAGAATAAATCAGTTGAAAACATATTCATTAAATGCATTACAAATTCACAGTTAACATTCAATTTAAAAAAATTTCAGACTGAAGTTAATTACTGCACAAAGTAACTGTTATTTTTATTATTAAACTTTTTTTTCCTTTTCACAGGAACCAGCAGAATTTAGTTGGAGCTCAGGAACTCAAGGTAAAAATAAGATTTTAACTCTTCAACCCCCATGAGTGAGTTGACTGTAGTAAATAAACCAAAGGTTGTGAAACATCTTCTCATGTTTTTTTTTCTATACAAAACATAATTTTCAGGTGCTGAATTTAACCCTTTTTTTTGGTTGTCTTTTGTTTTTGATAGGAATTGTGCTGAGTTCATTCTTTTATGGCTACATAATTACCCAGCTCCCTGGTGGATTTTTAGCTCTTAAATGTGGTGGTAAAAACTTATTTGGTCTTGGAATCCTATCCACTGCAGTCTTGACTCTGCTCACTCCAGTAGCAGCCAGGGCAAGTGTTGGGCTGTTGGTAGCGTTAAGGGTTCTGATTGGACTGTGTGAGGTTTGTGAATCATTAGACAATAGTTCTTTACTATAATAATTTCTAATAATTACTAATAATTAGTACTAGTAATTAAGGCATTGCCATGTGCAACAATTTTTAGTATATTGGCTCTGTGTTATGGAGAATGTTGAATCTTCTTCTCTCATAACAGGGTGTTGTATTTCCTGCAAATCATGCTGTCTGGACAAAGTGGGCTCCACCACTGGAGAGAAGCAAACTTGCCACAATAGCTGTATCAGGTTTGTGATTTGTGAACCAGACCAAGTAAAAATTTGAAAAAACAGTTAATAGTAATTTTAATTATTACTATTAATATTTATTATTATTGTTACTATTATAAAGCAAACATGTTTTACTTTTTTAAAATCCTACTGCTTGAAGGGTTCAAGAGTAACAAGGAGAAGCCCTTGTGATGTGACAAATGCTGATTTTGATGTTTAGGCAACAGAGGGAGCAATTTGCTTGTGAAATCTTTTAGATTTTATCAGCTTTTAAACAATTTTTAAGTGTAGTTTTAATTGTAGTTTTAACATGGATTTGATTTCTAGCTATAGATTATTTTATATGATTAAAATTTTTTATGATTATAATGGTTAGTATTACTATCACTATTGAATAATTTTTATTGTTGCAATACAGGAGCTCACATTGGCACAGTTGTTGCAATGCCTTTATCAGGTGTTTTAGCTCAACACCTTGGCTGGGCTTCAGTGTTCTATGTTTTTGGTAAGTTTTCTTTTATTCTGGTGTATAGTCAAGCATTTCAAGTGCATTGTAGCTTTGTTAGAATGGTCTTTATTTTGCCATACTTTAATCTGTGAAGGGAAACAAAACAAATTAAAATCTGTGTTACACAAAATAAAAATCTCTGCGGTAGTCTTTGCAAAGTCACCACTAGGTTCATGACAAAATCAGTGCATTGGTGAAAGAAGAATTGCACCATTTAGCCACAACATACAAATCAGTAATTTGAAATATTACCTGGTGTCGTAGCTGTGCTTTTTATAAGGTGTTGTCAGAGAACATACTATTAGTTAATGAGCTGTTTGAATGACATGACCTGACAATTATTCCCTGGCCAGACATACACATGCAAAATGTTACATGATGAAGACTTTCTGCAGCATGTTTGTAAATAACAAGGTTTTTGGTGGGGTTCATGTTGAGTATTTGCTAGGTTGCATATTATATGCAATCCACACTTGTGGTGAACTGATCACTTCATCCTTCTGGCTGGTGAAAGGACAGGAATAGTTATGAAAAAGTCATCAAAAATACATTAATAATCATTAATTATTCATTATCAATTACTCCACAGGCTGTATGGGTATTTTGTGGGCCATTGTCTGGTTTTTAGTTGTGAAGAATTCACCAGCAGAAGATCCAAATATTTCAGAGGAAGAGAGATTATACATTGAAACTTCACTTGCTAATGATGATCAGAAGAAGGTATTAGTTGAAGACAAATGTTTTGTATAAAAAACACTCCAAAAAATTTTTCTCCTCAGAGGAAACTTACCATGGTAATCACTCAAACAAATTCTTTACAAAAGGTTCTTTTAAATTTGTCTCAAATGTGAGTCAACAAGAAAAGTCAGAACTGCCAAAAAGATCCACATAACCTTCAGACATTAAGGGACTTTGTTGTTGGATGCTCCACCTGACTGAAGAAGGGTAAACCTGTAAGTAAACTAGGCCACCAACTCTTAACACCCCAACATCAGTATGTAGATTCTCCTTACTGTTCTCTATACATTTCCTAAGGTGCTGAAAGGAGAATTTGTTCAACAATCAAGAGCTTCTTCAGTTGGTGATCATTTCCTTTATTCTCATGACCTTAGTGTGTGATTCAGGGGTGATATTGTAAGGAGAAATTAGATTCTAATTTCTCCTTACAGGGTTTAGATCCTTTTGTAACTGAGGATCCTTGCTCTGCAGGAATCAGCAATGTTGCCCAAAAACAAAAAACAAAAAAATTGAACTGCACTGACTGACGAAAAAGTCAGGTCAGAGTGATTTTATTTTGAAGGGAAATTATGATTTCTCAAGGTGAGTCTGTGCAATAATTTCCTCCAGGGTCTGGACTTGGAAATCAGCATCCTGCACTTCCCTTTTACCAATAGGTAATTGGATTTGGCATGGGCATTTTATGAGTCATACTTATCTAGCTCTCATGGGAGTTAAGTTTAATGCATGTATATCCTTCTGGCTATCTTTTGACAGGATGTGAAAGTTCCTTGGAAGGCCATATTTACCTCCTTGCCTGTTTGGGCAATAGTTGTGGCTCATTTCAGCGAGAATTGGGGATTCTACACTCTATTGACAGAGCTGCCCAGTTTTCTCAAACACAGACTTGACTTTGACCTTAGCAGGGTAAGTGCTCTGTTGGGTTAGGGGATGTGAGGTACCTATCATTGATCCCAAATAGAAAATGGAAGAATTAACAGACAATGATTATGAACAAATGAATTATTGAAGGGAAGTAAAAGTGAAAGGATGAAAGGAAGGATAGATATATCAATACATGGAGAAAAGTACAAAGAACCAGGAATAATAAGTTTTCATCAAAAAATCAATCAAACAAAGCTACCAAAGACTAAACATTGTACAGTAGTGTGTTGGCCAACATGTTGGTAGTGTGTCGGCCGACACATTGGTAGCGTGTTGGCTGATGTGTTGGTAGTGTGTCGGTGGTGTGTCAGTAGTGTGTCGGCCAATGTGTCAGTGGGATCGGATTCTTTACCTTAAATTAAGTGTGTTAATACAACGCTGGATTGTTTGGGGTGTTTAGTGCACTGTTGGAAGTTATAAAGCTACCAAATACTAAACATTATACAGATGGTAGATATGAGCACATTGTGACATAAGCAAACTGTTGCTGACACACATCTATAGAAGTAATTGGTAGAAATTTCACATAATAACATTTTTTTTATGCTCTTTTTTACAGGCAGGATTTGTGTCTGCTCTGCCCTACCTTGTCATGGCAATAACAATTCAAACAGGCGGGCAGATCGCAGATTGCCTAAGAAGAAAAAAAATATTAAGTACAACAGTGGTACGGAAACTGTTTAATTCATTTGGTAAGTTAGCATCAGTAACCTTATTTTCAGTTTGAATCTTTAGTCTCTGTCCCTTATGCATGAGAACCAACAGGGAATATAGGCTGAGTATAACCTCAAAAAAACTACCAATAAGTGCCTCCCCCCCTTCTCCCTGGCTTTCTTAAATAGTAGGGATACAAGGAAGACTTGTTTCCATTGCCACTTTCTTTAAGCTTCAACTACAGTGGGATCAGTACAGGTTTAACTTAATAGTTTCTCAGTAAGTGTTGTAAATATTAGGTTTCCTGTGCAATAGGCCCAGTCTTTGCCCAAGGTTTTGTCATTCAACCCTTGGTCAAACCTTGGCGCACTTGTTTTCATTGCTTGTTATTTTCGTCTTTATTTTTTTCGGATGAGGATTGTTTAACTAGACTCACATTGAAGGAATAGAACATTATGGAACCATTCCGTGTATTGTAGCAATTTTCAAGGTTACGAACAAGGACACTTGCTTATTTGTAAGGATTTCTCATATGGTATTGTATTGAAACAGTGTGCTGAACATAGTGGATCGGATTGAATAAAATGAAGAATTGATACTGAACCCTTGACCTTCTAGCTGAAATTTGAAGCAAGCAGTACCTGGGTGCCTTTCAAAGATGTACAACATATAGAATTGAGGTGTTAAATGTATCTATTTTGAATTGAGAGTCCATTTCCCTTTCCAAATAACCCTTTGACCTCTAAGAGTGATTAGCACCTAATTTCTCCTTACAAGATCACCCCTGAATCACACATTAAGGTCATGAGAATAAAGGATATGATCACCAGCAAAAGAAGCTCTATTTGTTAATTAAAACAAATCCTCTTAGCAAGTATACAAGGTAATGTAAAGAAAAGAGTATGCAGAGTATACAGTAGATACTGTAGATACTGGTGGTAGTATCTCAAGTTTTGAATTAATTTCTTCTTGTTTAGGTTTTGTTTGTCAAGGTATCTGTATCATCATTGCTGGTTACACTACCAACTGGTTGGTCGCTGTGATTTGCTTAACACTTGCTGTAGGCGGAGGAGGATTCGCATTTAGTGGCTTCTATGTCAATCACTTAGACATTGCTCCACCTTTTGCTGGTATTTTGATTGGCATTACCAACACAGTGGCCACGCTGCCAGGAATCATTAGCCCTTTGTTGACTGGAACCATTGTGCAGCATCAGGTATGCTGGCTTGAATTTTACTTGATGTGTTTTTCTTTGCTTTATGATACCAGTGTAGAAACCAAAAAGAGATTGAAGGTGAAACGAAAGTACTGGACCTAGTTGTTAGAGGAGTGGATAATGCTATCTGCTGGATAAATGTCTATCTTGTGGATAGGGCATTATGTTTTCTTAACACTTATCACCTGAATGGCAATTTATCTGTTGAATAGCATTATCTGCCCTTTTTACAACTGGATGCTTGAGTTTATGTTGGGAGGTCTCTACTGTGCATTGCTTTCAACTGCGTTTATGCAAATGACTGCAGAGGTGGCGGTGGAGTGCTTTAAGTGTGAGAGGGACTCATTGTGTATACTAAGAAAAGTAGGATCAATATCAGTATCTGGGCAACTGCCCACCTCTACCCCTCCCTTAACTCAACGACAGTCAATTGACAACAAGTTAAGGTTAATGTTAGGTTAGGGGAGGGGTAGGTGGGCAGTTTCCCAGATACAGATATTGATCCAAAAAGTTTAACATACCCATGTTTTAATTAAGGTTCACTTCTTGAATGTAAAAAGAGCTGTTCAATTGAGAAAAGTGCTGCCAAATATGATTGTGCTAAGCATGATTCTGATGTAGCAATTTTGAAAAGATTACAAGACTGAATATTTTGCCAAACTGGGGGGAGGGGCTGAGTGCCTCCCCAAACTTCAAGTTTTCACTTATGGACTGACCAATGGAATTAATATCGAGGATGTTTTCCTAGTAATATGTGTGTGTATAAATATATTCTTTTTTGTCATAGTCACAAGCATCAGAGTGGAGGATAGTGTTCTATCTTGGGGGACTTATCTACTTCATTGGTGCCATATTTTACTGCATCTTTTCTTCTGGTGACAAACAAATTTGGGCAGGTGGATACACTGAACTGACTCAAATAGATAATGACGATGACGATAATGAGGAACAAATGGAGTCTATAGATAGTTAATTTTTAAGTAATGACAAGGTTGGAGTTGTAATCAGCAACAAACGGCGGTATGCAATCAAGTCAAAATCAAACTGACAGAAACAGAAGCAAAATAGTGCTACCACTTTTGACTCTTTTTGGTTATGGTCTGTACAGAATAGATTGCTGGAGTTGCAAGTACTTTAAGCCCAAGAACACACATTGTCATTGGTTGATTTTCCCTCTGATGTTAGATACTAAAACCAGCAAGTTTTTACTAGATCATAAACCAAGACTTCAAAAGTGGAATTAGAAAAATTTTTCAGGTTTTGTCAGCTCTGTTTTCAACTCTGATGTCTGATTTTTGCTTGGTTGTAAGGGCTCTCATGACTTTCATGGCATTTCAGTGACTATGTTGCTTGTTAGAACCAGCCTCTGAGTAGTGGTAGAATTTTGGAAATAAGTACGACCTTAAGTTTGCTTTTAGATGGATGTGAAGTGTTATTTATAGCATACACGAACAGCAAAATCTACCTGTGCTTTTGTGCACTTTCCTGTTGTCCTTGAAAAGATTCAGTAGAAAAAATAAGAACCAAGGTCACTTTGCTAACATGCTAACTTAAATAAGGAGGCAAGTTTACTAAGGAGGTACCAGTTATCAAGTCAAGCTGTCAACAAATTGGTTGTTAACCATGAGAGGTAGGGGAGGTGACCCTGAACCAAATAGAAGTATTTCCTTGTCATAACTTATGTGAAAAATTAACAGGTTTTTGGACAAAAACAGTAGGGGGCAGACAGTGAAAGTTTGGTTCTTAACCTCTTTCAATTTGTGGAAATGTGCTTCAAGTCCCTCTGTAAAAAACCTTTTGATTTTTAATCTACATGCAACAAATTCTTATAAACACACCAAACTTGAGCTAAATTTGTTTTCATGGCCTGTGAAGCCAACATGTTCAGAAAATTATAAAGATCCTTTCTTGGATTGGATGTCTAACTGTTACAGTAAACCAAGGTTATTATTTATCTATTTATTGACTTATATTATTGAAGCAAAATGGATAGAATTTTATTTTTATGCAGTTGTTATTAACTGTATATATTGAGACATTTAGCTGACTAAGAGGAGAAGTATTTAGTGAAGTATTTTTGAGTAATGAAAACAAGTCTGTTATTTTGACACATCATATATCTAATTTAAAATACACAGTACATCACGAGAAATATATTGAGAAGGTCTTAACCTTTTCATTTCTCATTAGTAATTCTCCCAACTAACAGCCATACAATTCTTATGATATGAATTCTGAGAATTTGTGATTGGATCAACTAATAATCCCCCAATTGATATTTCCATTCTCATCACTTGTGTGCTTAATATTATAATTATATTTTTTAGGAGAAATTCCATCTTGGTCACTCATGGGATTAAAAGGGTTGGTAATTGAAAGTAGGCCTCAAAAATTTAAATGCAAACCAGAAACATTTAATTATTTAAGCAAAGGTAATTCATCATGTTGTAGACTTGCAGCATACAATTACATCCACAGTAGTTCCATTCATACCTTGCATTTCACAGTAGTTGTAGTGTAAATCAGTAGTTACTAGAAATAATCAGTGTACAGTGTGCTTTTAATGACCACAGGGGCTAGAAAAATGGGGCAGCTGTACTAAAGAGTGCAATAATATCATATGATTATACAGTCTCATACTTTGTTCATCTAATTTGTTTGGTAAGCTTATTTATTTATTTTTTTTTACTCAAACTCTCTTTTATACAGTATTTATTTCATTTTTATCACTTAAAAGTGCCCACCCTTAAAAGTGCACCTGCCTTATAGGTATGAAAAGTTTAAAAGATGGCACCCAAAATAAAAAAAGAAAACTTAAAAAATATGAAAATTCTCTTTATCTTTAATTGACATGGAAAGTAACATTATCCTCCATGTTAAAATCGACAATATAAATGGAAGTAATGGTGTACAAAATAAATATAAAATGCAGTGGGATTTGCAGTCAATTCCACTTTACAGATATATGCAAGCCTAGAATTGACAGGGAATTGTAAGTTAAACTGTAATGGCAGGGTGCTTGGAAGAAATCCTTCTTAAGTGGCTTCTGACAGGGTGCTTTACATTCTTCTCTCAAAGTTTCTTGTAATTCTTTGTGAAAAACAAGAAGCATTACGTTGAGTTTACATCAAAAGTCATAAGGGACAGCATCCCTTCTATTGTCACAAATAAATCATGAGTGTAAACAAGAATATTTTATTTTTCTCTCCTTGAGTTATAAGTTATGTAAAGATCTACCATCTATATCACTATGTACTTATCTTCTAACAGGAGACATTAAAAAAACAAACAGCAACAATTCAGAATTGACTGATTGAATGTTTGATTACTGATAATCTTCATAAGAGATAACACTGTCTGCAAATCTTCATGACAGTTACATAGTGAAGTCTTGCATAAACGTAACTAACAAACCTCTCATTCCAAACAAGAGCTTAAAATTGAAAAGTAAGACATTTCAAAGAACAAAGACACAAAAATTTATACATCCATCTCACTAAGTATCCCCCTAATTTAGTGACCTGAAATGTTTCATCTGGATTGGTGTTTTTTTCAACCTTAAAAATTTTCCCCCTTCACATCCAGGAGTGAGCATCATTATCATTAACAACTAAATATTACCAAGGACTAGAGTCACAATCTTATTCAGTCATCTTCACTGACAAATAAGTTAGCCCTGGATCATCTGTTCCATCTTACTGTGGAAATTGTGTTCCCTTACAATTGCTTACAATTTTTATTTTGAGAAGAGTCTATTGTCAGGAGCTCCTCAGTTCTGTTTTTCTTATCATTCATCCATGGTGAGTACAAGCTTACCAATGGTTTTCCCTGACTCCAAATCACTATGTGCTTTGGCCACTTGTTTCAGAGGATATGGAGTCACTTTGCTGACTTTAAGGGTGCCTTGTTTTACCCAGTATAGAAGTTGTGCCATGCTTTCTTCCAAAATATCTCGTCGATCAAAGAGAAAGCTCAGGTTGAATGCCATGATACTTCACTATGAACTGTAGTTTTATGAAAATTCCATGAATTTCATGTGAAAAACCCATGAAGATCATTTCATGGCCCATGAATACTGCAAAATGAAATTTCATGGGGTTATTTTTAGCCCTGAATTTTCCATGAATTAGGGGAATTTTTTTCATGACCCATGAATTTCTTCAAAGTCTATTTTTATGACCCATTGATTTGCCATGAAAGTCATCAGAATTAATTTCATGACCCATGAATTTCTTTATATGCCTACTTTCATGACCCATGAATTTCTTCAAAGTCTACTTTCATGACCCATTAGTTTCCCCAGAAAGTCATCAGAATGAATTTCATGCCCATGAATTGCAATCAAACAGCATTTCATGGGCTAACAATTTATTTGTTTTGGGAGAACAAAATTAATGGGCCATGAATATTCCCTGAAATCTGTTGCCCATGAATTTCATTGATGAATTCATAGGCCATTAAAAGTGGTAATAATGAGTTCATCACAGTCACTGATTTATCAACGAGCTGACTTTCATGATCCGTGGAACTAACTTGTTATAAATTTATGCACTGATGGAATTTTGGTGTACAGCGCGAAAACCGTCGAATGAAAATGTCCCTAAACATCTTAAGTGGCCTTTGTTAACGTAAAATGTACAGGAAATCACAAAACAATGACTAAAAACAATGGATCTTCAATTTGCTCCTTTGTTGAGACAAATAGGGCTGGAGGCAATGACCCAGATGTTTGATCCTCACTTTGATTTTTTGGGGCCTTTTTGCCTTCGCCATGCCTGGACGACTTTGTTGAATTTTTTCTGCCTCACTGCTGGCTTTGATTGTTAGCCATGACTCTGGAAACCTGTTCAAGGCCTTCTCTTACATTCTTACGGCTGAGGAATCTTCTAGGGCTTTTCCAGTAAGGCACCTGCAGAGTACAGATGCTTAAGTTGCACAGCAATAGTACGCATTGCATCTACACGAAATGTGGAACAAAACAATGAAAAATCAATCACTTTGTCACCTCAATTTGGAACTTTGAATAGTGTGCAAATGTAACCTGAAAAAAATGCTATTTTTACCTCGTTCATAGAGTCGCCGGTTAACAGAGTCAGGCCATCTTCTCAGTCGGGATGAAACGTTACCTTCATGTATTCATTGAGATCGCCTTCTACAACATCGTTGTTGATTTCGTGATCGCTTTCACAGGAATCACTGTCGATGTCAGCTCTGACTTTCTTGGACTCTGATGTCCTGTCGATTGTTACTTGCTTCGAATTCCAAATACCGAACAGCTTTTTGTGCTGCTTTATTTTGTAAGATTACAGACGCAGCAACGAGACCTCTTCGGAGTCATTTCGTAACGTCGAACACGATAACCTGTGAGGTCACTATGTGACCGCTGACCTATGATGGCTGCGATGACCTAAGGTCACCACGTGAAAGTACACGTGATTTACGAAGAAGTGGCGGTTTTTTTCGTACCTCGAACGGAATGGTTCCATTCCAATTGCATTTCTCGTAGTGTTTGTGTAGCAGTCTCTTTTTTTCCAGATCAACGCAATGGACCGTCTGAAAAGTTTTTTCAAAGAGGTTTCCTCAAGATGAAGTTATCGACATGTATTACAACGTGAAGGGGTAAGTTCAAGCTTGGTCATCTTATTACGCGTAAACATCGGAGCGCGCGCGCTAACTATTGATTTAACTTGAAAATTTTTATTCTGTGATCATCTGGCGAAACATCACAAGAGTTTGTATGGAAATACCTACGACCGTTCTTAGGAATAAAAAATACAGTCAAATTCTGAATACGAAATACCTCACCTCACTTCCATAGTGCGTCGCTTAGTATCTGACGGCTTCATGTTGAAAAGAACCTGTTTTGGCGAGTTATCCATTTCTAGGTTTACTACGTACATAAGAAAGGCTCTTAGATAACTGATGATGTGCTCCCTTTATTTTGCAAACAGTGAAGAGTGTTGGTCTACAAAACTGATGAAAGGAAATGCACACTTGCTAAAGCAGCCTATCTTGGTCCAAACGATGATGAAGATGCAAATAGTAATGATAACCGAAAGAAGGATGGCACATTCAGGTGGCCAAAACAGAGAGACACTGACATAGTCAGCCATAGATATATCTTCACACATGCAAGAGTGCAGAAAGTTGGTAATTGTTTTGTTGTTAGTTACCTTGAGAGTATTGATCACAAGTGTAAAACATATCAAGAAATTTACATGAATGCTGTTACATAAATAGACATTATAATAACTGTCCATAACATTTTACACATGATATTAGACGAAGGAAATGATATTTGAAGTTTAGACAAAAATACATCAAACCAGTGAGTATATTTTCAATAATTTCGTCAAAATAGAGCTAAAAATCATTAACATCTTAATTTTATGCAGAAAATTTCATACCAACTTTTTTTATTTAAGAAAGTGTAAACTGAATTATCACAATTTTGGAATCCTAAAGTAATATTTATGTACAGCTGGTGAAACAAAATAAACTATCAGAGAATCCAAACTTCTGGTCATGTCTTTCATGTGTGTGTGCTTGTACAACAGGACCAAGAAGTTTCACAGACAGGTTAGTTCTTCAGTGGATAATTTAAGTGATAGTGTATGTATTACAGTTATGGTATACTGCAAGCTATACACTGTAGTACAGTCTTTGGTACAAGAAAAGTGAAGAATTTTTAATTCCAAATTCATAGGGTTTTCAAAGAATTTTCATGGTGCTTGCATATTCCTAACAACCCCATGAAAACTAACTGGCAATTAACTTTCATGTGCCATGAAAAAACCATGTAGAGGCCATGAAAATTCAAGGAAAATTTTCATGGTCAATGAATTTTTAACATATTCACAGGATATTCATGGGTCATGATTTGCTGCAACCCATTAAAAACTAGTGAACTTTGACACCATGAAATTTTGGGCTTGAAATTCATGGGTTTCTCAGTACCTTTGAAAAGGCCATGAAATGCCATTTTCATGGGTATTTCATGGCTTCTAGGTCACTTTACTCAATATTTCATGGGTCGTGAATATGGAAATTTTCACAGGTTTTTCATGGGATTTTTCAGGTCTTTTTCATGGCACTGAGACCATGAAAATGTCATTGATTTAACCATGAATATCCTGTGAAAAATCTGTGAATTTACAATGAATTATTTCACAAGATTTTCATGGGTTTTGAGTTCATAGTGGAATGAGTGTATCAATCAGTAATTCTCAGTCAGTTAGTAAGTCAGCCAGGCCACCAAGCAGTCAGCCAGTTGTTGGCCAGCCTGTCAATCAGTCTGCTAACTGCCAGCCAAATATTCAGTGGGTTGTCAGTCAGTCATTCAATTCAACCACTCAGCCAGCCTGGCAATCAATCAGTCAGTAAAGTGTCAGACAGTCTGTCAGTTGTTGGCCACTCTGTCAATCAGTCTACCAATCCACCAGCCAAATATTTAGTGGGTTGTTGGTGAGTCAGTCAGTCAATCCAGCCACTCAGCAAGCCTGTCAAACAATCAGTCAGTAAAGTGTCAGACAGTCTGTCAGTTGTCAGTCGGTGTCCATCAGTCAGTCAATCAGCCTGTCAGTTTCAGTCTATCAGTCAGTACATGAGCCAGTCAGTTGGTCAGTCTGAAAGTCAGTCAGTCGGTCAATCAGCCCGTCAGTTTCAGTCTTTCAGTCAGTAAGTCAGCTGATCTGTCAGTCTTTTAATCAGTCAGTCAAGTGTCTGTCTGTCAGTCACTCTAACAGTCAGTAAGTCAGTCATTCAGTTAATCTGTGGGTTAGTCAGTCTGTCTATCAGTCAGTCAGTCAGTCAGTCAGTCAGTCAGTCTGGCAGTCAATCAGCTTGTCAGTCAGTCCAAACATCAATCAATTGGCCTCTCTTGACATTTTTAGTCTCATCCTAATAGTCTGTAACTCCACAGAGTCCCTTGAAATTGCAGTAATATTTTCAATAATAAATTTAAATGAGAATGTCAGAGTGCATGAATTTTACCTTCAAAGGATCAAATTTAGGAGTGTACCAGAGGTTGATTCCTATTTTTATCCACTGCCATAAACTGATGTACCCAGCTCCAGTATCACTAGACTTGGGAAGCATTGTATGAAAACCTGTAAAGGCATAAATGCTAAGTCAGCAATGAAGTGGAGTGGTTCATCTGAACAGAGCTCATCCCACTTTCCACAGCAAGGAGTGACAAAAAGTATTGACACCCCTGTGGATAGGGCACCAGTCCATCACAAGTTTCATGCCCCAAAATTTTTCCAGGTTTGTCTAAAATCTTGACAGTACCCACTAATATTCCTATATGAAAAGAAGCAAAGTGCAATTTAAGGGGTCTTGCCCAAGGCCATAGCATGCCATGTTTACTTGCTTAACCATTACCCCTGAATAAGCATCCCACTGACAAATAAGGGCTGTGTTGGGGACAAAAAAGTTAAAAAGCACAGCTTATGAATAATGGTGCTGCAGTCCCAGTTCAGCACTTATTTGAAGAATTCTTTCACAAGCTGCAATAAAAATGTTAATAAACTCTGTCCTCAGGTAAATGCAGTGGTCCATTAAAGTGCAGCACTTAGTCAAAGAGTTCTTTCATAGGCTGCTATGCCCTATATGCAATTGGGAATCTTGAGGGTACTAAATGTAAACCCTTTTGAATTAATGAAGTTAGATGTAAGAGAAGTGTACCCTCTCCCAATGAGATTGAAGTTGTGTGAAGACACCACTTAACTGAATGAAGGCACATACCATAAACAACTAATTTTCCACCAGGTGCCAAGTGATTATAGCTCTCCTGTAAAGTCTCCACTCCATTAGCATCAAAGACAACTTGGAACCCTTTGGGAACATAGTACTTGGATGCTTCCCATATGTTTTCTTTAGATTTGTCAATCACATGATCACAACCTAACCATAACAAAAAGACACTGAGTATACAAGTTTCCTACAATTTTGTATAAGACTTTCAAGCCCTAGAAAATGTCACTATAAAATTCAAGGACTGTCCTGGTTTTCCAAGACCCATACAAACCCTGTGCAAGGCTCTAAGGAGTAAGGCACCCGTCATTATTTATTGCTAGGGGTCAGAGGATTTTAGTGAGGATCACATGGATTCAGGGGGAACGGAAGTGGGATTCATTGTTGTCAACAGGAGAACTATGGAAGAATATAAAAAAATGACAACCAATAAGAGGGGATCATAAGATTGTTACAGAGCCATATAAGGGGATCAGTTAAATTTTCTTGTTGCATAACCAAAATCCTCTGCCTCCCTCCCCACCCAGGGGATAAAAAAAAGTGATGTTCCCTAAGTTTCAAACTCTATAGTTGATTTCTTGCTGAAAAGTGCTAAAGTATGTTACTTCAGCAGTGGATTTAACTAACCTAATTCTTTGGCCATGTTCACTTTATGACTTCCGCCCACTACGCCCACCACGTGACAACCACGGATCTTTGCGAGTTGAACCAGCATACTACCCACCCCTCCAGCGGCAGAGTGAATGAGTATCCAGCTTTCACCCCTGGGTCTTGCAAGTTCAAATAACCCATACCAAGCTGTCAAAGCCACAGTCAGGAAACCAGCTGCTTCGTTCTTGTCAAGATTTTCTGGCATTGGAAATATTTGATGCTCAGGTACTCTAACCCGCTTCGAGTACCCTCCAAATAGCGACACTCCGAATACTTTTTGGCCGATTTTAAACTTCGTCACATTTTTGCCTTTGCTTTCGATTTCTCCGCTAAATTCAAATCCAGGAGTGATCGGCCATCCAACAAATTTCTTAGCTGACTCGTATACGCCCCAGCGAATGCAAACATCGGCGTAGTTCACACCGCTTGCGTAAGTCTTCACAACAACGAGATCGTCTTCTGTGATGTTATCATTCATTCTGATGTTAGCACCTTCGGTAAATTCACCTTCTGAAAGCTCCTTGTATTCGAGCTTATCATATCCACCTGCAGAAGGGATGGAAATCATGCTTAAAGACGCTGGAAAAAAATACAGGGAAAGGAGCGAATTTTCTTGAAGCTAGAATATTCCAACTTATGATCAGAGTTCAAGGATGTATTGGTCAAATTCAGTCAGGCGTTACTTGTATTTGCCTCAAGCCTCTCTCTCTCATTTCCGCCAGTCTGAAGTCTAGACCGCGGCTCAACCACAACAATTAACGAAACAAAACTGCAATATTGCGTGGGAATAAACAGAACAAGGCTTCAGTATGACACTAGAAATATTATCTTAATGCGCAAAGTGTGAGCCTTTTGTAGTCGTCTACTGAGCCACACCAAAAGCGAGAGGATCGAAGATGGCGTGACACGACCCTCCTGTGAAACACAACAAGTTCTAACATGGCTATCGAAAGCCCTTTTTAATGCCGATTACGGGAACCTAAATTGTGTTGAAGCCGCAAAAGCATAGCCTTCGAAAAAAAATGCTGCACGCTAAAATAAAAATTCCCGAAAAACCCTACCAAACCCTCGCCACAACCAAGAGTGACAAATCATTATCATAAACAAACAAACGCAGGCCTCTGTGCTGGTGTCACAATTTTATTCAGTCATCTTGACTGACAAATAAGTTAGCCATGGATCATCTGTTCCATCTTACTGTGAAAATTGTGTTCCCTTACAATTGCTTACAATTTTTATTTTGACAAGAGTTAATACTGTCAGGAGCTTCTCATGCAGTTCTGTTTTTCTTGTCATTCATCCATGGTGAGTACAAGCTTGCCCATAGTTTTCCCTGACTCCAAATCACTATGTGCTTTGGCCACTTGTTTCAGAGGATATGGAGTCACTTTGCTGACTTTAAGGGTGCCTTGTTTTACCCAGTATAGAAGTTGCGTCATGCTCTCTTCCAAAATATCTCGTCGATCAAAGAGAAAGCTCAGATTGAATGCCATGATACTTTTATTTTCATCAGTCATCTAATGAGATCAGAGAATATGCAATCGGTTAGGAAGTGAATGAACATGCCAATCAGTAAGTCAGTCAGATAGTTCTCAGTCAGTTGGTAAGTCAGATAGGCTACCAAGCAGTCAGTTGTTGGCTAGTCTGTTAAGCAGTCTGCCAATATGCCAGCCAAACATTCAGTGGGTTGTCAGTCAGTCAGTCAGTCAAATCAGTCAGTCATCTTGTTGTCAGTAACTGAGTCAATCAGCCAGCTAGTCTGTCAATCAGTCAGCCAGTCAAGTGTCAGACAGTCTGTCGATTGTCAGTGTTTCAGTCAGCCTGTCAGTCAGTCAATGAACCAGTCAGTTGCAGTATTTCAGTCAGTCAGTCAGTCAGTAAGTTGGTCAGTTAATCTGTGAGTCAGTAAGTCTGTCTATCAGTCAGTCAGTTAGCTGTTAGCTGGTTGTCAGTCTTTCAATCAGTCACTCAAGTGTCTGTCTGTCAGTCAGTCCATCAGTCAGTCCTTCACTCAGTTAGTCATTCAATCAGCCAGTCAGGCAGTCCAAACATCAACCAATTCACCTCTCTCTTCATTTTTAGTCTCATCCTAATAGTCTGTAACTCTATAGAGTCCCTTGAAATTGCAGTAATCTCTTCAATAATAAATTGAAATGAGAGTGTTAGAACAGACCATGAATTGTACCTGCACAGGATCGAATTTAGGAGTGTACCAGAGGCTGACTGCTATTTTTATCCACTGCCATAAACTGATATTCCCAGAACTAGTATCACTGGATCTGGGAAGCATTGTATGAAAACCTGTAAAGGCATAAACACAAAGTCAGCTATGAAGTGAAGTGGTTCATCTAAACAGAGCTTAACCTACTTTCCATGGCAAGAAGTGACAAAAATTATTGCCCCGTTCCCCCCTCCCTAGATAGGGTGCTAGTCCATCACAAGATTCACGCCCCAATATTTTTTCAAGTTTGTCTAACATCTTGACAATACCCACTAATACTCTTGGATGGAAGAGGTACTAGGAAATTTAAGGGGTCTCACCCAAGACCATAACATATCATATTTACTTGCATAAGCATTATCCCTGAGTAAGTATCTCTCTTAAATAAGGGCCGTTTTTGGGACAAAAAAGTTAATAAGCACAGCTTAAGTATATTAGTGGAGCAGTCCCAGAGCAGTACTTATTTGAAGAATTCTTTCCCAAGCTGTAATAAAAACATACATGAACTCTGCACCCAGATAAACGCAGTGGTCTATTTAAGCATAGCACTTAGTCAAAGAGTTCTTTAACAAGCTGCTATGCCTCATATGCAATTGAATATCTTGAAGGTACTACATGCAAATCCTTATGAATGCATTGACCTAGATGCAAGAGAAGTACACCCTCTCACAATGAGATTGATGTTCTGTGAAGACACCACTTAACCGAGTAAAGGCACATACCATAAACAACTAATTTTCCACCAGGTGCCAAGTGATTATAGCTCTCCTGTAAAGTCTCCACTCCATTGGCATCAAAGACAACTTGGAACCCTTTGGGAACATAGACCTTGGATGCTTCCCAAATGTTTTCTTTAGATTTGTCTATCACATGATCACAACCTATCCATAATGAAAAAGACACTGATTATACAAGTTTCAAACACTTTCATACAAGACTTTCCATTCGTGGAGAATGTCACAATAAAAATTCCAGGACTTTTTTGGTTTTCCAGGACCTATACAAACCCAAGGCTCTAAGGAACAAGGCACCCATCACCTATAATTACCAGGGGTCAGAGGATTTTGGGGAGAAATCGCTTGGTTTTCAGGGGGATTTTATGTTGTCAACTGGATGGCTAAAAGTGAGTTATAAAAAAATTGCCTGCCAATGAGGGGAAATCATAAGAATATTACAGAGCCATATAAGGGGATCAGTTAAATTTTCTTGTTGCATAACCAAAATCCTCTGCCTCCCTCCCCATCCAGGGGATAAAAAAGTGATGTTCCTTAAGTTTCAAACTCTATAATTTATTTCTTGCAAAAAAGTGCTAAAGTATGTTATTTCAGCAGTGGATTTTAACTTACCTAATTCTTTGGCCATGTTCACTTTATGACTTCCCCCAACTACGCCCACCACGTGACAACCATGGATCTTTGCAAGTTGAACCAGCATACTACCCACCCCTCCAGCGGCAGAGTGAACGAGTAACCAGCTTCCACCCCTGGGTCTTGAAAGTTCAAATAACCCATACCAGGCTGTCAAAGCCACGGTAATGAAGCCAGCTGCTTCGTTCATGTCGAGATTTTCCGGCAGTGGAAATATCTGATGCTCAGGTACTCTGACCCGCTTGGAGTAGGCTCCAAATTGCGACACTCCGAATACTTTTTGACCAATTTCAAACTTCGTCACATTTTTGCCTTTGCTTTCGACTTCTCCGCTGAACTCAAATCCAGGAGTAATCGGCCATCCAACAAATTTCTTAGCTGACTCATATACGCCCCAGCGAATGCAAACATCGGCGTAGTTCACACCGCTTGCATAAGTCTTCACAACAACGAGATCGTCTTCTGTGAAGTCTTCGCTCGTTTTGATGTTAGCACCTTCGGTAAATTCACCTTCTGAAAGCTCCTTGTATTCGAGCTTATCATATCCACCTGCAGAAGGGATGGAAATCATGGTTAAAGACGCTGGAAAAAATACAGTGAAATGAACTAACTATGTTGAAGTTAGAGTATTACAACCTGTGATCAGAGTTCCAGGATTGGTCAAATTCAGTCAGGCATTACTTGTATTTTCCCCAAGCCTCTCTCGTTAACTTCGACCAGCTGTTCGACCAGCTGTCCGACCAGCTTGAAAAGCAGAGAGCATGCGCAAGAGAGGTCCGAAGCTGCAAAACTTCAAACAATTAAAGTAGCAAAACTGCAAAATAGCGTGGAAATAAATCAAAATAAAGATTCACTTTGCCATTAGAAATATTATCTTTATGCGCAAAATGTGAGCCTTTTGTAGTCGAGTACTGAGAAACTCTGAAAGCGAAGGGATCGACATAGCGTGATGTTAGGTGTCATTGTTGTAAATAGAAGCTTCTAGAAATTTCCAGACTGCTGAGTCATGCTGACTTGCGTACTATAGAACTTTCCGAACATGTTATCAAGTCACGCGCTTATTATGTCATCAAGTCACGCGCTTATCATGTCATCAAGTCACGCGCTTATCATGTCATCAAGTCACGCGCTTATTATGTCATCAAGTCACGCGCTTATTATGTCATCAAGTCACGCGCTTATTACTAAAATAGTTCTTATATAAACTTCTGGAATGTTACAGAACTGTTTGAGAATATACATTAAGACTCACTTATGCAATAGTAGAAGTAGTTGTTGTTGTCGGAGCGACGACTGTTTTTAAAGCTATCCGAGAGAGAGTTACTGCGGAAGATTGTTCACTTCAAGGAACTTTGGAGACAGCAGTGAGATTGTGTTAGTGGTGAGCTTGGATATAGACTGTGGTGGGCTTAATTAAGTTTATTAACGATAAGTATTTTACTGCTTTTAGGAGTCGTTCATTGTTAAGAACATTACTCGCTGTTTAATAAAGTAGTTGAATTTGTGGGATTGTAGTGTTTTTCTGTCGGTTAGATTATACCGTAACAGTGACATGTAAAACTCGACAGGTCCCTAACATGACCATTACCGAAAACCCTTTTTTTATGCCGATTACGGGAACCTAAATTGCGTTGAAGCCGCAAAAGCATAGCCTTTGAAAAGCAATACCGCAGGCTAGAATAAATATTCCGACAAACCGCGCCAAAAATTACGCTCCATCGCAACCCTCACCGCCCCTGGCCGCTCCAGGTATAAGAGGCGCAATGAGCCAAAATGACACCGAAACGGCAGAATTATGACGGAGCTGTCTATAATGGGTCGAAAGCGTCTTAAATTCTCTGGCATGATATATTAACAAAATGATTTTAATGGTTCTAAAAGTAGCGTGGAAGTATCTTAAGAGACAGATACAGCTTGGCAAGATAACAAGTTTTTCATTTCGTGACCAAACAAAAAGCCATCAAATGAACGCCCGTATAATGCTAATAATTACCATATGAAACATAATCATCATCATCCATAATTGTGTAGAGAAAGATGGATTAAGCTCATTTGAATGATAATGCTTCCGAAATTCCAGCTTCAAAACCTAGCGATCCTTGATCGATTGAAAGTATGGGCAAACATTGAACCAGCACTCTAGGCCTCTATAAATTATGTTAGAAAAGGAAGCATACCGTGGTACTGGCATTACTCAAATTTTTTTTCCAAATTATGCACAAAACTATGCTCTTTTTTTGAAAACAACGCGACTTTTTTTAAGTATGCTTTTAAAAAAAACGAAAAACACAAAACAATCTCCAGCTGTATATGTATTGTCAATGCAACATGATATCTTCTTTACCTTGAATTACTCACTTGCTCTGATAAACACAACTTACTAGTGCCATTTTACTGTGAATCTAGAATCAACGAAAGCCCAGTCCTCTAAACGACGAACACGAACGACGAGAGTAACCTTCTTCCCCCAAGACACTGAAAAAGTGAAAATAGACTGAATCATAGCTTGAACTTGAAAAAAAAAATCAATCTTAGAAAGAAATTATGCCAAAAATTACACTAGCCAGTCTATAAGGGTCTACAACATACTTCCTATTGCCCGTTCCTCGTCAGCGGCGGAGAGGAAGAGCGTTTAGCTTTAACCACTGCGCAGGGTCTCGCAAGTTCAAATAGCCCATAATAAGCTGTCAAAGCCACAGAAGAAGAAGAAGAAGAAGAAGAAGAAGAAGAAGAAGAAGAAGAAGAAGAAGAAGAAAAGGGAGAAGAAAAAAGAAGAAAAGTAAGAAGAAGAAGACGAAAAGGAAGAAAAAGAAGATGAAGAAGGAGAAACGAAGAATAATCAGCGATTCAATAAATTAAAGTTCACGTATCAACCAAAAGGACAATCAGACATTGTTTGATGCTACTCTGGTTTAAAGATTTAATGAAAGTAACCGAAGAAGTTACAATTCATAGACCCAACGTTTCGACACTCCTGTCTAGTGCCTTCATCAGGGGTGATCTAAACGCTGCAGCAAGAGGTTCTTTTATAATTAGTGGTGACAATTTTAGACTTATCCCACCCAGTTGTATGGTTAGTTAGGCATGTGTGCTCCGATAAAGCTGGTTTTTCTTTTTTGCAAAAGAAAACCGCTCGTTGATGCTCTTTCAAACGTGTATCAAACTGACGTTTGGTCTGTTTGATGTATTCCACGTCACAGTCATTGCAAGGAATAGAATAAATGACGTCGGTTCGTTGTTCTTTCGTAACAGGATCCTCAGTTAGGTTTGGCAAAAATATGCCCCAAAGTCAGCGATTCATTAGATATAAATTTTAATGAGCTCTACATCAGGATCGATAATAAAAAGTTTGCTTATAAGCAAAAAATCTGCGACATTTTCAAAGAATAAATTAGGTACTTTTTGCTAGAAAAAAATTATTATTGAGTCACCATCCTCGAAGGAATTGACAACAGTTACAAAATGTTCATTTTCTAACGGTAATACTGGGTTTTTTAAACAAGCGTCCGGTTTTGGTAACAAAAGTCCATTTTCGCACAAAAGTGTCAATTTTTGGTATACCAATTCCCATTAACAGACGAAAGTATCCAATAATAAGCACTAGTAACCATTCTCCGTGTTAGGACACCAGTGTCTTATTTTGGAAAAGAATGTCAATTTCATACTGGTAGTCTTCTTCAAGCGATGAGTACGCGTCACCTATAAACTGTCGTGCCCAGCCGTGACTCGATGGAATTCCACGGGTATGATCGGTGCATCTTCAGATCAGGTTCCCTTTGCGGTCCGCTGCTGCACGCCTCCTCTGCTGTTGTGTTTCTTTATCGATTCCTCTGTCCTTGTTGATGTTATTAAGCTGAGGTCTTACTTGCATCTTTGAACCAGCGTGTGTAGATATGGGCATAACGATTTCAAACTTTACTAAATTAAAGGCGGGAGGAGTCCTGTACTGTGGGCTGCCGTGTAACGGTGGAAGTCTGGGTCCTCTCGAGTCGGATATCCCTGTCATGCTCTTGGATTCTCTCTTGAAAAGGTCTGCCAGTCTAAAAATGTCTATGAAGGACTACATATGACATACATCTGACATACATAGGACATACATATGACATACTACATACTCTATGAAGGACTACATATCGGCCTCGATCAGTCCTGAGTTCCTCCCAGGCCCTCTCGCTCAGTTAGCAAGAAGTTATTATCATAACAGGGAAAGCTATGAATTACTAACTTCATGTCAGGGAGCTTATGCAAAACATCGGACAAAACATCGGATTTTCAAATCATATTCTTATTTGCTTCGTTCAAAAGAACGTTATCGTTACTATAACCTTCTCAAAATGATATATTTTTTCAATTTTTTTTGGTATTTTTTTTCTTGGGGAAATTAGGGTACTGCAAAATGTTGCGATGGAATCAACCCAACATTGATGCATACTAAGAATGACATAAACAACGAATTCTGAGCTCCTCCTCCCTGTCTAATGGTTCTTGTCCTTTATCAGGACCTCTATGCTCGGAAACGTGGAGGCTAGCAAGGTCGTCAGGGAACTTTTCTACCATTCAGAGGTTAAAACACGTTTTGTGTAATTACATAACTACCACTGAAGCGTTTCTTTTGGAGGGGCTATTTTTCTGACTCTAGCACTTAAGAATTACGCAAAAAAAATCTTCACAACACATATTTGATCAATAATCTTGTTTTTGCCTTGTGATTGTACTTTTGGTAAAGTTTAGGAAGATCAAGCTATATTTGCTACCTGCTTCGACTGTCATGTTGTCTATCCGCTTCATAGCTTTCGAAGTTCTCCATGGAATAGATCTTGTGTTTAAATGGAATTCCCCCGATACATTTACTTGTTTACTGGTCACTGTTGACTAAACTTTCTCCTATGAAATGCCATTCTCCAGTAAACGTCCTAAATTTTTACGACATAATCCAACCCCACTTAAAGAATTTTACAAGGAAATAAGTGTAACTTTTAGTTAATTTTCCACGCAATTATTATGTGTTTTGGCGTCTTTCTACGAATCAAACTCGCATTTAGCTACCTTGGACTTCACCCCTTCACGTGTCAATTCCTTGTTAACAATTAGCATTTTGTCACGTATTGCGCTCGCGAGAGGCAAAGCCTAGATAAGCAACAACCAAATAAGGAGTCCACGTTGTTATGTCCACATGAAAGCCTTTAAAATATGACACTTTTCTCTTCGTTCAGTATATTTTTACTTGTTCGAAGAACAGAGACCGCAAAATATCTTTGGTTAGATATAGAAAAAAAGAGCTTTGGTTTGCTTTCCACAGCAAATTTATGTTGAATAATATTTTTGAGGCAACTATCTCTAACTGGTTAATTACGATTTTGTTTTTGACGAAGGAAGGGCAGTGTTAGCTTGTCACCAAGCCCTCATTATTAGCACTGCTGGACGCGCGTTTCTTCGTCCGCGAGAAATTTTCCAACGAGTCGCTGAGAGGTTTGCTGGGGGTATAGACCACTTGCAGACCTTCCACCGCCTCCTGTTGCTGATCGAAGGCTTCGTACTTTCCGTGCTCGTAGGCTTGAGTGATCTCCTTAGCTTCCTCTTTCAATAAACACTTGTGCTTGGGTGGGGCATTTGAACGCAATTTTTTTGCG